GACACTTACTAACCGGTTGATGATGAGGATGGACTTGTACTCACTGAAGATGGAAGAGGGAGGTAGCGTAATTGATCACATCAACAAGTTTAATGAGCAAGTATCAAGGTTGTTAAATGCAGGGGAGACTATCAAGGATGAAGAGCAAGGGCTGCTTCTACTGGCTTCACTACCAAAATCCTTTAAGCCGTTTGTGCAGTCAATGATAGCAGGAAGGACTACACTGCGACTAGATGAGGTGACGACTGCCTTGAAGGAGAGTCAAAGGATGATGGGAGGTGAAGAGTCTTCCGGGGACAGTCATTTACTAGCTGCTGTGAGTGTTGAGAAAGGGAGGAAGAAGAAGAGTGACCAACTTGGGAGAAGATCTCAGCTGAGAGACATGAGCACTGTTAGGTGCTATTACTGTGAAAAGTTGGGTCACACGAAGAACGGTTGTCCAGAACTCAAGGAGGACTTGCAGATCCTAAAGGAGAAGAAGGGCAAATCGAAGGAAGCTTCTTTCGCAAATGTGATCACTTATGAAGATGATCTTTTCTGAAGATAAGAGTACTGATGGACAGAAGATTCTGCAGGATGGGAGTATCGCTGCAGAAATCGCAAATGATGTAGGACTTTGAATTAAGGAGAGATTTGTTGAGTGTTACTTCAAAGTCCCACATCGGTGGGATAGGAAAATTGAGGAGGGATTGGAGCCTATAAATAAAGAGGAGATATAGGCTTCCATCACACAACACAATCCTTCAATTTACATAATTGTGTATTAGATTTTAGGTTGTGAGTGTCAAATATTGGAGAGGGTTTGTAATTTTTCCGTGCAAAAATTACTAGTGAGATTTTATCCCAGAGGGGGTCGTGGAGTAGGTCTTGAGGTGCCGAACCACGTTAAAAATTGTGTGCTCTTTTTTTTTCTTTTTCTTTCGTTTGTTTGGAGTGGGGACCTAACAAGGCTTTGTAGCATTTAAATACCCGAACCGAATTGTCCACCTGAACTCAACTCAAAATGCCAATTCCTCCCGGCTCGACCCAGTAATTTCAGTCTGTTTTTGAGAGAAGTTTTCCTCAAATATTCAAATGTGATTTTTATAAAACCTAAGAGTAAATCCACTTCATAACTTTTTTTCTAAAGTGAAATTTGTTCTTAATATGACTAAAATACAAGTCATTTCTCAATATAGGACTTAAAATTTTTTATTTTCTAAATAACACTTAATAATGACTAGTGAGAAGAATAATGTCCATGTGATGTTGGACATTTAGTTGAATAATGATTAATAGATAATGACCAATGGTCCTACATTGGAAAATAAAAACATATAGTCCTATATTGAGAAAATCATTATGTTTTAGTCTTATTTAGGTAAATTACTCTTTTCTAAAAAGGTTCTATATACAAAATAGTGGTGGAGAAAAACAGAAGTTAGCATGTCAAACAGAGTAAAACAACTACCGCTCAAAACAGAAGCTAAATTCTTAAAAGTAGTACACTGCCAACTCAAAGATGCTGTATATACCACTCCTTAAAGAATGTTTCTATGGTACATCTTGGGTGCATATCATTTTTATGGATCTTCTCACATAAAAAATATTTTTTTTAAATTTTTTTAATAAAAAATACACCCTCCATTCTTGAAAATAATTCTAATTTTGACCAAGTGCCAAAATAAAGAAGTGTTAAATTATAGTTGACTTCTAATTTTGTCCTTAATGTGATGAGTAGATGTAAGATGTGATAAATAACTTATTAGAGAAAAGTATGATGTGATATAAGATAAGAAAAAGTAGGGATAAAATGGTTTTATAATAGAGAGTGAAGTATTTTGGTGAAAGAAAAAAAAATAAAAGAGGAAATGTTTTGTAGAACGGTAAAAGTAAATGCTTATTTAGTAAGAAAATGCTGATTTTGCTCATACGTAGGTCCACCATTAAATTTTCCTTCCTTAACATATACTCCCTTCGTCCCAAAATATTTGTCAGACTTGCTTTTTCAGCAGTCGCGAGAACTTTTGTTTATTTCTACGTTTTCATTGGTTATTTGATAAAATAAAATATTCTTGACACCTTTTATTTCGAAAACTTTTCATGTAGTTTTTTGATATGTAAATTTTATTTTTTATTTCCATACCAATATGTAAATAAAATGAATTGAAAAAACTTGATATTTTATCTCGAGAATACAAATGTGACAAATATTTAGGGACGAAGAGAGTATGTGTAATCTCTAATACTCCGTATTTTTATACTTTATTTAAACGATGAATTTACCTAAATAGTAATAAAACATAGTCTTTCTAATGTAGTATTATACAGAGTATGTTTTTATTATCCAATGTAATATTACTAGTCATTGTCCACTGGTCATTGTCTAAGTAAATGTAAAGCGCTACTAGACATTGTCCACACTCACTATATTCTGTAATTGTAACTACCACATTATCACTTTCACACTATCATTTGTCGCCGCTGGCAATCAGAGTGCCGCCGTAGATTACCGATGATTGAACGATTATACTAATATATCACATCACACTGTCATTGTACTTCTATTTTAATCTTAAAATAGTTTAAATTCGTATTTTGATATTTTGATAGATTTCTTTTATTATATTAGTTCCGTTTTGTTGCCTACCCATGTTATTTACACTATATGCTATGAAAAAACTATGGTAAGGGCTCGTTTGGTATACGGAATTGATGAAATTGGAATTGAAATTCCATAAGGCCCCGTTTGGTACACGGAATTCAAATTATGGAATTGGAATTAAAGACTTCAATTCCAATTCTCACGTTTGGTTGCACAAAAATTATGTGGATTTAGAATTGTTAGTGCAAAAAATGAATTGGAATTGGTGAATTCAATTCTATGGAATTGAATCCCATGGAATTTTAATTCCAATTTAATTCCAATTCCATCAATTCCGTGTACCAAACGGACCCTAAAATTCAATTCAATAGAATTGAATTCACCAATTCCCATTCATTTTTTGCATTATCAATTCCAAATTTACACAATTTTTGTGCTACTAAACACCAGAATTGGAATTGAACTCGAGCCTAGGTAAAATCAAGTGAAATTTGCACTAAATAGGACTAAAACATAATGACTTTCCTAATCTAGGATCTAAACTTTTTTATTCCCTAAATAGGACTTAATAATGTCTTCGTGGAAGGAATAATGACCAGCAGTGATGAACATTTACTTGAATAATGACTAATTAATAATGACCAAAAGTCCTACATTGAGAAATAAAAACATATGGTGTTATTTGGAGAAAGACATTATGTTTTAGTCCGATAAATTACTCTAAAATCAATCATTGTACTGTTCCATATTTTGTACTCACTCGCCGAATAGAATCCATTATTCCGAGTTTACTTGACACGTTTTCGCTTAAGAAGAAATCACTCGATGGAAATTCTCTGAAACATTTCACACACATAGAAGCAAGCCACAGATCTCTCCCAAAATCTCAAATTCCCCACAGTTTCGAAAATTCGGGCGGTTTTATACTTCATTGAGACCTAGTTGAGGGCAATGGAGTAAAGAGACGACGATGAGGAGTTAATCGATGGGCATGGCCAAGGCATGGAGGCATGGCGGCGGCGCGTTGAGTAGCCTGACTGCTGTGGCGGCGGTGCAGCATCGGCAGAAGCAGCATTGGTTCGTCTCTTGCACCTCTTCGTGGAGGCGGTCAATCTCCTGGACCGCCGTCTGCGGCGTTATACTCTTCGCCTTGGGGTTGATTTCGCTCTTCACTGGCCACGTCGCAACGAATCTCGACTGGTACTCACAGCACGCCTGGTTCTTCCGACGGGTAACCTACGCTGAGCTCCATCATTTCCTTCATCTCAGAGTAGATTATTTAGTCTTCTTCCTTTGTAGCATCTGGATTGAATTTTCAGCTTGTAGTTAGAACGGACCTCTGATTCTCTGAAGTTCTAAATTGGCTATAAATTAGGCAAAGAACCTGCAGTGAAGCACAGTTTATGTGTTCAGAACTAGCATGATTTGAGAATTCACATGAATACGTATTCTAGGCTCTAAATAATCCAACTCTGCCCTTTTATTGATGATGTGTAGGAAAAGAGTATTCGTGAACCCATAGATATTTGGAATTCAAAATATTCAAAATTATACTACGGATGCAGCAAAAGAGGTCCTGGTTTTTCTGGTAAGGAATCTACCATTTCTCGTGTCATGTGTACTTGGATAGTTGGATGCAAGATGTCATGTTCTCCTATAGCAACGTATCACTTACTCTTAATCATGATTCATCTATTCTGGTTCGTGAATGGCTCCATTTTATTCATATTCCTTTCATTAATATTACAATGCAGTTCGGGAGTATGTAATAAGTACACAATTGCTCCATCCCAATAGACCTTTTATGCTCCATCCATCTCAAAAAAATTTCTCGCTTTGACTTCATGGAATTTGAAAAAAGTGTTAAACGTGTGTGGTTAGATTTTTTTTAGAAGAGAGAGAAATGTTGTGTGCCACATATTCATTTTCTTGAAAGGAAATGAGAAGGGTGAAATTTATGTTGAAACAGATGGAAGAGGAAAGTAGGAAATTTCTATTTGAACAGAGGGAGTATTACAACAACTACTTAATGATGTTGTCCTTTTATTTCTGAATTTTCATATTACCATCGTGAAAATGATTCTCAGTCCACGTATGCCATGTTGCTTCTTAAACTTGTAGAATACATTTATCCTGATATATGAATAGCACGTGGCTTTTGTATGACTTTTGGAGAGAAAAGCGTCCCTTACAGTGCCAAGTTGAACTGTAGGTCCTGTTAAGGAGCGATCATCAAATGGGTACTTACTCATTGCAACTAGTGGAGGGCTAAACCAACAAAGAACTGGAGTAAGAATTATTTATCATTTTTTAGTAGTGATAATGTTAATATGATAGTAGGTTGTTCAACAATTTTAAATTCTTTAATTACTTTTAAGTTTTCTTGCTCATTAAGTTGATTTTTTTTTTAAAAATTCATTTATTGTTTCACAGATAACTGATGCAGTGGTAGTTGCAAGAATTCTAAATGCAACTTTAGTGGTACCTGAGTTGGATCACCATTCATTTTGGAAAGATGATAGGTTAGACCAAATTGTGTTGTTTACTAGTAGTAACATCATTGCAAGTTTTTTTTAATTGTGATGATCTAAACCCTTTTTTGCATATTCTAATTATTTTCCTTTTCTTCTTTATGTTATAAATATACTACAATGTAGTGATTTTGTCAACATATTCGATGTGAGCTGGTTTATCAATTACCTGGCCAAGGATGTAACTATTGTCAAGAGAGTCCCAGAGAAGGTTATGAGATCAATGGAAAAACCCCCATATACAATGCGTGTTCCTAGAAAGTCAGAACCAGAATATTATTTGGATCAAGTATTGCCAATCCTCTTACGAAGACGTGTAAGTGACAAACATGTCACTGCAGCTGTTGATTTAATTCAATTTTTCTTGATGCGAGTTTCCACTAGTGCTTTTTTATGCAAGAGAAAGCACAATCTTATGTGTATGTGTGCTGCATTTATTTTTTAGAATCCGGTAGCCAATGTATTCCTTACCAAGCGTCATGTATTTGAAACCTGATGCCATTATGCTGTAGGTGAACTCAGCCCCATCAAGTCTTCTTCTCCGTGTATTAGTGTATCTGATATTTAAGGATTTTAATTTCTTTTTATTGTGCAAGCATAAAAAAGTAGTTTTCACATAATTGTGTTCTATAAACCATTAATGAACAATTCCCTAAGTTTAGTGATTCTTGTATTGGTGCTATTGTTTTGACTTGTATTATATTTATATGGCCAAATTCTTGGTAATTGGTTCCTTATTTTTTGGGGCGGGCGGATACTATGTTATCCCATTTGTGTCATAAATTACTTCCTTAGTTCATCTGTCCTAAAATGAAGTTCACATTTGCTTTTTCATGGAGTTTAAGAAATGATGAAATTGTGTGGTTGAGGTTAATGCAGAGGACAAATAAATAATGTGAATGGTTCAATGTTTTCCTTAGAAGGAACGATAACTTTATTTTGTGACATTCCAAAAAGGTAAGTAGGAACTTTATTTTGTGATGAAGGGAGTATAATGATAAGTAGAGCGACTTGCTAGATTTTTTTCAAATGATTTACTATTCTTGTGGAGTATCTCTTTTGCATTCACGAGGTACACCGCAACATAAGTTGTGTAGAAGAGTGCATTGTAACATGCAATCAACTCTAAATAGTTTCACATTGGGGCTGCATGCTTGGACATTGAAACTCTTAGTGAGCATTGGGCCTATGCAGGTTATCAGTGTATAGCAGAGCTTATTGCACGAGCTTTAATTATATGGCTTCACTTATATGGAACTTCGTATAGCGTCTTTAACTAGCCAACCTAACACTGTTCTCTTCTTATGTGAATATCGAAAGACTTCAATGGTAGAATGAGTTAATTGGTAACTTATACTCGGGTATATGCTAATCGGAAGCTTGCAATGGGTCACAGGTTCTTCAGCTGACAAAGTTTGATTATCGACTTACAAATGAACTTGATGAAGAGCTACAGAGGTTGCGTTGTCGAGTGAATTATCATGCTTTAAGATTTACCAAACCCATAAGAAGTATGGGTCAAAAACTTGTGATGCGCATGCGGAAGATGGCAAAACGTTTTATTGCTGTTCATTTGAGGTTTATCTCTTTTAGTCTTCTTCCCAACTTGTGCTCTTCAAATGTTCATTTTATGATTTATTTTTTCAGCTCATTTAAAAAATTTAAATTTACTGATTGCTAACATTCTACTCCCTCCGTTTGTGAAAACACTTCCTAATTTGACACAAGGCCAAAATAAGGAATGGTTAAATTATAGTTGACTTTTCAATTTTTCCCTTGATGTGATGGGTACAAGTAAGATGTGATGTATATAGATTATAGTGAGAAGTATGACGTGATAGGTAGGGTAAGAAAAAGTAGGGGTAAAAACGGTTTTTTAATAGAAAGTGGAAGTGTTTTGGTGGAAGAGAACACAATGAAAGAGGAAGTGTTTTGGGGAGCGGAGTGAGTAAGTCTTTGTCATTAATATCTTCTCCATTACTTGAGTTGATTGAGTCAATCCTCCACCATTATCAACATCTCAGTCTCAGCTATATTGGGCTTGGTGGCAGTTTGTAGGTCTTTTAGTCAATTCTCTAAAATTAGGTTAACCATATTAACTGATGCAAACAGTGACTATAGTCTATTTTTGATGCCATTCTTAACACAATTTACAGCCTTATGAATTAACAACCATTCATCTGGTGCATTTTTTTAACTGCCGCATGTGCATCATGTGCATCGGTGGTAGTGGTGTTTCACTTTTATGGTAGATTGTTGGAGATTTTAAATGGGTTCATCAATTGTGAAAAGTATACTCCATCCGTCTCACAATTAACACAATACTTTCCTTTTATGTCTATCCCAAAATAAACTTTTTATTTCACCTTTTAACTATTTAGGAAATGAATGTGGTCAACTTATTTATCTATTCTTATCGAATTCCAACCATACACTTTTCACTTTTCTTAAATTTTGTGTAGTTAACATGTCAATTTTCTACCCCGTGGTGCAAAATTTCTTCCTACATATTTTGTCTCTGTTTCTCATGTCGCTTTTGTTGGAGTTTGTCACAGGTTTGAACCTGATATGCTGGCATTTTCTGGATGCTACTATGGTGGGGGTGATGAAGAAAGATACGAACTTGGTCAAATAAGGAAACGATGGGATACATTACCTGTAAGATTATATGCCTTGCAGCAATTTCTTTGTCTGCTTTCATTCCAAAGTACATGCTAATTGCATACTTGCAGTGCATCAAATATGATGATATGCTTATGGAAGTTGAAGGTTTTCTGTGTTAGCTACTTAGCTTCTATAATTGTTAGGAACCTTTCTAATCTTTAAGCCTTTAAGGTAGAATATCTTGGGCCATCTGCTCATTGATTTATTGTTATTATTGTTATCACCATCATTATTATTCTCATTTTTTGCCAAACATTTCTATAAAATGCTGTCTATTTTGGTGCAGGAAGCAAGCCCGGATGAAGAGCGGATGAGAGGGAAATGCCCTCTGACACCACATGAAGTTGGTCTAATGCTGCGAGCATTGGGATTCGAAAATGACACGTACCTTTTTGTTGCATCCGGGGAAGTATATGGTGGAGAAAAGACTCTGCAGCCCCTAAGAGAACTGTTTCCAAACTTCTATTCCAAAGAGATTCTTGCCGGTGAAGAATTAATACCTTTCTCTCCATATTCTTCTCGCATGGCCGCAATTGACTACATCGTGAGTGAGGAAAGTGATGTCTTTGTCACCAACAATAATGGAAACATGGCAAAGATCCTCGCTGGTCGAAGGTAACAATTGCTCTACTTGGAAAATTTGGATTCACGCCCTTGAAGATTTTGCATGATAACCGAATTTATCATCCCTTCTATCCCTCTTTCGTGTTTGATGCATTTCAAACACGAAAATGGCTTTTGGAAAATGATTTCCAGAAAATGACTTCTGAAAAATAAATTTATTTTCTGGTGTTTGGTTGAAAGTTTGAAAAATGAAAAGAAAAACTATTTTTTTAAACATATCATAATAAAACATGGTCAGTTTCAATTTAAGGAGAGAAGGGTGGAAATGTCTCCTGCTGAAAGAAAAGGAAATCATTTTCTTCCAAATAAGCTCATTTTCCGTTGACTTCTAAAATCATTTTCCTTTGACTCCTATTTTCCGGAACAACTAAACACTGGAAAATGAGAAAATGACTTCGAGAAGTCATTTTCCTCCTTCCCAAACGTACCATAATTCTGTGTTTGATATGAAGTATGAACCAATCAGAGAGTGATAGGACATTGTGACATGAAAGCTTGATATAAGATTTGACTTCTTCAGCCTGTTTGAGAATAATGTTATTTTCAAACCTTGTGAATTGTGATGGAAGGCGTTACATGGGACACAAGAGAACCATAAGGCCAAATGCGAAAAGACTCAGCGCTCTGTTCATGCAACGGGAGAAGATGGATTGGGATACGTTCGCCACAAAGGTCAAATCATGCCAGCGCGGGTTCATGGGAGAGCCCGACGAGATGAAACCCGGGCGTGGCGAGTTCCACGAGTACCCCGCCGCCTGCATCTGTCGCAAACCGTTCAAACTGTCCGAGGACACGAATTCTACTCAAGGACACATCATCGATGACCTCAGCGCAAAGAACATGCAGGAATTCACGAAAGTGAGTGAAGTGTCGATGTCATCTGTACTCCAAGAGAGTGACCATGAGAATGACCCATTGTCTGATTAACCCAAAATGAATCTACAAAGCATCACTGGCCTTGAAAGGAGGGACATATCTCTAAAGAAAGGTAGGGGATCTCTTCCAATACCTTGATGTCCCATTATTCTTATGTTCCCACATAGCACAAAAATTTGCCCCCTTTTCATTGTTGTGTTATGTGTCAACATGTGAAGGGTAATACATGAGATTGGAATAACATTTTTGGGACAGGGAATCTGATCTTTCAAAGGAAATGGTTGCCCCTCCACACACACGTATGGTGCGTGATCGTTGAATGGACGGGACCCATATTTGGAAGGCGGTCCTAGACCAAGCGTTGCTCGGGGAGCCCAAGTTTTGTTCTAACTAATGACCATGAGCTGCAACTGTTCATAAACATGTGTACTACTACTGCTACAACTACTATGATGTTTTTTTTGTATCATAGAGAGTTTCTTGGCTTTTGTTTTGTTTTTTTTTTGCTTTGGGAGTTTGTTTGTGCTTTGCCGGACTTGAGATATATATTTTAGGAGCCCTGTGCAGTAATCATGAATCCTACAATTCAACTCCCTTCTCCCCCAATTTAGACAGTTTGGTTCATTGTTCAATTAATAGGATCAAACTTTACTCTTTTTGTTTTGTCTATTATCTTGATTTATTTGATAAAAAGTCGTTTGTTTTGTGATTTTGTATGAAGTTCTTAAATACTATGACTTGTATTAATTTTAAAATAAATTTAATTAAAAGTAATTTAGGTCAAATATTGTACATTGGTGTTTGCACTTTTGAAAATTACCCAAATATGCAATGCATTTGCAAGAAAAAAAAGTGAAAAGCTAGGACAAATATACAAAAACAAAATGTGAATAATGGCCACTTTTGAGCATTTCTCTAATTGAAATTTGCAAAAATTAGTACAATCAAAGTACATAAACGCCAAGAGACTTTAAAAATTGACCATTATTTCACACAAAAAAATGAAATGAATATACACATTGGGACTAATAAGACAAACCAACACAAAACAAATTTTTTTTGGGAGTATTTATTTCTATGCCATACATAAAGAATTGATGAACTAATTTAAGCATATAATAAAAATAAAAACAACAAAAATTAAATTAAGCATCAGCAGGCGCAATCCAGTGTCTCCCATTTACAAAGCTCTTCCTAAGGAATGGGTGGGCCGTATCAAAGTCCAGCTCTCTGGCCCACGATGCCCCTTGAACTGCTGCTGCTCCTGGGCCCCAACATTTGTACACCCCAAAAAATGCGGTCCTGCAACATCGGCCCAAATCTTAAAAAATACTTTTTCCCTCCCAAAACAAAAAAGGATGAATTATTATTTACGCCGTCAAACTAGTTTTTTTGTTCTTAATTCACTTGTATCGATAATTTGACTAATAATCTACGTATATCATCGCTTGTCTTGTAAAATTTTGATATAATTCTTAAATATGAAAATTCTATCATTTTATTTCTGTAAATCATTATAAGTGGAACTATATGTTTTGTTTCTGGATTGAAAATCATCTATGCTTATTTTTTTAATGAGACTTATCGAATTGATTTATGTTGAACTCTTGAATTGAATATATTAAAGCTTCGTTTGATATCAGAATTCAAATTATAGAATTGGTATTGGTGATTATATTTCCTATCTTGCTATTTCGTAACACAAAAATACGCGAATTTGAAATTGGTAGTACAAAAAGTGAATTAGAATTGGAGAATTCAATTTCATAAAATTTCTATTCTAACTCTGTCAATTCTGTGTACCAAACGGACCTTAAAAATAATAAATAAATATATAAATAAATAAATAAAAATCAATGCATCTTAAAATGGACTTACTTGCTTTTGTTGCTGGCGTGGTCCCAGTCATCCCAGCCGCCGTGGGCGACGACGTCGTCAAAATAAGTGTAGGAGAAGATAATTCTGGAATATTGGCCCATGGCCCGGCCCACGTACAGCGGCCCAGTACCAGTAACAGTGCAATTAACGAATGCGAATCCAGTCTTCTCGTCCGGAAAATTTCTGTTTTGGGCCGCAATTGACCCAAATCTTCTTGCTATTGAATGGATCTGGCAATCCTGTGTCACCCATATTTAAAAAAAAAAACTATGAAAATCGGGACGGTGCCCATGACATTGTCCGTCAATGTCATGGAAGTGCCCTGATCGTAAAATTTATAGTTCCTACCTCCCTAATGCTCCGGCTAACTCCCCACAAGTTAAATTTTAATTTTTGAGTCAAAATTTTTGTCACATCTTATTTTGTAGACTTTTTGACGTAATCTTGAAATACATAATTTTTATTTTTATGCTAATCTTTGAATAAAATAAACTAAGTTAATTTAAAATTTCACTTCTTTTTCTGCAAAGTGCCAACCATTTTGAGAGGGAGAGAGTATATATTACTTACTCCACTCCTAAATGACTTACACACTTTACTATTTAAAAATTGCGAGAATTTTTGTTTATTTAAGTGTTTTCATTGACTATTTAATAAAATAAAATATTTTTGTCACCTTTTGTTATGTATAACTTTTGATGTATCTTTTACATATGTAAATTTTATTTTTATTTGTATCCTCATTTTTAAATAAAAATTTAAAATTTTACTTCGTTTGGTATAAAGTTCGTTTTGGGCCGAAGAGAGTAGTATACTCCTTCTGTCCACCATAGATCTTCTCAGACACTATTCACATGGTCAAACTTTACTCACTTTGTTTGCTCAATTTTACTAGCCATTTCATAAAATAATATAGTCTAGTCGCCTCTAGTTTTGTAGAACTTTTAATGTAGTTTATTACTATATAAATTTTATTTTAAAATTTTACTTCTATAATCAATTAAATTAAATTGAAAATAAAGTCGGTCAAGGCTCATAACGCGTAATGGGAAGATCATACATGAAGGATAATTTAATTGAAGTTGTCACGTGAAACAAGGGAGGAAAAAGAAAACATTTGGGTCAAACAAGATTCCAGATCCGGCACGTTAATTCAACCTCGGGTACATCTAATTTTTAACCCTCCACCCCTATTACAAAACAAAAAACATTTTTATTACTGTCCAGTAATAACACAAAATGGACACACAATAGTCAAATTTTTGAAAGAAAAAGTGAAGTAAAAAGTTTGTCCTTATTCCTCTATATTTTCAATTGATAGAGAATGCATAGACTATTAATTTGGAAAATAATTGCAATAAATTATACAAATTGATTTTGTTTGTTTTAGAAAAATAAATTAAAATGTATGTGCATACTAGAGAAGTTTATTGAAAGTGGTATAATTCTTCCAAAAAACAAGAAAACTTTAAAACTTATTTTATGACCATGAGAAAATATTTAAAAAAATCAACTTGTTTCGAAATAAACTTGGTGTTTTACTGATTTGAATGTCCCGGGATATATCTCACTTCTCGCAACGATACAATTTTATTTTTTCTTATAGATTAAACATCGTGAAACTCAAACTAAGACGTTTATTTTGGTCAAATTTCTTTTCTTCTTTCTTATAAATTTATTTTCTTTAATTAATTGTTTTTTTAACAATCATTAACTAATTGTTAAAATACCATACCCTTTTGTAGATTATTTAATGTATTTTTTAATATCTACTTCACAAATTTTATTACTCCGGTATGATATTTTAAAATATCATTAATCAAAGAAATGGAATTAAAAATTAAACTCTATGAAATTAAATAAAAAGATCAATAATTTTGAGAGAGAGAGAGAGAGAGGGAGAACATAAATTACTTTGTACATGGAGCGGCCATTGCCGAAAATGAAGTCGATGGAGCCCTGAATGTAGCAGTCCTTGAAGTAATGCCGGCCGGCGTCGTCGCAAAGAGTGTCCTGAGCGCCGTGGAATCCGCAGCCGGAGAAGTACGCTTTGTCGCCGGATATCCTAAACGCCACCGCTTGCCACCCTTCCACCCCCGGCGGCGGTGCCGGTGCCGTGTTCTGTTTTATTTGTTGTTATACAATGATTATTATTTTTGCACATTTTCATCATGAATACATAAATAAATAAATAAAACAATTTTGTCATTATATAACGTGTCCCAGAAAACCTTTCCCCTTTCTTTTTTTTTCCGTCCCAAAAAACACTTCTCATTTCTATTAAAAAGTCACTTTTACCCTTTACTTTTTCATACCCTACCTATCACATCATACCTTTTTACTAATAATCTATCCATCAAATCATACTTTTACGCATCACATCAAAGGACATTTTTGGAAATTCAATACCAAAATACACTCCCCTTAAATCCATCTCCAAAACCAAAACTCCAATGTTTTCCGGGACCGGAAGGATTAAGTGCGACCATGTACCTCCAGAAACTTTTCTAAATTAAAATGTGTAATTTTGATATTATTTTCTAAATTCTAAAGCGCCAAAAATAAAGATTATTGTAAAGAGGCGTGAGTAAACAAAATGAAACCTTGAAAGTGATGTTTCTAGCCGAGAAGAAGTTGGCGAAGACGGAGACGGAAGCGGATTGATATGTACGGAGTTGTTGCCCGTCCGGGCCCCGGTCGCTCGCCTTGTCATGCCACTCGATCACCGTCCATTCCCTCCCTGCTCCCTCGAACGTTATGAACGGTTTAGATGCCGGCACCACCACCTTCTCCCTGCATCCTCACCACATCATATTTTTTCTTGCTATATAAATAACAGTGAAATTTACGCCAAATATGACTAAAACATAAATCATTTTTTAATGTATGACTTAAACTTTTTTATTCCGTAAATAGTAATTAATAATGTCTAGTGAGAGGAATAATGTTCACTGATGGTAGACATTTATTTGAATAATGACTAATGAATAATGATCAATGCTCCTACATTTGAAAATAAAAATATATCATCATATATTGAAAAAGTCATTATATTTTATACCTAAACATTTTTTTATTAAAAAAACTCATAATTGGGTACGTACTTGTAGTAGCCAGGACTGATTTGAATGAGTACACTCATGCAATTGTTCTCCGGGACGGAGTCAACGGCGGCCTGAACAGAGAGGAAGTCGCCGGAGCCGTCGAGGTTGACGGAGATAGTGCGGCGGCCGGACGGCCCCACATAGTGGCCGTCGAGCTGCCTTCTGCTAGCAGCAGAATCGAAACTCGCTGGCGGCAGAGCGCCGCCGCCGCCGTGGCTGGTCTCCGGCGGCGAGGTTGCATTTAGCAACCGGGGAAACAAGAGGAAGAAAGTAAGAAGTGTAAGAAAGTTTGTAGCCATTTCTGAAATGTAATAATAATAAAATGGAAACAAAAATATATGTTGAAGAGAATGGGAAATGTGACAGTTTATATATTTGGGGGAATAATTTGGAGGTTTCTTGTAACGGTCATATATTTACATTACCAGTGTTTCCTTGCTTTCTTGTTCATTCAGTAAAAAAACACTGTACCACACTAGTGGTTCTTTTCTTTTCTATAATAAGGAAGAAAAGGTAAATTATTTTGTAGTCCTAAAATTCACGCTCATTTTAATAACTTTAGTATTTGAATAACATAAATGAATTGGGCTCATTAAAAAAGATAAAAAATCTTTATATCAATCCATAAAGTGAAATTTACACTTAATAGGATTAAAACATATGTCATTTTTTAATATGAGACTTAAATTTTTTTTATTTTCTAAATAGGACTTAATAATGACTAGTGAGAAGAATAATGTCCAAGTGATGCTAGACATTTAGTTGAATAATGACTAATAGATAATGACCTATGGTTTTGAGAAAAATAAAAACATATGGTCCTATATGACCAAATAGCGTCAGTACCCCCCGTGGTTTGCAAAATAGGCAGCGATACCCCCTCTGTTTTCAAAACTTATTTCTAAAGTCTTTGTGGTTTCAAAACGTTGCACCCGCGCCCCCTCTGATCATTTTCCGGTCATTTTTCCGGCGAAAAAGGGGAGCATTCGTGCATATTTTCTAAACCACGGGGGGTACCAGTGCTGATTTTTTTATTTCTCTCTTTTTTCCCCAATTTTTTCCTTTATTTGTTTCATTTATTAATAAAGGTTATTTTACAATTAATTTTATAATGTTCTTAAAATTTAAAGTTATTTTTGTGTGAAAAAATTAACGTATAATGCATCGGCACGTCTCAAATTAACAATTTTTGTTTTTTCCGAAAAAAGGTAATTTTTTTAGAACTTCTAAAAAATGATGAATAAAATAAGAAACAAAATAATACAAAAATAAAAATGATTATCCTTTTTCGACATCTCAATTTTAAGGATATTTTTAGGCGTATTCCAAAATTGTTTTTTTATAGAAGACTCTTTTTTTCGTATTTTAATTTTTTTCATTTCGTTTTTCCATATTTTTATTTTGGGTTTTCTTTAATTTGGGATAGATGTAATGTATGTTAATTTTTTTACTAGTTCAAACACAAAGAATTTTTAAAAAATTTAAAACATTATAAAAATTGAAAAGAAATTTAAAAAAATCTAGGAAAAGGAAAAAGAAGGAAAAACACAAATAATAAACGAAAAATAAGAAATGAGCATAAGTGCCCCCCTATGGTTTAGAAATTATGCGCCAATGCCCCTTCTTCGCCGGAAAATGGTCGGAAAATGACCAGAGGGGGTGTGGGTGCAACGTTTTGAAACCACAGGAACTTTAGAAATAAGTTTTGAAAAGAGATGGGGTATTGGCGCCAATTTTCCAAACCACAGGGGGCACCGAAATAAGTTTTGAAAACAGAGGGCCTAATAAGTTTTGAAAACAGGGGGCCTAATAAGTTTTGAAAACAGAGAGCCTAAATGCTCGACATTTAGTTAAATAATAACTAATAGATAATGACTTATGGTCTTACATTGGAAAATAAAAACATATGGTCTTATATTGAGAAAGTCATTATGTTTTAGTCCTATTTAGGTAAATTATTCATCCATAAATTAAATAGTGTTAAAAGATTAGGATTTGATATGTATGTGAATCTTAGGATCATGGAAACAGAATTCATAATAATGATATATGTACATGGAGACTACTATTATTATTTGTGTGTGTTTGTGTGGTACACATGAAGTTAGAGTGATGCATAGAATTATTATTTCCTCCGTCCCACAAAATTTTTTTGCCTTTTTTTCCATTCATTCGAAAAAAATTATTCTTATTTCATTTAAAAAGTCATTTTTATTCATATTAATTTTTAACATGTCTATCACATCATTATTTTTCACTATTGATCTTGTTTTTCACTATTAATCTATCAATCATATCCTATTTTTATTCATCACATTCAAAAATAATTTTAAAAACTGAACACCAAAATATACTCTCTTATAAACTGAACACCAGAATATTTTAGTATATTGTTATATTTGTGCAGTTATTGGGACGGATATTTTTTTTTTAAAGAAACCTTAATTAACAACATGGGTCAAATATAACGTGGTTAGTGAATCTAAAGAATACTGTAATTTAGTGCGAATTGGACTGTTGGTTTTCTTATGTGCTCCTTGTCTGTCTCCCAACCTATACTTCCTAATTATGTATAGTCTTTAACCGTAAAAACTTGTTAAGGGGCTGTTTGACAACTTCTGAATGGGTAAGTGCTGAACCAGTAAGAGGTCTGAACCATTAAGGGCTAGTATATTGCTTAACTATTCAGAGGCAAATGTCTGATCAATTCAGATAAGAGCTCTTAACCATTCAGACTCTGTATAATACTTAACCATTCAGAGGCAAATCTCTTAACCATTCAGACATCTGAACCATTAAGAGGCTGAAACAAATAGTCTGAACCATTAAGTGCTGAATCATTCAGACATCTGAACCATTAAGAGGCTGAAACAAACAGCCCCTAAGTTTGACATCAAAAATTTGACAATAAATGTCTCCAAAAATATATTCTGTATAGAAATAATAAGAAAAATTACTCTAAATAGGAATACAATGTAGAGAAAATATTAAAATACTTCGGTAAGAGTTTGTACTATGATAATATGACACTGCATATGAACATTTCGTAATACTTTTTGGTATTATATATTGAGCATTGTATATGCATTTTAATTTTTATTTTGGGAATAAAATCATAGAACTCCTATTTTGATATATTTTCTATATTTTACTCTTCTTTTGGGAATAAAATGGAAAAAATATTTTACTCAAAAATATGGAAAAAATGGATTTTGACTCTTATTTTGGGAATAAAATCATGGAATTCTTATTCTAATATATTTTCTATGTTTTACTCATACTTTAGTTTTTCTCATAGATAATCAATCATTTGTAGGTAAGAGTTTTACTCATATGCTTTCTTTTTCGTTTTTACTTTTTTTTTGGTTTGCTGTTTTTTCTTTTTTGTTGAATTTTTTAATTTTTGCTGTGTATTTTAATATCATGTTTTTTTAATGTTTTTTTGCTTTTTTCTTTTTTCGTTATTTCAATAGTTATTAAAATATACTATTTTGTTTCTCAAATTTTCAAGTTGTTTTTTTTTGCAATATGAGATTTTCCTTGCTGATGAGATTCCGGCCAGTGGATTTGTAGTCGTAACGGCAATCGTGGCGGTCAGAGTAGATGCTTGCCACACCAGCATTGAAATCTGGTCAGCCAAGCACAAGGGTATTATTTAAGTAATTTTATTATTTTACTGACCTCATACTCCCTCCGTCCTAAAACTTTCTTCCCAGAGCAGTTATTCCAATTTCACAGGAATTTATATTTATTTGTGTTTTTTCATGGCCTATATGATAAAATAAAATATTCTTGTCACCACTTATTTTGTTGAGCTTTTGATGTAGTTTTTTAAATATGTATATTTTATTTTTTATTTCTATACCAATATTTAAATAAAATAGATTGAAAAATTTGGGATTTTTCTTCGTTTTGCTCAACGGGAAGAAAGTTTTAGGACGGAAGGAGTATTACCTAATAAATATCCAAACACAAATTTTTCAACTTATTACCTTACTTTACCTACCTTTCAAGTCTGTCTTGGGACACCATAAGATTGGGATCGATTTTTTTTTCTTTTTCATTTTGTAAAATGGAATCGAAAACAAATGAATAATCAAATCTCCTTTTTACTGTGGGGTAAAATCTAGGTGGGTGGCCCACCATTCTTACAATTATTGAGTTGGTCCTTCGGTCCGCTTTGAGTTGGTCATGTGATCTCATCCATTATGGCATATTTGACGGGATTTGATGGATATAAAGAAGTATGATGTAAAGTGATAAAAATATGTATTTGGTAAGATTTGAGAGCACTCGAAATACCCATGAAATCTCGGGGTTTCAAAAATTTTTTCTCTGTTACATCAGCTTTAAATTACGTCACAGTTTCAGTGGAAATGAGTTTAAAGCTCCAAGGCTTCAAAATGGGTTTTAAACTTTCACTTTTTACATAATATTTTAAGATTAAATTAGTAAAATTTAATTATTTAATATTATAAAAATCTCTAAAGACGGTTAATAAAAAAACAATGCTAGGTTCATAAATAAAATTGTCACAAACTTCACAAACTTATCATTTATAACTTAAATTTTTATTTTAAAATTATTTTAGATGATTTAATTTCTTTTATTGAAGCCTACAAATAGTAAGTTTGTAAATTTTACAACAATTTTATTTGTAAATCTAGAACCAAACAACCAAAGTTTTAATTTCAATGTTTTATGCCTCTAACACGTTTGTTTGTTGTTCAAAACCGTCCTTTATTCTATAATCTATAGTGTCTCGTTTGATAATTTAACGTAAATTTCACGGCATCCGAGAGTCATATTCGATTCTTGACTTTGATCTACGGTTAAATTTTGGAGTTGTCATCTTTTTAATGGGGTCATAATCGAATTTTAGTTTTTTTATATAATCATTTAATGTATTGATGTTTAATTTATAAAATAAACATTTATCAAACGACCACCATGTTGGTGATTTTAGTGTCATCAGTTTATTTTGTGTAATTGGATTTACTTAGATCGAACAAGAATTTACATATACGTTGTAAATAAAACGAGTTAGGAGGCGCGGAGTGCGCACTCATTCAACGATATTACAAATTCACTGCGGGGTCCGGCCCGGGTAGCGGGGTGGCAGCCCCTGGTTAGGAATAATGGATGTATTAGGAAAAATAATATTACTCCATTATTTATTACTCCCTCCGTCTCACTTTAGATTACAATATTCTCTCACATTTTTGAAATTAAGGAAGAGTCAAATCAAATTTTGTTTCCCCAAATTACCCCCAAGTGGCCCACTCTCATGGATGAATAGTATGTGAATAGTGTAGGAGTGGGAGGGTAAAAGAGTCAATTCCTTGTAAAGTTATTGACTTTGTAATTCTTTTTGGGACAAAAATGTGAGAGAATATTGTAATCTATTTCGGGACGGAGGAAGTACATTACTTCCTTATTGTATTGTTGCTATAATTTTTCTCTTGCTTAGATTAAAACTATTTCTTGTAATTCCTACATATAGTGATGTATTATTCATTATTCAATAAGATCAATTGTTATCAAATTATATTATGTAACCCTAAATCGACAGGCCAATTTTAAATCATATGCAGAAGTAGGTGGGATAAAGAGGAAATAGATTGAGAATTGGGTTTTATTGTTGCTATAGACTGTAATGGCCTAATGGGAGGCTGTAGTTTTTGATATGTATATTGGAGCAAATCCTCATATTGAGATAACTACCAGACATAATGAATTGGAACCAGTGAGCTTTCTTCACAACAAGGGAACTACAAAATGGGTTTGTTTGGGAATAACATTTTTTATTAACGTTAGTGTTTTAGATAAAAAGTTAACGGCCAAGAAAAAAAAAGGTTTCAAATTTTATCTTATGTGCTCCTCTCAAAGTGATCAATTTGATATTTTGTAGATGACCTCACTATATTACTGGTAAAGTTGATATTGGGTTTATTCAAAGTATTATGAACTCCATAGAGAACTTCAGGAAATACACATGCCTCAAGATAAACAATGAGAAATCCAAGGTGGTATTTGGAAGATGTAGTGAAGAGCTTTAGAACAATATTTTGAATTTAACAAAAATGCCAAAGGGAGAGTTGCCTTTAACTTATTTGGGGAGTTGAGTCACTCTTCTGGTTTAACAACAAAAACTAAGACAAATTAGTGGATAAAATCATTACGACAATTTTAACTTGAAACTCTGATCTAAAGATATCACGTATGCTGGTGGGGTTAATCTAATCAATATAGTTCTATTGAGAGATATTACCAGATGGGTTTTAGGACCTGGGCCTAGAGTAGATTAGGCAAAGAGAGTAATTTGAATGATTAGAGTGCTCCTAGATTGTAAAAGTGGGGTAAGAGTGTATTATTGTTTAGTGAGATTGTGATGTCTCCTCCAAAGTGGAGGGGGTATTTATACAAATAGTTAATTCGTCCTATGTGTGCACCCTAGTTGTTTGTTTTGGATAGTGCCCATGTCATGATCATGGGTGGTGGCCCAAAAAATATGGGTCCCTATCAATAGTACAAGGAATGTAAATACATACTATATCAAATAATGTACGGGTGTACCACACACGAGAAATGTTCCTGATTGGGCCTGAAGATTTAGACAGTGCATAAGAAATCCAATGCCTCTTCTCGTGATTTCATGTGTAAGTCTTTTCCCCCGATGTCTGAGTCTGTTATGCTTAAAGAGGTCGAGTGTGTACTATGCATTGGAGACGTCAAGTACAGATTTTGTCGTTTGGTCTATGTCGTGCACTTCGGCGACCATGTCCGATTTCATGTTTTAGGCAGAGGCCGTGTGTGGTCGTAAAACCAGAAGACTTGGTTCAGCCAACCCACACTCCACAGAGTACGCTATGCCTGAGTGCGTTATGATCATTCGAAGTTAAGTGGGCTTCTGCTTTGAACTAATGATAATTGACTAGGTTGGATACCCCAAGTCTAGGGTATCCATCATTATCTTTTGGGTAAGAATTTTCACACTTCCTACTAAAGTTATGAAGAGAATAAATGTAATTTATATGAACTATCTCTGGAGCGCATCAATTGAGCATAAAAAATTCTTTTAATGCAGTGAGATGACATACATTTACTTGCCAAAACATGCAGGGGGGATTTGGGGCACGAAATATTCTCCTTTCGAACAAAACTACTCTTATAAAATTAAATTGGGACACATCAAACAAGCTAAGAAGAAAATACCGTGGGTTCAGTGGATACATGCAAGATATCTGAAGCTAGAACACATGCACCCTTTTGGTATTATATTCCCAAACTCAATTGATGTCATTGCGTAGAAAAATGATAAAAACGAGAGAAGAAATCATTGGGATGAGCAAGAATGAAAAATATGGTGTTCAAAAAGGCTACAACTAACTGGCTATTGGGACGACCAAGCTAGGAAAGTTCCTTAATTACTAGTCTAAATGGATCTGGACTAGAGGGAGGGAGTATTCATAAACACGGGATATCTTTTGATAAATTTACCAAAATAGGACTAAAACATAATGACTTTCCCAAAATATAGGACCATATGTTTTTATTTCCCAATGCAGGACTTTTGGTCTTTATCAAGTAGTCATTATTCAACTAAATGTCCGTCATTACTAGACATTATTCCTTCCACTAGGTCATTATTAAGTCCTATTTAGGGAATAAAAAAGTTTAAGTCATACATTAGGAAAGTCATTATGTTTTAGTCCTATTTAGTGCAAATTTCACTTATATCTTTTTGATGATCATGAAGAACAGACATCAAACAAGAGTGAGCTTGAAAAAATATATGCATATAAACACTAGATGTCTATTGTGTGAGGAAAAAGAGGAGAATGTTACTCACTTATTCTGCAATTGTGATTATACTATTAGAGTACGTGTTGAAAGAAGTGTTCGGTTGGCTAAATGAAAATGTTCGTTGCTCGAGAGAGTACAAAGGAGATGCAAGCGAGATAACATTTGGGAGATGAATTTGGTTTTCAATATAGGAAAATATATAGCTAGCTAGAGCAGCTTGGATGACATTTTGCTATATCATATGGAAAGCAAGAAACGCAAAAAACCTATGTGATGTGAATTATCTCTAGTTATGCATGTTTATACCAAGTTATGTTTATGACTAACAATAGAATGAAGAATCAAATTCTTTAATAGGGTTTCAGTTTTAGCCCCATTTTGTATTCAGAAGAAATACACCTTAATTTTGTAATATATACTCCATCCGTTCTCAAAAACACTTCCTCTTTCATTTTTTCCACTTCCAACAAAACACTTCCCTTTTCTATTAAAAAACCACTTTTACCCTTAATTTTTCATACCCTACCTATCACATCATACTTTTTCTCTAATAATCTATCCATCACATCTTACTTTTACCCATCACATCAGGGGCAAAATTGGAAATCAACTATAATTTAACACTTCCTTATTTTTGCCCCAAATCCAAATGGGGAGTGTTTTTCCAAACGGAGGGAGTATATGGCTATGACACATACATTTGTACAATGATCATTAAAAAGTTTAGATTAGAAACTGTAGAAAATAATAAATAGAGAATACATATGGAGCATTAAATTGTCTTCAGAATACAAAGATCTAGCCATCTTTAATTTATATAGGCTGATCGGCCGAATCAAACAAGACGAAACAAAGTGAAGTGGATCGCTAATTCCATTTTTATTACACTCAGTAATTAATTATTTATTTATTTAATTAAAGTATTAAGTAGTATTACTTTTGTTTGCTTGAGAGCAACAATAATAATGCGTGGTAAAATCGATCAGCTAGCAAGCAGCTAGGGGCAGCTGGTGCACCCGCACTCCATATTAGCCGTATTGGTATTTTTGGCTTTAAAAACGGACCCGTAAAGATGGGTGCAAGTCTTCTGGCAATCCGCCCATGCCGGATTTGGTTGCGGCACTTTGTTTTGGCATTCCACCGCATCACTTGCCGGAACCATCACTAAACCAACTGCATTGTGTAGTATTATTTGAGTCAATCTTTACAAAAAAAAATTATTTTGAAAATAGCCATTACACGTAATTAAAAAATTTAATTCTGTTGATATAACACATTTGTTTCACACTTCAGACACATTTCGCATGCCCTAAATTGCATACTTTTTTTAAATTATATCTCCAATTCTCAAATTCTTGTTATATTATGTTACTGAGAAAATTGGAGATCTAATATGAACAAGTACACAATTTAGGGCTTGTAAATTGTATCGGATGTAATTAGAATTACAGGACTCATATAATATTAGGTACAAAATAAATGTGTTACCTCATCTTATTAGAGATGCTAATTATATTTAAAGACTATTTTTAAATAAACAAAACTCAACTACTTTACATGGACTAAAAACATACTTCCTCCGTCGTCTAAAAACTATCTTCATGTTTACTATTCGTCGTATCAAACTTTATTCACTTTATTGAACTTTTTTCGTTACTCATTTTATAAAACAATATAGTCATGACACCTCTAGTTTTGTAGATCTTTTGATGCAGTTTTTGAATATGTAGTTTTTGTTTTTTGGAGTACTATTTTTTATATAAAATGATTTGAAAATAACTTCAGTCAAACATCATAACGCACAATGCGAAGATAATTTTTGGACAGAGGAAGTATTTAACTCTTATTTTAACAAGTAATAATAAAAAATTGGGGACATAAGTGCATAACTATTTTATTGAAATAAATAAGTAAAAATACTCGTAGTTATAATGAATGAATGGGATGGAGTATTAATAGTTAATACTTTATTATATTCCGTATTATCGGATCAAAATTTACCAAAAAAGATAAAAAAAAAATGGACAATGACTTCGAGACAGAGGGAGTATATTATTCACCTAAAAGAGCGAGAGCAACAATGGCAGTGGCGTATGCAGAAAGGGAAGAGATCTTCTTAGCCATTGTGAAGGTTAATTTTGTATAAGATGATTTGTTTTGTTATATTCTCTTAAATTTCTTTGCCCTTAGAGTCCTTTATATATACAACACGAGGAAATTTGCTTTTGTAAAAACCCACAATTACGGAGTATTTTGGGGGGGGTTTATTATATTGTTTTCACCACATTATTTTCTACTCACAATTTAAGGATCTCCTTTACACGTATAAAACTTTAAATTTAATTTTTTATATGGATTAAATATGTTTTTGGACTCTGTAAAATATGCCAATTTTGTTTTGGTAATTAACTGTAAAATATCCTTTTGTTAAGCCATCTTTATAAAAAAAAATTATTTTTAATATTTTTAATTTATTAGGGTAATGAATTTATTTCGTACTCAAGTTCTTAATTTTGTATTTCTAATCACTTTAGACACAATTCTCATGTCATAAATTGTCTTTTTCATCGCATTACATCCTCAATTTCAAAATTTTATTATTCTATATTCTTAAAAATTTGAGAATTGGAGATGTAATATGAATAAAGATAAAATTTAAGACATGAGAATTATATCAAGGGTGGTAGAAATACAAGATTATAATCTTTAGTACAAAATAAATGTAATATCTCAGCAAATTAGAAGTGTAAATTATATTTAAGAACCATTTTAAAATTAAAAATTTTGTAAGGATGATTTAACAAAAATAATTTTTACCGGGATCAAAAATAAAAGTCACTTATTTTACAGTGACCAAAAAAATATTTTATCCTTTTTAAATATTAATTTTAAAAATTAAATATTAAAATTTAAAATTAAATAAATAAAATTAAAATTTAAAATATAAGAATTCAAAACTGGAAAGTTAAAAAAAATTAAATTGGAATAAAATATAATACTCTGCAATGTTGAGTTAATCAGTTGAGAGCAAAAAAATACTCTGAATCTCTGATGTAGGTGAAGTATGTGGTTTCTCGAATTTCAAAAGAAATTATTTTACATCCGTTGATAGAAAAAATTTCTATCGAAAATATTTTTTTCCACTAATGTCAACAAATGAAAGACAATATAATCAAATTTTTTTGAAAAATATTTTTTATCAACCAAACACCATTAATCTTTTAATTAAGTTTTTCCTTTAACTGTTTTTAATTAGTAATGCTCCGTATGTGATTAAACATTTAAACGCAATTACGGAGCATATGCTTTTCATCTCAGATCACACTGTAATTTTCACGCACACAATGACACAAACACTCCGACTCTTCCGCCAATTAATTTCAGTTTTCTTCCTTTATCCATTTTAAATAAGCTTTTGATTTCTAAAGAGAAAGAAAATTTACTTCATTGTCGGGTTAAATAGTTAAAACTATTTTATTGTGAACTTTTTTTTCAAAACCTCCAATGACGGTCTGTCTCATTTTCGTGTTTTTGGATTTTGTCACGACATTCAACGTCTACCGAATAAATTCCACCCACGGAATATCAAATGCATGCCTAATTTCTTTTCCCGTTTCTTATTTTGACAACAAAATCTTAATGAGTATATTCTTATGCCTCTTATTTTTTTTATCTATATTATTTGCTTTATTCCGTCATATCAAGAACAAACATGAAAAGTTTTTACACTTTTTAACTTTTCTTAGTCGCTATATATGCCAAGTCAAAATGAGAAAAACATTTTTTGGACAGAGGGATATTAATTTTGACAATTATTTGTTAAAATAATAACATAATCATGTTTCCTCTTATTTGTAAAATGTTTGAGCTTATTTTTAATATAATTTTTTTAAATTCTATACTAATATTTAAATAAAATAATTTGAAAATTAATTGAATAATCTATTTTTAATACTTTAATTGTGTTACTGGGAGTATAAATAAATCCTTAAAAAAACGGATTTAGACATTTTCCCACTTTTCAATGTATAAATTAAACAACTGTACTACAGAATACTTAATTACATAGAACTTAAATGTTTATTCTAGAATTGATGTTCAACTCTCAAATTTTATATATAAAGATTTCAAACACCAAGTTGCACAACTATTAAAAAATGTTAGTAGAAGTTTGAATGAGAAAATGTTTATTCTTTGCACCTTGTTCCACAATAATTGCAATTTAAATTTTTCTCACATCCCATTTCAATGTACAAATAAAATTGTCATTTAGTATTCCATTCATTCCTATTTAATTGTCCAACTTGCTTTTTGAATTTAACGTTTGACTAACAATATCCCATATAAAATATATAAATAAAAAATATTAAAAATAATACATTTGGGCTTCATTTGGTATACAGAATTTAAACTATTAAATTGGAATTGAGGATAACAATTTTAATTTTGTTGTTTGGCAGCACAAAAGTATGTAGATTTGGAATTAGTAGTGCCAAAAATGAATTGAAATTGAAGAATTCAATTCTATCCAAATCAATTACATAGAACTTCAACTCTCAATTCAATTCTAATTCTGTAAATTCCGTGTACCAAATAGAGCCTTAAAGTATTTTTCGATATCAATAATTTGGTATAATTTTTACATTTTAATTTATTGTATATTTTTATGTAGAGTTTGCAAAAATAAAGAAAATGAGAAAAAAACTAAAACCATACAAGATTAATTAATAAATAAAGAGAAAATCAATAAAAATTAATCTTGAATAGATAAAACATAAAACTAAAAATAAAGTGGTGGGTTCTAAAGTTTTGGGCATTATACGAAGTATTAATGTGTTATTTCTTCCCGTTGGTAAAAAATAAAAAAAACAATAAATAAAAACGTTATGTTCTTATTAAAACCTTAGAAAATGGAAATAAGAATAAAAAAATAAATAAATAATCATTTTATCACTTCAATGTAATTTCATTTTTGTTATTTCCTGATAAGAAAAATAATTTTTTCTAGTTTTTTAGGGTTTTAATAAGAAACTGATGAATACGCTTGAATGATGGTATCCTGCCCAACAGGAATAGCGGCCCAACAAGGCCCAGTCCAGACAAGAGCATTCGCCTGGGCAGAACTGAAAAAGAAACCAAGATCCTAGGGGAGCTACCGTGCTTGGGCACACCCACGCTCGGCCCGACGAGGATGTGCTCAGCGTCAGATCAAAGTCGGCCAACCCTACGCCGTAGGTCACCAAAACCAGGTCATGCGTACTCGGCCTTAACCTCATGTTACCGCTAGACCTGGCCCATAGCGCATGGGGACCGGCGTGTCTTGTCAAGTCACCGGCTCCACGATTGGATTCCTATCATGCTTCTGTTAGATTAGTTGCATCCACCATATTGTAAATTTGTAACCCATCATTTGTAGCCACTATATGGATAATCATGTGGTTGGCGCCGCCGGTCGAACGTCTGAGTCTTGGTGGGCCTGGCCCGTTAGGTCATGGACCAACGGTCAGGAAGGGCCATGTAGTTTATATATAAGCCCCTCTTCAAGAGGGGAAAAGTAAGTTCATTTAGACAAACTAATATTCGTAATCTCTCTGGATTTCTAACTTGAGGATACTCGATTCTCGTTCGATACTCTTTCGCCTAGTCTTCTCGGCCCTTGGGCTCCATAACCCAACAGAAACATTAATTACTACTACGTTGTATGTGCGAGATTCGAGTTGTCGTTATTTACTACTGCGTAGCATATTTTACTTTTATTTCTTATCAATTTGAGGTTAGTTTTATTGACTATCTTTTTATTTTTTAATTTTTTACAGTTTTAGTTGTTTTTCTCATTTTTGTTATTTTTTAATATGTATTTTTTATTTATTTATGAGGTAATGCTAATCTTTAAAAAATGATGAAGGTAGAAAGTCACTTTAAAATTTAAGGAAAATTTTAAAAAAAATTAAAATACAAAAGTTCATAAAAATAATCTCAACTTTCAATATTTTACGCAAATATAAATGTCATTTTTGTGACCCAACCGTACGTTAACAACTTAACACCGACCCAAAACTCGCAAATTTTAGTTAATTTGGGATTATTATATATTACAGTGAATGATTGAATAATTTTTGAAAGACCAAATAAAATTTAGATTATTCTCGTTAATTTTTTCCTAAAATAGAAGTACAAGAAATGTTTTTTTAATTTAAATAAGGGCATAAAATTGCATAACATTTTAGTTTTGCCCTAACGATTTTAACAAAAATTGTTTAAAATAAAAGCATAAAACTGCACAACACTTTTATCCTAACATTTTAAAATTATGCATCATTTAAAAATAGAAATTCTATGAAATAAAAATAAAACACAACAAATGTAATTTTTTTAAACTTTTTTTTATGTGTTTGGTTTTTCAATACGTTTTTGGGGTTTTTTAATTTTTTTACAGATATAATGTTTTTAGTTATTTTAAGGAGTATTTTTGGATCCAACGGTTCAATCAACGTGGACCACACTCGATGTTTCCCTCGCTGCGAAATATTCGGATCCAAAAAGAAAATTAAAAAGGAACCAAAAAGAAAAAGGAATTTCTCTCTCTCTTTTTTTTCTTCTTCCTTTTGGATTTGCAGAGTATTTACGGATTCATATCTTCGTTCATTTCAAGGTGGCGCAGCGATCAAATTCTGTATAATCTGAGAATCGGAATGAGCACCGGGGAACTCCTTCGCATCGATCCTCTGGATCTCAAGTTTCCATGTAATTTCTTCTCCGATCGTCCCGATTTCCTAGCTATTGATGTGTTTTTCGTGATTTTTGGTGAATTTTTTCGTCCGTGTGTGATTTGTTTTCAGTTGAGCTAAGGAAACAGATCTCTTGCTCGATTCAATTGTCAAATGGAAGCGAAAATCATGTGGCTTTCAAGGTGAGAAGTGTATTCATGTGTTTTGTGCTTCGGTCGATGAATGTGGAATGTATTTCTGATGCATATTTCGTGTTTCAATTTTGTTGATTTGTTATATTGATCTTTTGAATGATTTCTAGGTCAAGACAACTAATCCGAAAAAGTACTGTGTTCGTCCCAATACCGGGCTTGTTTTGCCTCGATCCACTTGTGATATAATAGGTATTTCTGTGGGATTCCATCCATTTTTCTCAGTTTAATTTTCGATCGCTGTGGAAATTTCTGAATCCAGTACCATTTGGATATCCTGTTTGATGTTAATTTATAATTTTTTTAGTGAAGAATTTTGTTCTTTTTAAACGTCTTGTCACTAAAATTTGTTTATTTATGTTCAAATTTCCATTGTGTGTAGTAACAATGCAGGCACAAAAGGAGATGCCTCCTGACATGCAATGTAAGGACAAGTTTTTACTTCAGAGTGTAATTGCAAGTCCTGATACAAATCCAAAAGAAATTTCTTCTGAAATGGTAATAAAACAGCTACTGTAACTCAATTTCCCCCTATGACCAGCAGCTCTTATAATTTGGTTTTCAAATTAAATTAGTAACTGCAAGAAGTTACAACAAGAATTGAACAAGTTGTTTCCGCTTTTAGATTATGATGATATGTCTATGTTTGGCAAAACGAGCCGTGGAGTAATACGATAAGTTTTTTCTAGCCAAACAAAGTCTAAGTGGGGGTTAATTATTGCAGTTCAATAAAGAAGCAGGAAAGTTAGTGGAAGAGTGCAAGTTGAAAGTGGTTTATGTATCTCCGCCTCAGCCACCATCTCCCGTTGCAGAGGGTTCAGAGGAAGGTTTATCACAAAGTCCAACCTTAACAGAGAACGGTTTCGAGGTTTGTTTTTTCTCAACTCTCCCGCATCCAGTCATATCTGAATTTGATCATGAACAAAACTTTTAGCAGCATAGTGTAGCAATAATTGATAATAGCATACTGGTTTGTTTCTTGGTCTCAGGCTGCAAGATCTTTTAGTGATTCCCTTGACAAATCTTCTGAGGTGAAGTTTCTTGTGTACATTACGATCTCTTCCTCTTGCAGTAGTTATATGTAGCTACATGTAACATAGATTTGCACACTCCTTTGTGATTCGCACACATCTCGAAATTGAATTTGGGGACAATTTCTTATACAAGTAGAATGGCTGGTTGGGTTCCCAGAGACAAAGCTTTAGGCAAGCACTGATTAGTAACTTTCTTTATATATATAATGTAAGAATAAAATATTCATCTTTATCACCATGGTTCTTGTTGGGGAAAGAGCCCTACACATTGTGTGCTAAACTCTTGGTCAAATATAGTACTGTTTTGGCAAATGTATAACTTTTAAGTTTCAGGTACAATACACATGAATTACACATACTTTTTAAACTTATATGTTATTGTAAATAAAATATTATGTGTAACAATTGTCAGTGACTCTTTTTTCGTAAGTTTTGGACGATTGACATAAATTACATGAAAAATTAGTCCTAAATGCGATCTCATTTTTCTTCTTCTCCTTCTAATATGCCGATCCCGAAAATAAATTTTTCACTCATTTATGGAAACAATTGTGTGGCATGTAAATCTCAACCAACAACTCCACTTTCTTTATTTGCATGCCCATTTTGGATGGGAGTCTTCCTTTGGGGGTAGGAGTAAAACTTTTTTTTCTTCCCTTCAAATTTTAGAGCATGCGGATGAGTATATATGTTGTATTTGCATGGCTTGGATGCCATGATGATTGGTTTGGACTTTTTTCTATTTCAATTTTCAGGGAAAATCACTTATTACAAAATTAACTGAGGAAAAGGTGGCTGCAGATCAACGAAACAACAGGCTTCGTCAAGAACTGGTTAGGCACTCGCATTTGTTTATTTAAGAAAAAAAAGTTGCTATCTTCTTTCAGATACTTCATATGTTGTCATTTCCTTTTAAAACAGTTCCTCACCTCTTAGGTTTGCTTCATTATTAGATTTCAATCTATAACAATAATTTAGGACTACAACAAGGGAGGGCATATACATTGAAGTGACTGTGGTTCTACACTAACTACTAAATCATGATCTAGTCCCTAGTCAGGATTAACTCTGGGATTAGTCGCGGTCGATCCAAAATTAGACAGAGCCTAACTGAACACGAAAAAACTCAGGCATCCAAGGAGAACCTATTGTCTAGGCGATGACTAATCGGGTTTTTGATGATCAATACTCCATAACAACAATCAAACAAACCCAGTAAACTTCTCAAGAAGTAGAAGTAGAGTCTGGTTAGGATGTGTGTACGCAGACCTTATCTGTATTTCGAAGATTAATACCCCATATAGATATAAACCTAAACACAAAAGAAACATCTCAAAATATAAGCTGCTTTCAAGATCAAACGGTTCCCAAGTGTGGTTTGCGTGACATTGAGTTTAACAAGTGCTACACATGCAGGAGCTCTTGAAGCGCGACACCCACAAAAGTCGCAACGGTGGCGTCTCGTTCATGTTTGTCATCATTGTCGGCTTGCTTGGCGTAATCTTGGGCTACATTGTGAAGAAATGAGCACTTGTTTTTATTCGCACATATTTCGGGACTCTCACTCTCCGCAACGGAAACCTGACCAATTGTTCCTTGCCCCTTGTACTTAGAAACCATTGGAGTGGTGGTGAAATGAATGAAGAGGGGTTCTTGAAGCTGTTAGCTCAACAGTCAAACTGCATTGTTTTAGAGAAGTTTTGCTCAGGCAGAGAGGTTCATTATATTGTTGTTTTATACGAATCTTTCACTCCATCAAGCACACATAATTCTGTAGACTGCCCTAAATTTTCTTCATCATCAAGACTTTCTTTCTTCTTAAGATTTTTCACTTGCAACTTTGATGTCTTTTTTTTATGATGCTTATAACAACAAATCTTGTAAAAGCTCACAAAAGGTTGGGTATGAGGGTTGTGATGATACTTGTTGCTTTTATTTTTTGGGAGGACAACATTTAGTGGCTTGTGCAGTTGTACTTCATTATTAACTTTAGTTCTGTTTTTTTTTTTTATTTTTGACATAATTTTATTCCAAAACCGAGTCCAATTTGAATAATAGAGGCTTTTTTTAAAATATCATATTTAGTGTTTCTTTTAGAAACCATTATCCCAAACAAGTTGAATAATTTACTATATTTACCTAACCAACAAAAAACTTAAAAATTTACATATATTTAATAACTCCACTGTCCGATTTTTTTAGTTTGATTTTTTATGGTTTTCTGAAATATTAATCTCTATTTGTGTGTGTGTGTGTGTATAAAAGATAATACTCCGTATATTCCTCTTACATGTTATAATCAATGTTTAAAATCGTTAAGCAAGAAAAGTAAAATAGGAAGAAAATTTCCAACGATGTACTAACACTGAAAGTTGTATAGCTTTGAGTAAAAGCTCTATTTCTACATATAGAGGGAGTAAGTGTTAACACGTTTACTATAGCTATAAAATAGAAAATCCAATTCACTTAGAGGCAACAAAAAATACATGATATGTTTCTTCTCCACTATATTTTGTTTAATAAATTTGAGAGGAAAAGGAAAAGAAAATGAAATGTAAAACAAATTTCATATTTGGTTAGAGAAGAAAAAATAGAAAAATGAATACTAGAAAATGAAAAAACAAAATAGGCTAAGAAAGTGCTAAGGAAACCTAAACTCTTTCTGTTTTGGGGAAGAAAAGGAGACATCATTTTTTTTTATTTTCTTTTGGAATTTCATTGAACCAAACATTGAGCTAAAGTTGGTCAAATTCCATTGTATAAAAATCTCTCCTTAGAGAACAGAGCATATTCATCCGAAGTTTAGAGCATTCACAATGGCAAGTAAGAAATAAAATGACATACGATGACATGGAAAGTTTCAACCAATAAAAAACAGTTCGGTCAGCGTGTGACATGAGAGTAGAGTGGCATGTCATGCAGTGATAAGTCATTGTTTTTATCAATTTTACTTTTTTTTACACATTTTAATTATTTAAATTTATTTTATTTATATTTTTTTCAAATAAAAAAATAAAATATTTCAAAATTATTTAAATTGTTTAAATTTATTTTGTTTATATTTTTATAAACTATACTCTTTTTAAAAATATTTCTTATTTAAAAAAACAAACTAAAAAATAAAAAATTTGCATTTTTTTTTTCAAATTTTTCATTTTTTACATGTTTTATTTTTACTACAGAGTACTAAAAATGAATTTACTTAGGCTTTTTCAAAAAAATACTTCTACTTTTTAAAAATATTTTATTTTATGGAGGAACAAAAAAGAAAACAAAAAATACTTGCCTCGCCCATTACTTGCCAAACATGGCAAATCTCTATAGCTTTGCGAGACATTTTACTTACTTGGCTTATGTGGCAGGCGTGAATGAAGATCATGAAAGTCGAATAATAAATTTTTATAAACATAAGATTATTTTATATGCATACAATCAATAGGGAAATTTCTTCCTTTTCGCTTAATGACATCATTCACTTTTTACCAAATATTCCAAATAGATACCAACCAAATTTTAGTTTTTATTAAACACCACAACTACAAAAATGACCAAATAGATCCCCCATTTGCATCAGTCAGCAAAACAAACGATCTAAATGAAAAAAAATTCACGTACCGGTTGTTATTTGCATCGGTTAATCCTAATAACCGATTCAAATAGTAATAACCGATTCAAATACTTATTATTTGAATCGGTTATTTGGTAATAACCGATTCAAATGCTCCTTCGCAGAGTGGACAAAATGCTGGAAAAGAGACTTTTGAATCGGTTATACAACCGATGCAAAAAGTCACCTCATCATTTGCATCGCCAGCTTTTGAATTGGTTTACAACCGATTTAAAAGGGTAAAAATAACCGATTCAAAAGGTTTTTTTTTGTAGTAGTGCACCTTCACGGTACCACACTTCTTTAACTTCGTGAAATAAAAATGTCAAGTTGATTGTGAGATGAAAATTACTTAATAAATTTTATTTCTAATTTTCACACAAATATACAAATAAAATAAATGTGTCAACATTTCAACACTACAAAACGAGTACAAAAGCCAATTGAAACTTGTGCAAAAAAAGGCAAAGACAAGTGATCAAAATAGGTGCACATAACAGGTTCATGACTGCCTCAATCCTAGCAAGCCAAATCAAACCCCCATCAAAATCCCAAAATTAGACCCAAAGCAAGACATTAATCATAAGGACAGTGCTAGGGGTACGCCAACATGGGGTATCCTATTTGTATACCAAACACACACAGACACAAAATGTCTGTGCACAGACATTTTGTGTCTGTGTGTGTCTGTGTTAGCTTGGTGTATAAATGGAGTACTCCATGTTGGTGTACCCCTAGGTTAATTCTAATCATAATTAACGCAGGATCTAAGCAAAATCAGGATTGTACTAGCCAGCGTACGGGCAAAAAAGTCTTTTTCGTCATTTCTTTCATCTTCAAAAAATGAAGTCGCTCAAGGCATAGCTGTCGTCTGTAGAGCGTTTGGCAACGATATATGCGCTATCTTCAACACCCGCATTAAAGCAATTTATCCTGTGCCTGCGGAATTTCGGAGCCATTGATTATACTCCGCATATATAGACACACACATTATCATAGGGGTGCAATCTTTAAAAAGTAATCTAATGCAGTGTATGCATACACACCATTCAAAATGGTCTTCACAGCAAATGGAACCCCAGATAATTGCAAGTCCTGCAACCTTCCTGGAAGTGTGAATCCAATCGTAACCGATTGCATTTAACATGGGACCAATATTGTTTATGCAAACCATCAAAAGAGTAAATTTGGTTGAGAGTAAATAAAATAATCTAAAAAAATTGGAATTACAATAAGAGCCTAGCGGGCAAGAGCCACAACGAAACTCTCTAGAACAGTAGGCTAGAAAACTGGTATTGCTAAGGCACCATACGACTAATGTCCTGATATGTCCTCTATAAGGGTCCATTTAGAGCTTGGAAAATAACAAGGAAGAAAATAGAGAGGAAATTTGAAAGAAATGAAAGACTAAGAAATCTATTTTTTTAATCCATTTTTTAAATATTTCTTCAAGCTCGTTTTATTTGAGTATTTCTCATATTAAGACTAAGAAATCTATTTTTTCAAAGATCGAATCAAGTCTGATTTAGCTGTGCATTTTCTTAGGTAAAATGAAACAATAAAAGCACATTTTCCTTGGTACGGAATTTTTCCCCATTTTCATACAATTTTTTAAGTTCCAAGCATAACATAAAGCTATATAGGTGGAGAGCAGTAGGGTGCTAGTTCAAAACTATTAAGAATCGGGTAATTTACCTCCTGCACTCGAACAGTTGGGGCGCATCTAACTGGGCATAATCCAAAAAGAATGAAAAGAACACCATATTGTGGTTGAACTTTACTCACCAACTAAGAGTCACGGTTTTGAAGGTGCAAAGTAGATCAAGGACGGTTGAAGGGTAGTAAATGGCAGACTATATAGTGAAGGAGAAAAATTGCCATACAGTGTATGGCAATGCTTTCACTTTCATAAGAGGGAGAAAAAGGGAGGGGAAAATGTAAAGGATAACATAATTTACTTACCAGGTTGCAGTGTAAACATCATAATACTTGTTAAATGCTTTGTTCAGGCAGTAGTGGCAAGCCAGAAGATCCTGGATATCGGTTGCTTTGCATGTTGATTTGCAACACTTCACCTGTCTCCCCAGTGTAAAACAACACTGTTAAATATTAACACAAAAAAACACACTTTCATTTAGATAAATCAGAGAATTAATGGTCTCTTCAAAGCTGTATTGGATTAACTTGTGAGAAGGAACTTATTTAGTAAAAGTCACTGTTGTGGGGTGTGTATATCCCAACTTTATTAATGCAATGGGAGTGCAGGGGTTATGACTTATGATCCAAGTGAAACCTTACCAAACGGTTGAGCTTATGGGAATAGTATTGTCGGTGCGAGGGGTGTGCGATTATATGCTTGCTCAAATGACCTGCACTAAAAGTATCATAAAGTTCAGTTAAATTAGTTATGTTTTTGCATTACTTAGACATATTCAGCATTGCATCCATTGTGAATGGGGCTGAAAGAGTCAGTTTTGGGAATGTTTTAGCTTCAGGTAAATGATAGACTAAATCAAAATGACACATTAAACTTCTCTAGCTTCTAACTAGTGAGTAAACGCAGCAATGCATCAAGGGACTTGCGAAAATAGCCTCTCTGCTTTTTACAAAAAAAACGGTTACTACACTTTTGGAAACAGCTTCTCTACCTCACAACAGAGATGAGGTCTGTGTACACTCACCCTTCCCAGACCCTACTTTGTGAGATTTAGATATATTACTGAGTTTGTTGTTGTATAGTTATTGCACTTTTGAACTAAACAACTCAATAACTTGCAGTGCCATAGCATAGAACTAAAACATATGCCAACAAGGTGGGTGGTACAGTGGGACTGTAGACCTGTCAAAACGGTCGGTCAGGTCGGGTTCGGGTTCAGTATAATCAGGTTCGGGTTATTTCGGGTTCGGGTCACTTCGGGTTCGGGTCTAAGAGTGCTTGTTCATGACCCAGAGTTATCGGGTTCGGGTTGACCCAACGGGTTAAGAGACGTATTTAAAAATTAAAAATTTTGCTATTTAGAGATCATGTGATCCGAGCATTATTCAAAACAAAGAATGAAATCATAAAAGTTTGCAGTTCTATTTGCAACATACCAAAAGAAAATTGAAATATACCCAAAAAAATCACCTTTTTGCAGCATACCAAAAAATTGCACTAGATGAAAAAAATTGAAGATTCTTTCAACATACCCAAAAATATATATACGTTATAAAAAAATTAGGATTCTTGCGTCATACCAAAACAAAAGAAAAGAATTAAAATTTGAGTTACACGTAGGAGCAACTGAAGAAGATGAAATAGGATTAAAAATTCCACTATTGTTCTTGTGTCTTCTCACCATTTTGATTGAGTCGGCATCTAATATCGACGAACGGTGAAAGAGTGGAAGAACTATATATATATATATATATATATAAAGTTTTACGCCTTTTGAGTTTTGAGTAGCCTAATGGGTATATCATATTTTAAATGAATATATAAAACTAAATAATCAATAAAAATAAACCATTAAGTGCATAACCCGTCGGGTCAAACCCGACCCGACCCGTTCTGACCCGAAAATTTAACGGGTCTTCGGGTTCGGGTCATTTCGGGTTCGGGTCGCAAAATCAATGTTCAAAACCCGCTAATTTCGGGTTGGGTTTCGGATTAGTAACGGGTCGGGTCAAATTTTGCCAGGTCTAAGTGGGAGACTAAGTCTAGCGGCCAGTCGGGACTATTCATGGTGAGGCGGATCTAAACAGAGTTAGACAAATTATAAGCAGGGAAAAATCCTACAAGCACGAGGGATTAGGGCTAACAGAGATTTCTACAACAATGGGAGTACTAGCCAGTACCAACCATACTTGTTTCCCTTGAATACCTACATCCATTTTAAGCACATTATATTCAAATTGAGCAAGATAATATGATTACCAGCACACATACATAAAATAATGCAATACCTATCGCAAAAGGTGTTACTACATTTAAGGCATGTTGCCAAAGATGTAGACCTACAGCAAGAGTTGCATTTTTCTGACAGTGAATGCTTTCTAAATTCATGGCACCTGCAAACAGACAAAAGATGGTAGTTTTAAATGAATAGTTTCATGTTTTTAGTATTCAAACACAATATGGCATTTGAACCTACATTGCCACAGTGCCAGTGCATCACATGCTTAAAAGAGAATTAACTGAATGAAGAAAAACTAAATTGCTGAGTAGTTTATATGATACTGTGATAGATTAGAGCCCCTTCTTAAATAGTCAATGATCATCTGAGAAAATTGGCAGCTCATCTGGAAGGTCCAAATACACGAGTTTGGAAGAAAGCAGTATCAAATTTTGTTTCAGTACTTATGAAGAAATGAATAAGTTAGACTCTTAGTTATGCATCAAGTCAACAATTAAAAAAGTGGTACAAACATTAACTAACATATGCCAATTTAAAATTTATGGCTACAACATAAGAGCATAAAGTTAGAAATCTCTCTAAGAAAGCAAAACTTGGCACAAGTTCTTTCTGCAGACTTGTGTGGTGTGGCAAGCACTGTAAAGAGGATCAATACCTTCAGTTTAATTTTTGGGGCATCCACTTATATTGAATGCACAACTGAATCGAAGTATTCAATAGAATAAAAAGAAAACTAAATAAGGTAAAGAACACCTTTTATACAATTCGAGAAGATCTCTGGGTATGGAACATGTTTTGCTTGGAAACACAGACAGCTGTGCGAAGGGATTGACAAAATAAGCTTCAATTTGCCAGTGGCATATCATCAAAATTTTCACAATTTAAAAAGAAATTAATACCTGGCTGCTTGTTTCACCCGATTGACCAGATGGAAGGGATTGGCTTTTGGACTTCATAACCAGACAATCATTGGGAAGATGCCCAGGCCTTTGACATTTCCAACTACAGAGAAAAATCATAATCATGTCAAGGCCTTTGACATTTCCAACTACAGAGAAAAATTTGTCCTCCTATAGCACGACCCTCGACACTTTTCAGTACCTCATACTTATAAAATAGCTTCATACCCAGTAGAGAACTGATGATGGATGCTCAAAATCTATTAAGTACTCTTGGTTGGTTAGATTGGGTCTAATTCACCCCAAATGTAGACATCACACTTACTCTCTCTGTTCCATATTAGGGTTCCTAAACACTATTCACATGGCCAAACCTCATCTTCTTTCCTTGGAAACTTTCATTGATCATTTGATAAAATAAAACAATCAAGCCACCATTTGTTTTGTAGAACTTTTGATGGAGCTTTATTTATAAATTCTATTTACTAATCCTACACCATTTTTTTTGAATAAATTAATACATCAACATAATGATGCATGCCTATTACCTACCATTCATAAGCACAAAGCCCGGATATTTTCTTGGACCACCGATGATTCTCAAATTCCCAGGAGTCCCCTCCTGATTCAGGAACTACCGAGCCACATTTATTGTCAAAGCGCTCTTCGGGGATTCGAGCACTTAAGGGCACCTGAAGCATCATTCATGGAGAAAAGTTTTGAGTTAAAGAAGAGGAAAGGAGTTAAGGATACGCTTAGAAATAACCAGATGAAAGTAGAGAAACACCTTATTGAGCTTGTTATGTTCTCCTAGAAGCTCATTTTTGCAATCAATGCTGCATATGTCATCATCAGTCTGCATGAAAAAGAATGATTATAAATGGAAATTTGGAAGCAAATCCACATGTTAGAATCCAAACAAATCACCTCATTGCAAATGTACTCTCCATATCTTCCACACACCACACAAACAGGCTCCCCAGGCAGAGGGGCCCGCTGCTCACTCCAGGTCTTAATTCGATCTTCATTTGTAAAACCTGAATTTATAAATGAAATAAATTGCAAAGTTCAAAACAATCAAAGTGCATTGTAACTAAATTATGCAATGAATGGAATATTCATGTACGGATGACATTTGGTTAGTTGATTGTAACCAAAATAAAAAGCATGTCTTGGCATCATGTTAGGATGCTGTTGTTAAACATGGTTACCTTATAAAGTGAACAGAAGCAACACTGAATGAAGTGCCTGACTTCAATTATTCACCAAATGGCATAACATGTAATTAGACTGATAGCCTGACCATGGTCTCTATCTTATTATTCTAATGCAGAACATAAGTATACAGTAGCGCATTAAAATGTTTTCTCTAATCTTTTACTTGCTCGGTGGACACTGGTGTAACGTATTTATTCTTAATAATAAGATCCAACATATTTCATCTAGTGGAATTAATTCATCCAATCAGTTAGTCTATAAATTTATAATGCAAAAATCCTCTTTTTCTTCCATTTGGTGGGTGTGTAGAGGATTTGGTGGCATTGGGGATATCCAATTTTCGTCACATATTAAAAGTGAGAATGAAGTGGGAGAATCAAGGAAAAGTGAGTTCAGCCATGGTTAATCGCCCAGAAGCTTAGGTAGGTTAGTATTAAAGAATTAATGAACAAAAACCATGAAGTGAAATTGTCAAGATGGGAATGCAAGTTTTAAGAAAGGAACCAAATGGCTGGAGATTCTGATTTTCCGAAGAAGTATCTGCTTGGCAGGCTTGCATGCTAGAGTTACTAGGACCATGCTTGTCTTCGCATTCCGATGAACTACTTGAAGTTGAACCTGGAATTAGAATTATTTCCAGATGAGAGTCTGACGCAAACAAAAAAATACAAATAGAACCATGCTAGTCTTTTTTCCGTCTAGAAAAAACACGACACAAGATAAGGAAGAGGCCAACAGAACGGGTGAAACATAAGAATTGATAAATTTTAGGAGCATATCAAAATCACAATAGCATATTAGCATCTCACCCAATAGAGCATTATTCACATTGACGAGAAAAACAAACACCGATTACATTGCACCTGTTGGTTTGGATAATAAAATGTTATACTCCGGGTAATAAAATTAAGGTTGGTTTGGATGGTGAGTTTTGGATGGCTAAGTCTATATGTTGATATACTTTGTGTGTGTATGATTATATGAATGCATGCACGTATGAGATTATATAAAATTTTACGCTCCAAACTGACTCTAAGCCTATGATAACTAGCTTTAGACTTACGCATTCAGCTGAATTGAAAGTTACCAAAAAATTACTCTAGAAAAATTGGCATATTTAAACTATTTCATCCAATTAACCCTTACCCATTTTCAGCCAAACATGTACTGCGTATTATGCATGTATGTATGAGAATTTATAAAATTTAAGTTCCAAACTGACTCTAAGCCTACGATTACAAGCTTTTGAATTGTGCGCTTAGCTGAAATGGAAGTTGCCAAATGTTTTCTGTTGTGGGTCCAGCCCATTTTGTTTGGGTTCCATTTTTCTTTGGTGGAGGGCCCAATTATGTTTTTCCTTGGTTGACTAACAAAAGGAAGGAAGTAAAAGGGCTGGGCAGTGGTGGACTTACGGACCGAGCAGAAAAGAAAAAAAAAACAGAATAGAGAGAGCGAGAAGGGCTGGTGCAGAATTTTCAGACCAGCTGCACAAATTCGATCATCGCCTGAGATCCGACCGTTGGATTGAGCTGAAATTTTCAGAGATTGTTCCCAACACTTAGGGCTTCAATCTGTTCAATTTTCACATCAATCAGAGCTACGGATCTTCTGTTATCGCAGCTGGTGTAGCCTGCGTTTTTTGGGTGATATCTCTGATTTTTCTTCTCTATTGTTGATGGCTCTTATGTATGTTGTTGTTGGTGGGCTGTAACATCTTTGTAGACTGAGTTTGGGTGTTTTTACCCTCAATTTGCATAATAAGAGAAGAAGAGGGCGGACTCCCTATAAGTCCCGTGGTTTTTATCCTTCACATCAAAGGGGTTTTCCACGTATAAAAATCGTGTGTCGTTTGCATCTTTATTCTTCATATTTGATTGTGGTTTATTTGATGTGCTGCTGATTTTGTGTGCTTGGTTAATCAATTGTGGTAAATTGGGTCAAGTGTTTGGTTGGTTGTCTTGAAGTTGATCCTTGTAGGTGTCGTATCCTACTTGTTGCTTCTCCCCCAACATTTTTTTTTAGAAAAATCAGCAGATTTAAACTATTTCAGCCAATGAATCCATACCAATTTTCAAGTGAAAAACCTTAACCAGAAGTTGAAAACTCACTTTTCCACCTATTGCACAACCGAATCATAAGCTAATCAACTCTGCAAGATCACAAATAACAACTATGCAAATGGTTATAAGTACAAAATAACAATTCACCTTCGTACTCTACCAGCTTCAAAACTGAACTCGAGGTCTCCTGCCGCACAAATCACTCCCATTATACACATAAGAGGAAGTCGTTGCAGCACGCAGTAAACCAATCAAAAACCATACCAGTACATCCGCGCCCAGTTCTGCGTAAGGATGACGCGAAGCAACCTCCTTCCTGTTTCAATCCCAACAATAATCAATAGTTGCAGTTAACAGAACCGTTTTAAAACGCGAGCCAATAATCCAAATCTCACCTTCTCTCATCGATGTATTCCTGGTGAGACAATGGCTTATCATTCACCTCCGCTACAATTTCATTGCTCCCAACCGGATTCCTTCTCCCAGTCCGTCGGCGTTTGCGGCGTACGGCACCAGTGTCGTCGGAATCGGGCTTTTCCACCGTCGGAGGCGCGGGAGGGTTGCAGGTGACGACATTGTAAGCTGCAGATTCGGAAATAAAGCTTTAAGAAATTGACGGGAAGAGTGAAACGGAGAGAGTAAAAGAGTCCATGGCGTCACCATCGAGATTCCGGAGAACGGAGCTCAGATTGAAGGATTTGTTATACACAAAGGAGGGATTCTTGTACAAGTTGCTTCTCGTTCCCATTTCCCCCCCTGCGACTTTTGGGAAGAGTTTGATTCGTGATCGGAGCTTAGGCCGATCACCGGCGGTGCACGGCGCCAAAGCCTAAAAAGAAAAAGGAATTGCAGATAATCGCGGGTAATGAGTGTTATTGAAAACAAACACCGGTCTCAATTAGCTATCTTTTTCAATAAATTCAAAAAAAAAATATAAGCACTAGGCTACTACGTAAAAGGGGACATCAAATTCAATGGGCCTTTGGTGTTTCAAAAAAGATGAGTGATGGGTTTTGGAAATTTAGGTCTAGAGTGGACTAGACTAAGAGCATCCGCACTGGCGTGGATTTGTCATTGCCGCGCTGCCACATCATCAATTTTTATAAAATGCCTTGCAAGGCATGGGCAATTTGCCATGCTTTGCATTCCATGCGCGAGTCAACTGCTCCTCTTTTTTTCTTTTTTCTGGTTTTTTTTCATAAAATACAAGTTTTTTAAGAAAGATTTTTTAGTAATTAAAATATGTCAAAAAAGTGTAAAAACTGATAAAATCAATGACTTGCCACACGCTGACTTGATTGTTTTTTATTGGTTGAAATATGCTACGTCAACGTGTGACATTCCATTTTATAGTTGTCATTGTTGATGCTATAAGAAAAGCTAAGTACAAGATCAAGTGTATCGTTATTACTTAGTGAAAATAGCGTGATGACCGTGTGTCCCTTCCCTAGAAGAGGGGAGTTGGGCATGAGCCCCCTACTTATAGTACAAGGAATATGATGTCTATTTGGTACATACTACAAACATTATATTTGTACATTCACTTTACATATATATTTCACATATATTTCAAAGTTGTATATTTTGTCTAAAGGTGGGTTCAGTGATTACTGATTAGAGATCAGTATGTAACAACCCTTATGCTTTTTCGAATCTCCAAGTCACATGCCCAGTAGTTCTAAGTAGAGGAGAGCTCTTTAGAGGCCGACCTCAAATAAGATGGAGGAGAAGTTGACCGACGCCAGACCATAGACCTATATATTCTTCTGAGTGCTGCCCGAGGGCTCATGGAATGACTGCCATTCAAATAGCCGGGGGCAAGTGTGAAGTCGACGCCGAGTGGGTATAGTTGTGCGCCGAGGCCGAACTATTTTCTCGTGTAGTGTTTTTCGTGTATTATTATTATTACTATTTTTATTATTATTATTATTATAAAGTGTAGTTAATTCGATTTATTTCATTGACTTTTTATTTCAAACACAAAAATTTTGATTTTTAAAACATTTTAAAAAACAGTTTAAAAAAAACTTTAAAAACATTTATAAAAAAAAGAAGACAAAAAAAAGAAAAAAGAGAGGGAGTGTTAGTTGGTGCCCATTTCCAAAACCACGAGTAGTATTGTAGTTTAGAATGTGTTGGCGTGGGAATATCAAAATCAAAAGAGACAACATTATAAGTTCTGATGAAACTATGTGAGACAACGATATACATTTAGCAAATCAGATGAGATCACTACAAGAAAATGTTAGTTTCGCAATAGAAATATAGCAACAGACATTATTCCGTTGCGACATTGCAACGGCAATTTAGTTTGCAACAGAACTATTTTGCAACGGTATTGTTTGCAACGGAGAGGTAATTTATCTGTTGCAATTATGGTGGGAGTTTGGCGCCTTTTTCCGGGAGCGTTCTGCAACAGATTTTTTCAACGGTTTTTCCATTGCAGAAAATTTCCAACAGATTATTCAACTTTTGCAACGATATAATGAGTTGCGTTAACTCCGTTGCAAAAAATATCAAAACTAAAAAAACTAAAACAAATGTAATTAAAACTAAAAGTATGAAACTAAAAGAAATTTAAAAAACTTTAAAAAAGGTAATTGAAATATCTTAAAAAACTAATGAACGGTTTATTAGGGAATTTTTTTACCACAAGTCATCATCATTTCATAAAAACAGATAGTCACTGTATGTCACTTCATGTTTTGTAAAATTTTTAATGAAAGTTTTTAGTGTATAGATTCGAATTTTCAATTGTATTCCTATTATATAATCAAATAAATTGAATCGAAAGTAAATTTATGATGATTTTAGTGTAATCGGGAATTTTATGTGTATTTTATTTACTTAGACCACACATAAATTTGAGTTCACAACATTGTCAAACTAGTTAGCTAGAAGATCCAAATCGACTGCATAATCATTTTATGATATTACAAATTCACAGCAGCGGTCTGGGGGCGGTAGCCCCCGGTAGCGGGGACTAGGGGCGGCATCCCCTGGCGGGGACCAAGAGGTAGATCAGAGTTCAAAACAAATACTCCCTCCGTCCCTAAAGTTCTCGTAGTCGCGAAAACTTTTATTTATTTCTACGTTTTCATTGGTTATTTGATAAAATAAAATATTCTTGACACCTTATTTCGAAAAACTTTTCATGTAGTTTTTTGATATGTAAATTTTATTTTTTATTCCTATACCAATATGTAAATAAAATGAATTGAAAAAATTTGATATTTTACCTCGGTAATAGAAGTGTGATAAATATTTAGGGACGGATGGAGTAGTACGGAACGTTTTAAATTTATAGAAAACTCTTTTAAAAAAACAAAAAAAACTAAATTAAAAGAAAATTTTCTTTAAAAAAAAGAAGGAAAAGAAAACTAAAAAGAAGTAGCGGCTTTAAAAAAAAGTGACAAAACCCTCCCACTACCCCGTAAACTGACTCTCACGCTTCATCTTTTGACAGCGACGCACATCCAAGATCGAGCAAGAAGAACGGCGATTCAATCAGGCTACAATAAGAACTACTCAAATTTTGTCGATTCTCTTCCTACAAAGGTTAAGGTGAGTAAATTGTTATCTGATTTCGCCTCCTTTTTTAACCGAGTTTGTTCGGATTTGTGTGTGCGTTTGTTTTTGTCTAAATTTGATGCTAGGGCATTGGTGGGTTTGGGATGTGAATAAATCGGGATTGGTTGGTTTTAGGTGCGAATGGGAAGGCTGGTGCAGGGGATTGGGTATTGGGGGTGCCGATTGGGTTTGCTGGGGTGGGGGGTTTGGCCTGCGTGTGGAGAGGGTTCTGGTTTGCTGGCCGTATGGGGTTGGGGTAGGGACATGGGGTGAGGGGTGGTCTGGGATACAGGGTAGCTAGAGTAGGGGGTTGAGCTGGGACAAGGTTCTAGTTTGCTGGCCGTAGGGTGTTGGGGTAGGGGTGGTGTCGGAGTAACACCTGAGTCATTGAGCTTTTACTGGGAGGAATTCAAGGTTTGTTAAATGTAGTTTTGATGAAATTATTTCATGATATGTCTGTAAACAACCTATTGACTCTTTGAGTGTCATAAACTTTTGTAGAAACATTGTAAGTGGCCCTCTAGTCTAACAGAGGATGCGATTGTGGATGCATTTTTGGATAGGGTGGCAGATCGGTATATGAATGACATCTAGCACTGGGCGAGTCGCATAGAATGGAGACACTACGAAAATATCATGTCAGCGTGGGATAAGGTAAAATATTTTTTAAGTTCAAGAATAGTGTGTTCATTTATTTGTCTTTTTGAACATTTCTTTTGATATGAAAAGCATATACAAGTAAAGTTAAGTCAAATGAGTTTGATGTCTTTAGCACCCTCATAACCTCCCTCATGTAGCTTTGTCTTTCAATTTCTTATTGCTTTGTGCTCCGGCCGGTAAGATATCCTCCCTCATAACCTCAGATGGTCGGGTGTTGGCCATCTACATATGTGTGAACAACATCATTTTAGTCCCTCAAAACCAAGCTGTGTAAAGTTGTCTTGGTTATAATATCTTGCATAGTAGCAGCACCAGACCTGTTTGAGAATACCTTTACCAAGACTAAGTCTTTTGGGATGTGAAGGTCAGCAATTTCAATGGCAAGGGGCAACTGAGATATAATCTAAAACTTATTTTCTTTCATCGAACCAGACTCACTATCAAATTTCTAATATAGTCATGTCCGGATTAAATTCTTGTGTGGTAATATTACCAAAAGCTTATACAGTCAGTGATCAACATATTGCAAGCATGACATGCAAACTATTTGTTATTATCTAGTTAAGTTGAATGTATTCAATGGACATATTTGATAAAAATGTTTTTCGATGTTTACTTACAGGATTGGAAGACTGATGAATCCAAAAAATCAGAACATGGAAAAAAATAGGCAGAAAGGTGATAAGTGTGCAACAAGAACATCTATTGGGTGTTCCCTGTCATTTCAAGAAAATCTCACCAATGCAGTAAGCACTAATAACTATAAATGATAATATTAGCTTCATATGTTAATTGTATATAACATGTCAACTTCAATTACTTAATTAAAGCTATATGCAGATAGATATGGGAGGTGAGAAACGAGATACATAAATCATTTGGAGACCGTATTCCTTGTAGAGAAGACGAATCAGATGGTGATGGAAGATGGAAGTGCGCATGTATCTTAGCTAATGGTTAATTTTTTTAATGTGCAAGAATATAAAAGATTATTATTCAGATGTTTGACATGTACATGAAGGTTATTTTGTTTTATGGAAAGTATTGAAACTTTAGTTTTACTGAATACATGTGTGTTTGAGAATGTTTGAGTATCCCCTATTGATTGTGTATAGAATTGAGTATCCCCTAAACAAGCGGTTGGTAAGTTTTCTAATTTTTGCAACAAAGCATTCTGTTGCGGTCGATACGTTACCAAATTCTGTTGCGATTGTTTTTTTCCTTGGCAAATATTAGTAATGGAGTTGCTCTTGCTCTTTTTTCGTAGCAAATGTTTACAACGGAAAATATAGTTGCAAATTTCCGATGCAATATGTTGCAACGGCAATACCGTAGCAAACTATGGCAACAGAATGACTGTTGCAGTTATTCCGTAGCAACAATTTGCAACGGCAATTCTGTTGCAACAATCTGATGCAAACATGCTGCAACGGAAACTTTGTTGCAGAAGTGAATTTGCAACAATGGTTTTTGCAACAGCATAACTGCAACGGAAATCCCGTTGCAATCACCCTTAGCAACGGAAATATTTAAAAAGTACAACGGAAACTGGCAAACTGCCATTGCAATTACGCCATATTCTTGTAGTGGATATTGATACAACAAACTCTAACCTTGTCCTCATCCTAGTGGGCTAGCTACTACTATGTGTTCGCTCCGTCCAAAAATAAAGTTTCATAAATATGAATACAAAAGATCGATCGGCGAGAATCACGAGATACCGCATTTCTACAAATATTGATTTGTTCAAAAGTCGTAAAACAATTCTCTTTTTTCTATAGAAAATATGTAAAGCTGCGGTGTAAAGTGCCTTTTTTAAAGATATACTCTCTCCGTCCCAAAAACTATTCTCTTTTCTTTTTTCCTTGTCCCACAAAGTTCTTCTTCTTCGTATTAAAAAACTCTTTTTATCCTCACTAATTATTACCCTACTTATTACTTTTACCTTTTAATAATAATCTACCCATCACATCTTACTTCTACCAATCACATAGGTATTTTTAGAAAGTCAAAATAGGAACATTTTATTGGATGAAGTGTATATATATGATGCCATGCCATGCATGCCTATGGCAGGTTGACCCATGCATGTATTAAGGGAAGTGTTTCATTCCCGGCCTTTAGGGGCTGTTTGTTTCAGCCTCTTAATGATTCAGATGTCTGAATTGTTCAGCACTTAATGATTCAGACTGTTTGTTTCAGCCTCTTAATGGTTTAGATGTCTGAATGGTTAAGAGATTTGCCTCTGAATGGTTAAGTATTGTACAGAGTCTGAATGGTTAAGACCTCTTATCTGAATTGATCAGACATTTGCCTCTGAATAGTTAAGCAATATACTAGCTCTTAATGATTCAGACCTCTTACTGGTTCAGCACTTAATGGTTCAGACCTCTTACTGGTTCAGCACTTACCTATTCAGAAGTTGCCAAACAGCCCCTTAATATTGTAGGAACAATGTTTCGGGAAGCAGTATGTGTACGGTATGTATATATATACCCTTCTATGAAAAACTAATGGAAAGAGTTTAAGATTTTACCAATTCAACTATATCTCTATATAAACGTCGTGTACTTAATTGTCTTTGTGTGTTAATTTTTACACTGGATAGATCTTGATGTCTTTGCTCAAACAACCACCACTTGTATTCTATGGCAGTTTGATATATACTTGCCATTGTAGGGATTCTTTTTAGGAAAAATTATCTCAAATAATCCCACCTTTTCGCATTCTTTCAAAAGTAATCCCACTTTTCACTGTTACCGGAAATAATCCCACCTTTCTGCATGTGTGCGAGTTTTGGGCCGCCGTTAAAAAACTAACGGCCACTTAACGGAAGTTTTAGAAAATGTCTATTTTTCGCAAATAAATGAAAGGTGGGATTATTTTTGGCAAATTTACTTTTTTTTAATTTTAAATTTAAAATTAATATTTTTAAAAATATAATAGTACACTCTTGTTAGAGATTGGTCTAACGATTTACAAATTTTGTTTTTGTTTTGGGAAAATATAATACTCGGTATTGAATTATCAAAAATAATTTAGAGTATCGATTAAGAAAGAAATTGCAATACAAAAAATTTGTAGTGAGTTATAAAAGTTATTAGTGCCGTTTCGGAGAAAAAAATATTGTGCCATTTTCAAATTGAATTATCAAAAATAGTTCAGAGTATCGATTAAGAAAGAAATTGCAATACAAAAAAATGTAGTTAGTTATAAAAGTTATTAGTGCCGTTTTGGAGAAAAAATAGTGTCATTTTCAAAACTTTTGAATTACTATTTTGGGGGAAAATTTGTATTGAATTATAAAAAAATCACAAATTGGGAAGTTCCATTTTAGAAAAAAATAATATGGGCAATAGTTGTGTTATAAATTAACAAAAAGGCAGTGACTATTCCTTTTCTCCTAAAGTGATCTTATATTTTCTGTTGTTTTTTTCATTGATCAATTGTTTTCAGAGAAGTAATTATGCTATTTTTTATGTTCAAAATGTTTTAAAAATTGATTGCAATACATGAAAAAATTGAAATACATCAAAAAATGTAGTGAATTATAAAAATAAAAGTTTCATTTCAGAGAAAAAATTGTTGTATTATTTTCACAACTATTGTAATGTTGTTTCACAAAAAATGGTTATATAGAACTATCGAAAAATATTCATAAGTTTTGTAGTGCCATTTTTTTAAGAAATAATAATAATAATATAGTATCAAAAAACAATTTGAAGTGTCACTCAAGAAAAATAAATGCAACTTACAAAAAATGTAGTTAGTTATGAAGTAAATAAATTAGCTCTATTGTGTAGAATACTTTATTTTCTAATTATTACTAGATTATCGAATATTGAAAAATAATTAGTTTCACTCTAAAAATATTTAAATTTGGTATTATTTTTTGAAAAAATAAAAATAAAAATACATTTAAATTTAAAATTTGAAATTAAAATTATGAAAAAGAGAGAAATTTCCTGAAATAATCCCACCTTTCATTTATTTGCGAAAAACGGGCATTTTTTTGAAAATTCTGTTAAGTGACCGTTAGTTTTTTAACGGTGACCCAAAACTCGCACACGTGCGGAAAGGTGTGATTATTTTCGGTGAGAGTGAAAAGTGAGATTATTTTTGAAAGAGCGCGAAAAGGTGGGATTATTTGAGATAATTTTTCCTTTTTTTTATTATTCTTATTGTTGTCTATTCACGCAGATGTGTTATCTACTTACGAAGACGATGGACATGGCATACCACATCAAAGGCACAAGTGAATCCGTCTTCCGACATGCCCAATGCTTAGTGTGCACCATGCACGAGACCATTCAAGAATACAGCATGGTTCTCGTCACATTGAGTTTCAATATCATGAGATGACATTGACTTCAATTAGGACACCTACCATACGATGGTTAGTAAAATTGACGATTCGTACCCTCCTAACCCCTCAGTTGACCTCCACCCCGGCCCCTTCAATTGCACATCTAAATTTAGTTAACTATTGCGTCAAATGTTTTGACTGCAAAGCTAACTACATTTAGGGAGTGCAATTAAAGGGGCTAGGGATGGTGAGTTCAAGTCGGGTCGGGTTAGGAGACTAGAGGGTTAAGAACGATCGATTTTATGATCCAGGCACCGTATGTGCCCCAATTGAGACCAATGTCATCCCATGACATTAAAATCAATGTCATGGAAACCCTAGCCTGCCTCAATAATATATAAGTTCATGTGGTTCGATGCGATCGAGGATATTGTGGTTTGTGGGAANACTCGTTTTGGGGTTTTTGGTTTATGTTCGGCTAGAGATGTTTCTACTACACATATGCTTCATAATTTCATGGACTCGAGGGCACAATATTGGAGTCTACAAAACCACATTCTTCAAGATTGTGTTCTTGGCGGGTTAGATTTAGATTATGGATGTGCATTGGATGATCTGCACAGGTCCCTTCTCGGATTTGAACTTAGCAGTTTCTTTAACAAGGACACCGCTCCCCTAAATAAAGTCCAGAGTTTGGGAGAGAAGTTTGATCTATCCTCTCACAAAAATGGTGTTTGAATATCTCAGGGCCTCTCATGCTTAAGATTTTCTAACAATAATCTAAATAACTCCCGTCAAATTTTATGCTATATATATGTGTGTGTGTGTGGGGGGTTGATGATTTAGTTTGTGCAACATTTTGGTTTTTTTGGGATTTGGGTTTTTCTTTTTGTTTTAAATGCACAAGCATGTTTAAACTTTAAAGTGGACATGTGTAGTCATGTAATGCTATATTCCGAGAATTGTTTCACCAATACATCCGACATAAACCTAGGAAGTTCAAAATTGTACACATCACAACATGCTTAATTAATGTTAAAGAAAAATTACACCACAACAAATAAGAGGTCGGTATAATCTTCACGGTGTGTTCAACATTAAAGAACGAACTATAGATCAAATAAGAGAGACAATCTTCACAACATGCTCAACATTAGAGAATGAATTAGAGACCAAAAGAACAATTACTAATAGGAAATAACATAGATTATTAATTACATTCCTTATTCTCTTGTTTCTTTAATGTATTGTTATTATGATTCTTCTCTAACTATGATTAAAAATCTTTCTTGTAGTCCCTATATATAGGGATCTATCATGCATTATTCAATAAAACTAATTATTTTCAAATTGTATCAATAACCAACACTCAGTAGTGCATGTATACACACACACATATAAACCTTTCAATGTTAATTTCTACGGAGTACATAATGTATTACTAGTGTGCGTGTTTAGATATTGATGTCTTTGCAAGATTTTCTTGAAGAACACCCAACATTCTTAGGATGTGGGGTTTTTATACTTTTCGCTCTTATTATTTTTTCTATTGTTATTGTTGTATGTTGTGATAGATGGGCATCTCATCACATGTCAATGGCGCAAGTTGAACCGTCCAACACACCTTAACTAGAGAGCAGTGGTTACCCTCAATCCTCATCGTATTCAAATGGGTCTATAAAACTTTGGAGTTTCAAAATCGAGAAAGTACAATTCGTTATCTACCGTTTTTACTCTATTGATGCAAAGTGATAACACTAAGAGAATATTAGAAGAAGTTTTACATATTTACTTTTATATATATATATATATATATATATATATATATATATATATATATATATATATATATATGCATGCAGCATGCATGTATGAGTGTGTGTGTTCATTATATGCAATTTGAGTTTGTAAAATAATTTTGAGTTATTAAAATTTTATTTTAATTTGTGACTATTTGTTTCATGGCAAATAATATAGAATCATAATTCCTGACATCAAAGTGTAGTTGATGTTAATATTACATATTCCCTCTGTCCCCCCTGTATTTGTCCACATTTGACTTTTGGAACTGTTCATCTAAGCACTTTGACTCATCAAATTCTCTCAATGTGTAAGCCTAAATATAGTCATGCGTGATCTTGTTTGATTTGTCTTAACATATAGATTATTAATATATAATTTTTATAATTTCTTAATATACAAATTACAAGATAAAATAGATTAAAGAAGTGCATTGGATGGTGTGTAAAAATGAAAGTGGACAAATACAGGGGGACGGAAGGAGTAGATGTTAACATTACATCATAGCAAATTAACATAAGTGCACAAATTTCATCTTCTCGAGACTTAAAAAAGTAACTCGTGTGTTAGAAATTATAGAAGTCTAATTTTTATTTTTGGAACAAAATCTTCAACAAAATTTGGGTTGATCATGTTCAAGATTTTTATTGTGTAGACAAATAATTCATATTTGTTTATACAGGTGCCAACTTTGTAATAACAAAGAGTGTTTTGTAGGGCCAAAAATCGTTAAATAAACATTACACTCGCATACATAAGGTCCCTTCATACACCTCGGTACAATTGTGGGTCGTCCCAATATGCACTCCCAACTCCCAAGGAATAGTAGACCTTATGTAAGAAAAAAACTAGACTGTTGTCTGAATAAAAAATATACTCCCTCAATTCTAAACATTTGTCACACTTGTATTCCCGAGGATCAAATTTTTTTTAATTCATATTATTTATATATTAGTATAAAAATAAAAAATAAAATTTACATATAAAAAAACTAAATGAAAAATTCTTCGAAATATGAGGTGTCAAGAATATTTTATTTTATCAAATAACCAATAAAAACGTAAAAATAAACAAAAGTTCCCGCAACTGCAGAAAAATCAAACGTTGCAAATAATTTGAGACGAAGAAAGTACTAGATATCATTATCTTAAATAATTATTATTTAATTATACATCAAATGTTGATTTGGATGGATGGGAAAAAATCAAAATTAAACAAATATTTTAAACGAAGAAAAAATCAACGGCTACAGTTAAGTGTTGACTCTACCATACAAATCCAATCATGTCCCACCGGCCTCATTGACTTCTCTGCAACCCAGTCAAACTTAAAACCATTCTTGACCCCAGACAAAACCTTAGCCACACACAAAAATATAAACAATAAATATGCAGCATACTTCCCTTCATTCATACTCCCCCTGTTTGAATGAGACCATTTTAATTTTTACGACAAATCAAAAGTCAAATGAATATAGACACGATGTATCAAAAGTTGAATGAATATGGATATACATCATATCAACGTTCGTTTGACATTTGATAATACTGCATAACCAAACACAGTGAGCAAAGTTCAACCAAGAACCAGATAAGAGGAAAGAGAGGGGAGATGCCGATGGGCTGCACGGCGGATGGGATCCTAGACGAGTCAAAGTACAGCGAGCCAATGCCGTGGATTGGAATCTACGTGGCAGTAGCATCTGCAGCTTGTGCAGCAGCCATGGCTGGGGACGCCTTCCATGGCTTGCGCTACAAGAAACTCTGGTTCCCTTGCAATTTCTTCTCTCTTAACGCCACCACTCTGGCTCTTGTGGCAGTCGCGACCAAGCTGTCAGTCGATCTCAACAGCTCCATGCCACGACACGGAGACCAGCTCGCGAAACTCAGCAGTGGGGCCTTCGTCTGCACAGTCATGTCAAATTTCATGCCTTCTCTAGGAGCCATGAAACCCAAAGACCTCGCGATGAATCTCATGGCTTGGGGGATTTTCGTGATCACGGTCGTGGTAAACATAGGGATCCAACTGGGTACTGGCGTTATATATGCTTTCTGGGAAGAACATGTCGCGGTCGTGTTTGTTATGATCATCTTGCTTCTGCTCCTGGTTTCTTCTGCACTTTCAGTCCCTACAACAAAATCATATTTTGATCTCAAGTACAGCAAGAAGTACAACAAATTAGAAAAGAGGATCGACGAATTTAGACCATCCTTACTTGAGGGGCTGAGAGATGATCTGATGACATATTGGATGATGGCCCTTACATGTAGCCCCCAGTTCGTGGTGGGGCGCTCCGTGACATGCACGGCCTCTGGAGCCTTTTGCCTTTTGAGCATGGTTGTATACGCGGAAGCCATGCTTCGTTCTTATCTGCTCCCGAGGACCTTCAAGTTCTGCAATGGAGAGTCTGATTACAAGTGGTCAACCGGTTTGATTCTTGTGGCACAGACGATAGCTATACTAATAGGCACAATTGCGCCGGCCTTCAGGTGGCTCATGGCCATTGAATTCCAATGCCCGAAAAAACTTAATAATTCATGCCACAACAAGTGTAGAGTGGAGGACTACTGGATTCAGAGCCTGGTCCGGTGTAAAGAATCCCCATTAGATTTGAGAAAACGGGGAAGGTGGGTCAGGAAAATCGCACACAGCGCGAAGGAGATGTTTTTGGATTTCTGTATTGGAATGCAGAGAGGAATCGTGGGAATGAGCAAATTAGTCCGGCTTGTTTCCCTTTTCTGGGTAAGGTGGATATTGATAGGGATCAAAAGAATAGCCCGGTGCTGCCATGGTGAAACAATGGAGTCGAGGGGGTCGTGTTCTTCTTCAATGCCAGAAGATCTAAGGTGCTACATTTTGCATCTCGAAGGAGAGGAAGCTTTGATGGATTACATGATGTCGTGTCACTTTGATGTGAGTGACCATTGGATCAAGATGGGGAAAAAGAAGGAACCAAAGAACCTCACCGAACTCTTACGCAGCTGGACTCCAGAACAAGGATTTCTTGAAGCAAACAGATTCGACAGTGACCTCGTTCCTTCGTTGGACTGCGAAAACGAGCCTCCGAACTGTTGGGCGCTTCCGGTTGTGACACTCGCAAGCATTGCAATGGCGGTCTCTTCCTCGGAGACCGACCACAGCTTAAGGGAGCAGTTGATGAAGTGCATGGAAGAAGCGATGGTTTACGTAAGATTTCTAGAGGAAAAGCTTGACAGAGATGGAATCCTGACAAACCTCAGGAAGGCAGCCCAGATGGTATGGGTCAGAGTGGATCTCCATTACAAATGGCTGGATTTGGATCTCATAAAAATGGGCGAAAAACGAACCCCCGAAAACATTCTCAAATCACTATCTACAGAAGCAAAGCAGAGATACATTCAATACAAAAACAAAGACGTTACCATTTCTTTAGCAGAATCCCCATTAAAGTGGCCTACAAAGATATTGGCAGCCAATTCCATGTACCGCATTTGTCAGTCTCTTCTTCTTCTACAAACCACTGAAAATCAAGAGTTGCAGAACAGTAATATGATCATGTTCGAGAGGTTGTCCCAGATGATAAGAGGCATAGTAGGGGCGAGCCTCACCAACCTGCCTCACGTTATATGCACGCTATGCCACCAGAGCAGCATAGAAGAGCGGGGAAAGAGTGTCCGTTTGGCCATCACGCTTCTGGGAAAAGTGGGTAAGATCTTGGAGATCGTGAGCCGCGAACCACTCCCAAGTGGTTCGGGTGCAGATAGGAGATTGGCACACATTGATGATTGGAGAGCACTAAGCGAAGAAAAGGGAAATCAGCTCTGGAATTCCTGTCCAGCACACAAAAACAATGCTCCAAGAGGATGCTCCTCTGGCTTCTATATAACAATTGAATAAGCTTATTCTGCTTTAATATAGATATATAGGGTCTGTTTGGTAACTAGGTGTCTAGGTTAATTTACACACTTTCGTTCCAGATTTCCATTCGAGTTCCTGTTCAATAGATAAACACAGCCCCCAAAAGTGCTATACTTTGTTCATAAATTCTTCATCCACAAAGAAGGCACAAAAAAGTCTAAATGTTCATCTACAAGTAAGATAAAAGATCTTGTGAACGAAACACTTGATACATTGTCCTAACCTATGTTGCACGGATTCTTCAAACAAGTGTCACTACCGGCTACTCATCCCCGAAATGTCCATGTTTGGGTACTCGGGGACATCCTGGAATAGTTAGTGTTTCCCCACTCTCGCTCCCGCCCCCGTACGAGTTCCCATCCCCTTCCCCCCTACAGCTTAGGTTCTCACTCGATAAGCTAAAATCATCACAAGAATAGTACATTTGTGATTTACACATTCAAGGGGCTTTGCAACTAACCATAACACTAATTTTGATGAAAATTTGGTCACACAACAAAGTCATATGTGTGTGTGTGTGTAATATATATATACACACACACATACTGAAATCATCATAAGAATGACATGCTCATGATTCACAACACCATTTTTTCAAGATAATTGCAAAACAATGTCATATACAGCACTGAGATCAAATGAATGGTAGGCAGACTTCGCGGTCTCCACAATATCTTTGAATAATTCATTGCTTACAATGAAATAAAGTATGAGCAATAATTCAATAGATCATTATAATATAGTGCTAAATCTGCAAACCCAACTCCGACGGATATCCTCAATTTAGGGCTCAAAAAAAAAAGAGTAACTGAATCATTTCAAATAAATAGATAAATAAATAAATAAACTAAAGAGCTTGAAACCTTTTGGTCCTAGTCTGCGTCATTTTGATTCTCCCGCTTCCGGTAACTCTCCGCGCGCCTTGTGTGTTGGCGATGAAGCTGCCGGCGATTAAGATGTTAAAGACTTGTTAGCTCTGCCCCATATAGACTCCCGAGACCATTCCACCATGGCTTTGAGAATGAGATGCGATCTTGGGTGTAATTCTACCATCTCACTAGCATGGAGGGGAAATTGGATTTGAGTGGCCCCCTAAGCCATTGTCTCCCTACCATCTCTCCATTTTTCATTCTTAAAATTAATGATTTTTATCTTTCTTAACTTCTTGTAAACACTTGTACCTAGTCTCGATCCTAACTCATCTCTCCCATCTACGTCAATGCACCTTGTATTTCTTTACCTTACATGTCTTTCTCTGATTTTGTTAAAAAAAAGTACAGAGTACTCTATCATCAAACGAGTTGGTATATGGTACATCGGTATGTATCTAGAAATAGGCACATCCCGGTAGTACTCATTCTAAAATAAAGTAGTACTCATTCTCGTACAAATATAACCATTCATTTCGAACTACGTAGTACTCATTCTGGCAAAGGTAGTACTCATTTTAAAATAAAGAAGTACTCATTTTTACACATTTGTCTAATATAATTATAATAAATAGCGTAGTGTTCATTCTTAAAAAAACAATACTCATTCTCAAATAAAGAAATGTTCATTCTGAAATAAAGTATTGTTCAATTTTTTCACAATTAAAGAGTTCAGTACCATCATCAACTTCTTCCTCCATTCGATTCGTTCCTACTCATTTATACTCTCTGAGCATGAAGAATTTAAAACTCAGGTTTATTCATGTTTGTATTGAATAAGAATGTGATAATTCTCAAATTTGCTGGTACTCATTCTCAAATTTGCTGGTACTCATTGTCATATATAATAGTTCTCATATATGTTCTGAGCATTGGATAAAAAGTTTGCAAAATTTATAAAAATACCAGGTTGTACCTAAAGGAAGGTACAACTGGATGTACCATATAATTTGCCAGTATCAAATACATGGAATGAATACATGGTTTGATGATAGTGTACTCCGTTGATGGTGATAAACCACAAAATATATTAAACTAGTGTCAATCACGTGCTTCGCATCGGCTCGTATACATTCTAAAATTTTGACATTTTATAAATATAATTTTTTATTATAGTTTTCTAATAGTGATAAAATATGTTTAAAAGTGAAAAACTTTTATACAAATGTATTAAAAGATCATTTCAAAAAATAATTGGACCAATGAAATGCATCCACCTCATTAATGATGCACATGTGGATGCACATGTGGCATGCCACATGTCAACACCACAACAAATTAACTCAATTTTACATATATGATATATGATTATATGAAGTTTAGATAGAGAGAATGTAAAGTAAGAGTATATTCACTCAAAATTCGGATCATTTACAATAAGGGTCTCTCCCCTTTTATAGGGTATACAATACAATGGGTCAAATCCCTTTGATCGAGGTTCGTTGCTTAGCGGACGTCACCTGTCCCTCCGTTTTGCCCCTTTCATCCTATTGCTATCGCTAGGTCCCTATCACCGGTCGCTATCTTCTCGTCGCTGTCATACAGTCCGAGCCGAGCCGAGCTCGTAGGCCGAGCGCGTGCAGACCTGGCCGAGCACAGCGATCTTCCATGTGGGCGAGGGGCCCAGCTGACGTCAGCCCTAGGCCGATGTGGGGTTATCCTCCGTCATCCGTATTTCTTTACCCTACATGTATCCATTCTTAGTTCTCTAGCTTCGTTAAAAAAAGTACAAAATACACTATCGTCAAACCATGAAAAAATATAAAGAGAAAAGAAATATGGCAAATAATCTTTTTTATAAGACAAAATCGTGTACCTCCACAAAATGTAAACAAATGCTCCCTCCGTCCTAGTGTATTTGTCCAGTTTGACTTTTTTGAGTCAAACTTGACAAATTTTGGGCTTTAATTAAATAAAAATCGTAATGTATTTTAACATAAAAATGACTTTATTGGAGTTATCGTATCAAGAACTTTCAAAATTGTATTTCATTATGCTAATATGCAATATGAATTGAGAGTAACTGGAGTTCAAAGTTTGTCCATTTTGACTCGAAAAAGTCAAACTAGACAAATAAATTGAGATAGAGGTAGTATCTTTTAGTATAAGGGGGTTATTTTGGTAGTATACTGGCAGGATTTATAGCCTTCAATTCCCAACCTCTGTTCTATCTTCTCCTTGGCATTATTAGTGAAGGCGTCAATGAGTATTTTCTGCCATGGCAATCCGGCCAGCCTATAAGAGTTGTTCTGTTAAATGTAGTGTGCTTGGATAACTTTTGTGAAATGTCATAGTATTTTTTACCATGCCAATCACAAACATTTTTATTTTATTTAAGAAAAAAGAAGAAAAAAAACAAGGAAAACAATAATGAAAGAAGGAGAGGTGGCATTGATGTGCATTTCCAAAGCCATATGAAAGAGGGGAGCAATTCATGTAATACTTGAATGATAGTTTAGTCTAGAGGGACATTGACATAGAAAAATAAGGACCATAATCAATAATGACACAAGTTTTGAAATTATAGAGAGGCAATGCATATTTACCAAACTACGTACATGAGGTATTTGTGCAATAAACTCGTGTTATAATATACAGAGTAATTAATAAGAACATGAATTTAATTTGTTAGGACAAAATATCACATAGACACATGGGTGTTAGACATATCATGATTCGTAATTTGATCAAAAGTGGTGTGATATCAATTGAGTTTGTTAGAACTCAACACATTTTAGCCGATAATTTAACTAAAGGGTTGAGAAAAGATCTTGTGCAAGATTCGGCTAAAGGGATGTGATTAAAGTTTGTATGAAATCTCTCATGTTAAGATATCCAATTCTCACCTAATATGACATTAGGTGCAGAATCCAATGTGGAAAGCTTAACATCTAGAGATTGGAACACAAAAGTAACATCATCCAAAGATATGTGTTTAGAACTACAAGTTAAAAAGGTTTAAGTATATCTTCATAATGGTTCTTTTGAAAAATTGTATATGCAGGTACAAGACATAAAAGAACTACTTATACGAGTATGAAGTTTAGCCCTTCAAGAAGTTTGGACTTGACATTATATGCTCGTTGAAGGATAGAGACACAAGGCTAGCAAATACGGTGTCAAGCTTAGAATGAAGAAGCACTTGGAACTTATGTTTATATTATTTTCATGTATTCATATGAATTACAAGAGTTCAATCCTTAGAGACACCCTGAAATTTGAATATTTGGAATGTGTAATATACTAAGATGAAAATTCAATTGTCGCGACATTTTCCTTTATGCATAAGTTAGTATCATCAGCTATTTTGTGTGATTGGGTTTATTTAAATCAAACAAAGATTTGAATAGACGTGATGGATATCCTGGAATGGGGGTATCTGGCCCAACAGGAATACCGGCCTAACCCAATTAGAATCAGGCCCACTCAGCTGGGCGGAACTAAAAGAAATTGAAGTCTCAAGGGGGCTACCGCATCAAGACTTACCCGCACTCGGCCCCGGGTGGCACGCTCAGCCCCAAACCACGGTCGGCCAGCTCATTGTCGGAAGTCTCCAGGAAAGCAGAACACGTGTACTCAGCCTCGGCCTAGGATGCAAATGGACCGAGACCACAGAGTATGGCTTGACTAGTCAAGTCAGGGGACCCACGATTGGACCCCTGCCACGCCACCATCAGATTAGTAGCAGTCACCCTACTTGTAACCTATCTTGTATAGTCGTCATAGGGATATTGATGTGGTTGGCGCCGCCAGTTAAACGACCAAATCTTAGTGGGCCCGATCCGTTGGACTTTGGACCAACGGTCGGGAGCCCCATTTGTAACTTGTATATAAGCCCCTTCTTTAAGAGGGGAAAAACACGTTCTCTTACACACTAATACTTGCAATGTTACTTGATTCCTAATTTGAGTATTCTTGACCCTACTTCGATACTCTATTGCCTAGTTCCCTAGGCCCCCGGGTTCCATAACCCAACAAGACGTTTTCAAACGAGTTAGCGGGGTCCAAGGGGCGGCGGCCTCTGGATGGGTTCAAGGGGCAGAGCATTCTAAACATGAGACTTGGACGGAGTCCCAAGGTCCAAGGCCCAAGAGATGGCAGCCCCTGGAGCTTTCAGATTTTCGTGAACGAAGTCCAAAACGTTAAAATATTTGGATGTGTGGATAAACGCCAAATTAACGCTAAAATCCCAAGAACCCTTTTGCACGAACGTCAATCTCCTTAAGCGAACTTTCGCATTTTCAGACGTTATCTTCTCGCGCGAACGTTCACCTCATATGCGAACGTCCATATCTAATCATTGATTTTCGACTTTATAAATAGAGTGTAACACCCGGCCCCCACCCTGGCCGTAAGTGCCCGCTCATAGGATTGTAGACTGGCCCCACAAACCAACACAAGTTTTTCCCGCACACTTTGTCCTTACTCAAGCGCGCCCAATGAAACTTCCCAGGGGGGTCAGCCATCGTAGAATTGCTTCAAGTCAAGCACGCTTAACTTTGAAGTTTCTAGGTGATGAGCTCTCGAAAAGAAGATGCACCTGTTGGTATGAGTAGTACTATCAATCCTTTTGAGCTCTTCCTATCTCCATCTTAATACATGGTATTACATAGAGTCTCGCAGTCGTAGGTATGGGTTGAAATACGACTTTCAGTGCTTGTTCTTGATTGACGTCCTATACGATTAAAGTATTTCGCATACCCCAAAATAACTTTAATCTGAAAGCATTTTATGCGATTTGTTATATTATATGAAGGTGTTCTTCTCGTTCTTTGTGAATGCTGCTCTACAGCGTTCTTCTTCCATTCATATTTCTAACAAACAAGAAGAGTTTTTCCAGAACGGAAGGAGTATATGAGAGGAAGGGAGTACTATATAAAGCACATTTATTTAAGGTCATGTTTTTATCTTAAAACAAAAGAAAAATACTAGAGGACGGAAGCCCTTGGGGATAAAAAGAACAAATGAAAACAAGCAAACCAAACGATTACTTGGAGAAAATTACAAATAAGATTAATTATATTAATGATTACAAATAGACTTGTCGTGGAATAATCATTGCACAAACTGTAACACACTTCAAAGGTGTACTCCATATGTCCCCCCACTTCCTCCTTGTCCACTAAAAAAGGCAAAAATATTTAAAAAAAATATAAGTAAATTGTTAGCGTATATTATGTATAGATATTAGTTTATGTATATCCTGTATCATGGTGGGCCTATCTTATTGGGCTTGTAACTGTAACTTGTATATATATCCCCCGGTATCAATGAAACAATCAAGTCATTCAGTTCACCAAATTCTACATGGTATCGGAGCCAAATCCCTAAAACCCTAGGCCTACCGCTGCAAGTCCGTCTCTCGATTCGCCGGTCGCAAGCTCCGTTCGTCCCGTCCGTCCGCATCCGGCATCGTCCATCCAGTACTTCCGGTCATTGCAGAAGTTTCCTCCCGTCCGGCAGAAGATCCCGTCCAACCAGATTCCGTAGTTTCGTCGAAGCAGATCTGCTCTTCCAGCAGATTCGTCCGTCCGGCGTCGTCCGTCCAACGCCGCCAGCACTTCAGGTCATCGCAGAATTTTTTTTTTTTTCAAGCAAATCTGTCCGTCAATTTTGGTTTCCAGCAAAGGCCATCCAAAGCTTTGTCGACAGAGTTTTGTCCAGCAGTTTGGTTTTCCGTCCAAGTGGTCCGTCCAGCAGTTTGGTTTCCAGCCTGAATTTTGGTTTGATTTTCCTTCCGTCCAAGTGGTCCGTCCAGATTTGTCTACACTTTTGCAATTTGTCCAGTAGTTTGGATTTGTTTGGTGTGAAAACAACAACATAAAATATCAGGATGACTAGTACCTCGTGTGATTGGTTGATTGATAGCGGTGCTTCTCATCATATGACGGGTACTCTGTCTCACATGTTCAATATTGAGGATGTTTTATCTCATCCAATTTGTCTTCCCGATGGCTCCCGGATTCAGGCTACTAAAAAGGGAAGTGTCCGTGTGACCTCTAGTCTGGTTCTCCATCATGTGTTTTACGTCCCCACGCTACATTGTCATTTGATTTCTGTTGGGTGTTTGATTCGGGACACCACCTGTTATGTTACTTTTAATGATTTTGGTTGTGTAATCCAGGACCGTTCGTCGAAGATGGTGATTGGGCATGGTGAAAAGCGAAACGGAGTATACATCCTGGTTTCTTCCTCTGCGTCGGCTAATGTGGCTAACGTGGATCCTTTGCTTCTTCATCAACGTTTGGGTCATCCTTCCTCAGATATTATTTCCCTTTTACAGTCCAGTAAATCAGGTTCTGTTATCAAGAAACTTCAAGCTTGTGAGATTTGTTTTTTGTCTAAACAAACTCGTTCTTCCTTTCCTGTTAGTCATAACAAAGCTGAAGCAATTTTTGATTTAATTCATTGTGATTTATGGGGTCCTTATTCCCCGTGTCTGTCATCTGGTGCTCCTTATTTTCTCACAATTGTTGATGACTTTTCTCGTGTTGTTTGGGTATATCTTATTCGTACTAAAAGTGAGGTAACATTTTGTCTTAAACGGTTCTTTACCATGATTCACACCCAATTCTCTAAAATCATCAAAGTAGTCCGGTCTGATAATGGCACCGAATTTCTCAATGCCCCTTTGCGTCAATATTATGACTCCATGGGTGTTTGTGTCCAAACGTCGTGTGTTGGTACCCCTCAACAAAATGGTCTAGTAGAACGAAAGCATCGTCACATTCTCAACGTTGCTCGTTCTCTCATGTTCCAAGCGTCTCTTCCTGTTGAATTTTGGGGGGAATGTGTCAAAACTGCTGTCTATTTAATTAATCGCACACCGACAAAACTCTTGGGTGGGAAATCTCCTCTTGAAGTACTCTCGTCCAAACCACAAGATTTGAGTCATCTCCGGGTTTTTGGTTGTCTCTGTTTTGTCCGTCAAATACCTAAACCCCTAAACAAATTTTCTCCCTGTAGCGTGAAATGCATGTTTATTGGGTATCCCTATGGCACAAAAGGGTGGCGGGTGTATAACTTAGACACTCACCAACTTTTTCACGCTAGGGATGTCGTGTTTGACGAATCACAATTCCCATTCTCTGTTCCAAACCCTACCAATTCCGTCCAACCCATCTTAAACCCCGCCGACGTCGACTTTCCTGACGTCTCTCCGCCGGCAGTCTCCATCGGTGACACTACCAGCGAGCAGCCCGTCATCTCTCCTTCGTCTCCCGTACCAGTCCCGTCAACCGAACAGCCCCCTCTTCCCGTCACTGTCCAGTCGACAGGCAAGTCTCCCTCGTCCGTCCCGTCTCCTTCTCCTTTACCTCCTCGCACACGTCGCCTCCCCACCTACCTTAATGACTATGTCCTCCATTCTGTGTCTACCGTCACTCCGTCTTCCTCTTCACCTAGCTCAGTCTCGTCTGGTACCCGGTTCCCGATTACTAACTATGTTCATTATGATAAGTTGCATACCAGGTACAAGGGCTTTATTGGTGTTATAGATGCTTCCCCGGTTCCCACTTCTTATAGAGAAGCCGTCAGGTTTGCTTCTTGGAGGGACGCTATGGCACAGGAATTCAATGCATTGGAGCGGGATAAAGCACGTCTGGTTGTCTTGGGAAATCATCAGGAGGTGGGGGTCGACTTCACTGATACATTTGCCCCCGTAGCCAAGTTGGCTACCGTTCGGGTGTTGTTATCTGTCGCAGTTGAACGCGGATGGCAGGTTGACCAGCTGGATGTCAACAATGCCTTCTTACACGGGGATCTTAAGGATGAGATTTATATGAGGCTCCCACCTGGATACTCTCATTTGTTCCCTGGGAAAGTATGTCATTTGCGAAAGTCTTTATATGGGCTCCGTCAGTCTCCCCGTAATTGGTTTGCCAAGCTTCGTCTAGCTTTGCGTCAGTATGGTTTTCGCCAAGCTCATGCAGATCATACTCTTTTTGTTCTCTGTCGTGGTTCTGATATACTTGTTGTTCTTGTTTATGTGGATGACATTCTTGTTGCAGGCAATAATCCCTCTTTGTGCACTTCTTTTAAGAAGTACTTGGATGCTTGTTTTCAGCTCAAAGATCTTGGACCGGTCTCTTATTTTCTGGGTATAGAGTGTGCTCGGTCTTCTACTGGTATGGTGCTTAATCAGCGAAAATACACCTTGGACATTCTTCAGGAGCACAACCTCTCCGGATGCAAGCCTGCCGACACCCCAGTGCCCAGCAACCATAATCTAGCCCGTTCTACTAGTGCTGAGCTTCGGGATGCTGCCAAGTATCGTCGTCTTGTTGGCCGTTTGTTGTATTTGACTATCACTCGGCCGGATATCTGTTATACTGTTCATGCCTTGTCTCAGTTTATGGAGGCTCCACGTCTAGACCATTGGACCGCGGCTCTTCGTGTTCTCCGGTATCTTAAAGGGCATCCAGGACAGGGTATCCTCCTTCGTCGAGATAGTGACCTGACTTTGACGGCCTATTCAGATTCAGATTGGGCGAGTTGCCCGCTCACTCGTCGCTCTGTCACCGGTTATTTTGTCCTTCTTGGTGGGTCCCCTATCTCTTGGCGCACTAAGAAGCAAACTACAGTGTCCCGTTCGTCTCCAAAGGCAGAGTACCGCGCCATGGCTAACGCCTGCGCTGAAATCAGGTGGCTCCGTGGTCTTTTGGCCGCTTTACAGGTCCCTTGTGTTGCTACTCCACGTTTGTATTGTGATAATAAGTCTGCTCTCTTCATTGCGGCTAATCCGGTCTTTCATGAGCATTCAAAACACATCGACATCGATTGTCATATAGTTCGGGAATGCCTACAGCGTGCTCATATAGTCACAGCTTATGTTCCTACGCGGCTGCAGACAGCTGATATCTTCACGAAGGCGCTCCCCGGTCCTCTTTTTCGTTCTCTTTTGTCCAAGTTGGGCATTTTTGATTTATATGCTCCAACTTGAGGGGGAGTGTTATCGTATATTATGTATAGATATTAGTTTATGTATATCCTGTATCATGGTGGGCCTATCTTATTGGGCTTGTAACTGTAACTTGTATATATATCCCCCGGTATCAATGAAACAATCAAGTCATTCAGTTCACCAAATTCTACATAAATAAAAATCAAATAAAAATATGTGGTGGAGAAGGAGTGGTGTACATTTGGGGTACACCTTTTGGTGTACCTCTAGCATTGCTCTTCAAATATTGCACAAGAAGAAATCCTTAAGGCATCCGAAGGTAGATTTGCAGCTGCAACATGCCAAATCACACAAAGCTTGCAAACATTAGCGGTCGAGACATATTCTGCCTTAATATTTATTTGAGGAAAGTGCATCGTTTACTTCTGAATTATTTAGAAATTGTATTGTTTATCCCTGAATATTAAAAATGCACCAAATACCCCTGAACATTAAAATGTGCACCAAATACTCCTGAACTCTTTAAAAATTACATGATTTACCCTTGAACATTTAGATAAAGACGATAATTTATGGGAAGGGTACTATGGAGAATTCACAAGGCCCAGATAAATCATACTCGCAATTCTCGTATGTGGGAGCAAGGCACTCCCTATCTAGCATTTTAGGACCAACATTGCAATGTTTTAAATTGTTTAGGGATATTTGGTGCACTTTTTAATACTCAGTGGTAGATCATGCAATTTTTGAAGAGTTCGAGGGTAATTGGTGCATTTTTCTCACATTTATTTTTAGGGTCCATTTTTATGGTGCATTTGTTGTTCGCCATGATGCATTTTACAAAGCAATTACTTCGCCATAGTTTATTTTTCAGAGCATGTAGTGCATTTTACAAAGTTTGATTTAATTATGGAATTGCTACCACATTTTTCTTGTTTTTTTCTCATTTTTAAATTTTTTATGATAATTACATTTCACATTTTTAAGTAGCACATGCATTTTTATTTCTTTCATAAAATCTCATTCTTAATAGAACATACTCCGTATATGTGTGTGTCTATATGTGTGTGTGTGTGTGTTTTGCAAATTATTACTACTCCACTTACCATGTACAACAACAACATTCCCTTTCCCCTTGGCATAGTAATTGATGAACCACACTTTTTCTCCTTTTTCTTCTTCTTCTTCTCATTCGAGGGGGGTTTCACTTCCTTGTTTTTCGGATAACCTTTCGATGCATCAAAATGTATAACGATACTATATACTTCCTCCTTCTGGAAATGTTCTTCACAATTGACTTTTCTTGGTCAAAGTTTGTAAACTTTGACTACGATTTGTGGAAAAAACACATTGTATTATGATGTAAATTTAATATTAATATATTTATAATGAAACTTAGTTTTCATATATCAAATTTTTATAAAATATATCTATGTATAAATATAGATATTAATGGTCAAAGTGTAATATTGGAGACCATGAAAAGTCAAATGAAAAGAACATTTCCGGACGAAGGGATTATATATATAAAATCACGCAAAAAAACATACATAAACAACATACCCAAAGGGAGATTGGATTGGGTCTTCTTCTCTTCATTTGTGATCATGGTTCAAAGCAGTTAGACTGGATCGGAACGCAACGCAAGAAATATGTGTGTGGGAATTGGGATATAGTTGTCGAAATATGAAATATATACGTAGTATTTATACACCCAGTGAATATCTTTATTGTTGGAGTCTTGGACACCTTTTATTTAGTCAATTAATAGTTATGTTTGGGAATACCAAGAACTATCACTTGTACATCAAGCTTTTCAGACAAACACGTATACAAACAATTGTTGTCTGTGATGTGAACATACAGACAATTATTGTTACACAGAAAAGCTTGGTCTACAAGTAGCCGATATTAAATTCTCAGTGTTCCCAATCATTTTTTGGTAATAGTCTAATAGAATATGGTTTATTTGTCTCAAAACAAATATTCCCATTTTCTCATCATGATCTTCTCAAAATAAACTTAAGGGTGTTGCTTAATTCACCCATCTTTTTGCTACATCCACCTCATTTGTCAAATAGTGACTAGTTTATGATGACCTTACAGCGGGAAAATAAAAAAATGATATTAACCCGAACTTATAAAACGTTCGGATTTTACAAGAGAAATTAAAAGGAAAAAGAAAAGGTGTTCTTCGGAAGCTCGAACGGTTGCACGAACACGAACGGATGGTAGGTTGTCGCTGGAGCAATTTGTCAAACTAAACTTAAACTTTAGGAAAGCGGAGTCGCCGGAGCTTTCCTTAAGGTAGTATTGCCCGCCTCCCGCACTGGCTAACGTGGGCAATCTCCTCCCAGGATAAAACCGCTTCGTGCTAGGTCTAGAGCGGTAGAACAAAGCACCGACGAACGAGAATGACAGAGAGTTATTGCCGGAGAGGATGATCGGAGATGGGGAGTAGTTGGAAACTTAGAATTGCAGAGAGAGTTGTTTTTCGAGTGTGTCGAGTGTCTTGTTTCTGCAGCGGAGCCCTCCATTTATAGGAGACCAACTTTGGACCCTTCGCTGGACATCGGATATTACGAAAAGTCGAAAGACTCTTCATGCATGCATGCCTTACTCCATACACTTCGTTATTCCGCGCGTTTTGTTTAAGTCTCGTAAAAAACTAGCCACACCGCAGACGCGAGCGCGATGCGCCTCGCCCCGCCCCGCCCCGACGTGCGCGTGTGGTGCCGAGCCGGGCGGACGGCGGGCGCACGAGGAGTCCTCTTCTTGTTCCTTTCATAAGCTCAATTCAATGCTTAAGCTTAAATATGAGAATACGAAAGGTTTAGAAACCGGTGTGGGACAAAGGCATTTACTCTACCTTAGCATTCAACTTTGAGAATTAATTTCTCATTCACCCGAGTACCGTTTATGACGTGTCATATATCAAGACGTTCGTCTTACTTACGAGATTAATCGTCCATAATTATTTTGGAAAATAATTTTGTGGACCCAACCGAATTTATGTCCGAAAAAAGTCCAATTTACTTTAAAATTTCCAACAGTTTATTCTTAAAATGTAAAAACAAAGAAAAACAACATGTGAGATAATTTAAGGGTAAAATGAGATATTTGCTATAAATGGAGTGGATATAACATCAAGATGAATGGATTTTGCAACACCCTAAACTTAATTCTCATTTTTAAAAGGAATGGAATGAATATAAGCTTATAATCATATGTAGTAAATGAATTAGATTTCGAAAGTAAAATATTTTAAATATGATGCTTTGGCGCTAAAAAAATACTCCCTCCGTTCCAAAAACTCCATCCCTTTTTTTTCTTGTCCTACAAGCTCCATCCATTTTCTATTAAAAAACCACTTTTACTACTATTAATTCTTAATCTAACGATCACATCATACCTTTTTGCTAATTATCTATCCATCACATCATATTTTTAATCTAACAATCACATCATACTTTTTTACTAATGATCAATCAATCACATCTTATTTTTACTCATCACATCAAGGGTTATTTTTGGAAAGTCAACTTAAAAATATCTCTCTCTTAAATTTCCTAAAATTCAAAATTGGAATATCTTTATGGGATGGAGGAAGTGTAATACATTGAAATTGAATTAAGTAGTACTGTAATTTTTTTTATTTTTGAAATATTTGTTTGAAATTAAAGTATTTTTTTATCAATTCATATTGTGTTTCAAAAAACAGTTTAGGACATCCTCCGGGCTCCGGCATGTATTTTTTTTCCCATGTTCTCTCGGTCCACTGACGCTACAAAAAGTGAAATCAAAAGTGTGAAACGCGGAAATTTTTTTTTTGGATGGATGGAGTAAATATTACCCCGTAAAAAATGGAGTGGAATATAAGCTACGCAAGCACTTACCTATTGTTACACAATACTACTTTGGTTCGTGTGACGTGTAAAAATAAGATTTGATAGGTCAATTAAAAGTAAATAGATGTCAAGTGATAGGTAGATTCAGATTTAGAGGTTGTTTGACAACTTTTGAATAGGTAAGTGTTGAACCAGTAAGAGGTCTGAACCATTAAGTGCTGAACCAGTAAGAGGTCTGAACCATTAAGAGCTAGTATATTGCTTAACTATTCAGAGGCAAATGTCTGATCAATTCAGATAAGAGGTCTTAACCATTCAGACTCTGTACAATACTTAACCATTCAGAGGCAAATCTCTTAACCATTCAGACATCTGAATCATTAAGAGGCTGAAACAAAGAGTCTGAACCATTAAGTGCTGAACCATTCAGACATCTGAACCATTAAGAGGCTGAAACAAACAGCCCCTTAGTAGAGATAAAAGTGATTTGTTAATAGGAAATGAATTTTTTTTGGGAAGGATAAAAAAAAGAGAAAGATTTACAGTGACGGAGGAAGTAAAAAAAAGTTACACTAACAAAAACAATAGGGGAAATTTACCAAACATTGCTTTATTTATTTATTTTTTTGTTAATTAGGTCATGTGGCATGGGGCTCAGGAGGGTGATGGGTGAGCCACGCAGCACTCAGCGCCAGCGGGAACACTGCCCCACCCCCCTCCCTCCCATCCCCATTCAGTGTTCGGTGTAGAAGGGAGGATTCTTATACACATTTTTAAAAATGAAAGAATAATAAATACAGTGTAGATTAAAAAGGTAATTTAACTTTTGATTAATATTTTTAATTAATATTTAATACTCCCTCCGTTTGGAAAAACAATTCCCATTTGGATTTGGGGCAAAAATAAGGAAGTGTTAAATTATAGTTGATTTCCAATTTTGCCCCTGATGTGATGAGTAAAAGTAAGATGTGATGGATAGATTATTAGAGAAAAAGTATGATGTGATAGGTAGGGTATGAAAAAGTAAGGGTAAAAGTGGTTTTTTAATAGAAAAGGGAAGTGTTTTGTTGGAAGTGGAAAAAATGAAAGAGGAAGTGTTTTTGAGAACGGAGGGAGTAGTATGCATGGTACCATCTTGCCATTTTTAAATTAATATGTATATTAAATGAACGCTTCATCGTTTTGAATCATAAAAAAGGCAACATTGTGTGTGAATAATTTGATGAAAGAAATATTAAGAAACGGCATTAATAAACAGAACTTTAGCGTAAAAATCGTTATACACCGTCTTGAAGATGAAATAATAATAAATACACAGAACATTAAAAGGTAATTACACTTTCCATTAATGTTATTATTTATTTAATTAAGATTTACTATTTAATACTATATGGTGCGTAAAAAAAGGAATGTCAAAATGGTAGGTAACACCGAAAATTAAACAAAAATAGTCGTGTTTCCATCTTTACTTCATAGGTATTTTAAATAAGGTAATTTCAAGGTATGTTCCTTTTTTCGTGAAATGAGATTTTGTAAAAAAGAGGATTATTTCATTGATTTTCATATCATGAAAATGAACCAATAAAGACATCTTTTATTTAGACAAAAAATGAAAATTTTTAATTTGAGACAAATAAAGTGTACATTAATTCTTTTGATTTAATTGATTTTTATTGCAAACACAAAAAAAATAATTATTAAAAAATTATAAAAAATATTTTTTAAAAAAAGTTATTTATAAAAAAATAGTAGAAAAAAGAAAACAATAAACAAAAGAGGAAACATTTGTGCTAATTTCCAAAATCATAGGGGGTAGTGAAGTTATTCACATAATATTTGAAAGATTTTTTATTCTAGAGACATTAACGTAGCAATGTCATAACAATGAGGGGTAACGCCATAATTTTTGAAAGCATAAGAGGTAACAATGCACATTTACCAAATCACATGGGATCATGTGTAATAAACTCTCTCCTTGTTTGGGCGTTGCGCAGTTGGCAAGACAAGAGGTGCCAATGAGGTAATAAGACACGAGTTTGATTTCTGTCAACTACGCTGAGAGGCAACTATGTTAAGCATAAGGTCTCTGTAAGTACCAGATACATGCTTGATGCTCCACTATTTTTTACCAATCTGTGATTAAAATCCAATTTACTCCCTTTCAGTGACCGCCCGAGCGAGTCGGAAGAGATTCTCGGGGATGGGACTCATCCTTTGGAAACTTTAAAGCCCAAGTATTCTTGTAAAAGCACTTTTGAAAGTGGCTATTGGCTCGATGCCTAGTTATGGGGTCCGAGGTGGTTCACAATAAAAGGTGGTTGTGGGTATAAGTTTTCATATTTGAGACGACATGGGGGGGCTAAGATACCCTTGGGTCGTGTTGTCAAAACCGGGGAGAAGCAACAACAAAAACAAGACCAAATTAAATCACACAAAAGTATGCTCTAAGGAAAAACGACATTTCAAAATGAATACTGATTATTAGAGAAACATGGCATATCTAGTAAAAAAAATTGTCCAAAATAATAGTAAAACATACGTAGTAGTTCTTATTCTAAAAAAATACTTCATCCGTCCCCAATTTGATTACAAATTGATCAAGGTTTACGAGGAGAAATATTTCACTTTTTGAAATCATTTTATTTACAAATCGGTATATCGATAAGAAATAAAATTTACATATTAAAAAACTACGTCAAAAATTCTACAAAACAAGAGTTGACAAGAATATTTTATTTTATCAAATACTTAATGGAATCGCGTAAACAAACAAAATTTATCGAGGGGAGAGTGAAAAAAATTGCAATCAAATTGGGCCGGAGGGAGTATATGATATGTTTCTATCTTCAAAGTAGGTTATCTGCACTGTAACAATACGATAATATATATTGACATTTTGTAATACGTGTTTTTTGGTATTACTCCGTAATACCATCATTTTGTCCGAAAAATAAAAGAATCATGAGCCGATACTTAGAGATGGCAAGAAGAAAATCTTGGCCATGTATAAGTTCAAAAATATATTTTTTCCGTAACAAAGTAACAATCATGTCAATAGTAGACTTCTATATTCTCAACAATTTTACTAAAAAGTTCACTCCCCAGTATATGTTGGATATGTTAATAATAATAACACACATAAGATTAACTTATAGTATATTTTTTTTTGAAGGTACACATAAGAATAATTAATTAATAATTATAGCATAAATGAGAGATTTGTCGTCCAATAATCCCTGCCCGTAGATAATTGATCGCAACTCAGATGCATAACTTTGCGCAGCAGGAAGGGAAGAATAACAAGTAACCTCTCCTGTACAAACCAAATCACACAAAACTAGCAATTGATGATGAGGAGATTAAAACTTGCACTAATTTTCTAAATTAATCCTATATAATTAGATATTTTTTCAAATAAGTCTATTTTCGATGTAAAATCTCTTTTAATATAAAAAATCGTAGCAGGATTCTTCCCTTTTAATTGATTCATGGTGTTTGAGCGGAATCGGAAAACCATTTTTATAAGATTTTATTTTTAAAAAAATGACTAATTTGGAGAAAAAAATTAATTAGAAATGATCATTTTGGAAAATGAGTACAAGTTTTAATGTCGTTTTGACACCGTTTTGATGGCGGTTATTCGGGGGACTGGTGCTCAATTAACGAGTACCATCTCAGTAATTAGTTCATCTTAGGAACTAATTTGAAAAAATACATAGTTATTGAGTACAATTTTAAAAATTTACTCTGTCAAAAAAACACTTAAATGTCAATATATAGTGCCATTTTTTTAGGTGTTAAAAAAAATACTCACTTTTTAGGGTAAAAACATATACTCCGTAAGTTCTATTCTGGGGTTCGGATCTATATTTTGGTCCTAACAAGGTAGATATTTTAAACTTCTCCCAAAATGTGACCTGTGTTTTTATACCCTAATTAGGATTATTGACACTGAAATACTTCTCATAATTTAGCATTGTATATAGCCATTTTCTAATAATATTAATAATAATAATTAATGATTAACAATAATAATAATAATAATTACCAATCCACTCCTCCTCTAAGCATTCTTGAATTTTTCTTCTTCCCCTCCGGCTCCAACTGGGGATTCACCTTCTTGTTGCTAGGATAACCTTTCAATGCATCAAAATGCACAAAGGTATTTTATTTTATTTTTATTTTTATTTTTGCAGGAAAAAAAAAGCATGAACTAATCAAACAAAATACCTAAAGGGAGATTGGTTTGGGTCTTTTCTTCTTCGTCCTTTGTCATGGTTCAACTGAAGAAATGTGTTTATGTGTGGGATTGTCGATCGTCCAAATATATATAAAGCCATGAGAATTGGTTAAAATAATCAAAAGTAAAAGAATTTTGAAAAAAAAAGAGAGGAAAAGTAACAAAAAACTGAGAGCTCGAAATGTATTTAAAAAAAAAACTCTCTATGTGCCATGACTTTTCTTCATTTGAATTTCAGAGAAACTTTTATTAAAAACTCAATTTTATCCTTACTTTTTGATACCATACCTATCACATCATATTTTTTCTATAATAATATATCCATCACATTAATGACAAAATTGGAAGTCAACTACAATTTAAAACTTCTTGATTTTTTTACACTTGGTCAAAATTGGAACTCTTTTTGAGAACGGAGGGAGTCGATTTCGAAAGTAAAATATTTAAAATATGATACTTTGGCCCTAAAAAAATATGATACACTGTAATTAAATTAAGTAGTACTGTAATTATTTTTATTTTTTATTTTTGTAATATTTGTTTGAAATTAAAGTATTTATTTATCATTTCAAATTGTGTTTTGAAAAACATTTCTAGGACCTCCTCCGGCATGTATTTTTTTCCCATGTGTCTCTCGGTCCACTGATGCTATAAAAAGTAATTCAAAGTGTGAAACGCGGGATTTTTTTTGATGGATGGAGTAAGTATCACGGAGTACTATACCCCGTAAAAGATGGAATGGAATACTCCTTCCGCTCGGGAATATTTTTCTCGTGTTGACTTGGCACGTTTATTAAGAAATAGTAAAAAAAATCAAATTTCTAAAAATGCACATACTGTAAACTTTTAAATCTCTTTTTCTTATTAAAAACACAATAAAAAAGTAGATTAGTGATAAAATAGAAGGGTATTATTGAAATTTATCCTTAAAAAGTATATTAAAAAAGGAAATGGAAAGAATATTTCCGGATGAATTTCTTATGCTTCTTCATCTTGTTGAATTTCTTCAAATAGCTAGGGCTTTCTATTCCTTGCTCATCCACCATACCTGATTTCCAGTTGCTATTTTTTTTTTTAGAAAAAAAATGAGGTTTTGTCGGTGGTTGATAGTGAATATAGATGATATGGTTGGGGATGAAGAAAAATAAGCTCTAAAAACAATGTAGAAAAGCTAAAGAGGCAAATAGAAGATAAAAAAAATAGAGAATGGGTTGGAGATGCTCTTAGAAGGTGTCTTCTGTTTTGAAACTCCTCCTCAAGAAATTGAAGTCAGTGGCCGAACTGAGATGGTGCAAAAATTCTAAACAAGTATTTTTCAAACTCTACATGGATTCTACAAATTTTTAAAACTCTACATAGATTCTACAAAAAAATCTACCAAACCCTACATGGATTTTACAATTTTTTCAAATCCACTAACTTTTTGAAATTTAGAAAAATCTAATAAAATCTTAATTGAATATGCCCCTAACCTTAGGAGTAGGATAAGGGAGCATGTTTACATAGGTGGGGTGAGTTATTGAATTAGGTGTCAAATTTTGATGGGTGACACAGAGAGTGTTGAGACACCATTTGGGGGAAGAGGATCCCGGGCCAAAAGTTGGTGTATCATCCCATTCATATGGATCTCTTTATCAAGTTATTTGCATCAACAACCCCCTATGCTTTGATAAATTTGTACCGTTATGCTTCGTGGTTTCAAAACTTACATTGTTGTCCCTCATGGTCCTGATATTGCTATGCTAATGTCCTTTTGGACAAAAATATCCTTTAAGCGTTAGGTGAATAACTCCGTTGCACCCTATGGTTTTGGAAATGGGTGCCAACGTTCCCTCTCCTTTTTCTTTATTGTTTTTCTTTTTTTCATAAAGATAAGAAAAATGTCTGTGCGTAAAATAATGAAAAATTATTTTTTCAAACTTACATTTTTTAAAAAAGTTTTTTAAAAAAACGTTTGTGTTTGAAATAAAAAATTTAACATATATTTGATTTGTCAAATTAAATATTTTCTTTTTTGTCTAAAAAAGTTTTTATCTTTTTGAATATGTCGGGACCAAAAGAATAATGAGTTACGTCTTTTTAATATATAGTTAATTATATTTTAATAACATTTTTTTTGGACCATTGCGCAAAATTTTTCTTCATGACTTAACTTTCCTTATTCTATAAAAGTATTTTTCTCATATACTTTTTTTTCTTTATTTTCTTTTCAATTCTTTTTTATTTTATTTTAATTTTGATTAGTATAAAATAAACTGTATAAAATTAATGAACAAAAAATGAGAAATGAGATTTAGTATAAAAAAATATTTCATTGATTTTCGTATCATGAAAATGAACTAATAAATACATCTTTTAGACAAAAAATGAAAATGTTTAATTTGAGACAAATGAAGTGTACATTAATTCTTGTTATTTAATTGATTTTTATTGCAAAACAATAAAATATGATTATTAAAACATTATAAAAAAATAATTTTAAAAAAGAAAAAAAACATTTATGAAAAAAATAGTAGAAAAAAGAAAAACAATAAACAAAATAGGGAGCATTGTGCTAATTTTCAAAACCATGGGGGTAATGGAGTTATTCACACAATATTTGAAGGATATTTTAGTTTAGATGCATTAGTGTAGCAATGTCAGAATCATGAAGAGCAATGACGTAAGTTTTAAAACAATTAGAGATAACGGTGCACATTTATCAAACTAGAAGAGATCATGGTGCAATAAACTCTGTCATTTCCAATCTTTAAAGCCAAGTATTCTTGGAAAAGCACTTTTTGAAGTGGCTATTGGCTCGATGCCTAGTTATGGGGTCCGAGGTGGGTCACAACAAAAGGTGGTTGTTGGCATAAGTCTTCATATTTGAGACGTCCCGGAGAGACTAAGATTACCCTTGGGTTGCGGTTAAATCACACAAAAGTAGAGTCTAGGGAAAACGACATTTCAAAATGCATGCAAATTATTAGAAAAACATGGCATATCTAATAAAAAATTACCCAAAATAAGAGTAAAACATAGTTCTTATCCTCAAAAAAAGAAATGATATGTTTCTATCTTCAAAGTAGGATAACTCCATTGTAACAATATGATATTATATATTGACATTTTATAATGTTTTTTTGATATTACTCCGTATATATTAGCATTATAGGTCTTATTTTAAAAATAAAAACATTAAAATTTTATTTTGATTCTTTTCCTATATTTTAGTCTTACAGTCATATCTCATCACCCAAAAAATAAAGGAATCATGAGGCGATACTTAAGGATTAAAAGATAGTGCACGGGAGACATATGTTGGCCAAGCCCATATACAGAGATGGCAAGAAGAAAATCTTGGGCATGTAGTACTTGTAGAAATTCAAAAATATATATTTTTCCTAACAAAGTAACAATCATGTCAATAGTACACTTCCATATTCTCAACAATTTTTGGAATTTGGGGGGGGGGGGGGGNTCAAGTCAAACTTGAAATCAGATCACCAAGACAAGCCAAAGCACAACCATAATCCAAATCCACACCACATATACCACTGAATCCTAAGATAATACTCCGTACAAAAGAGAGAGAAGCAATATACGCCTAGAATTCGAAGAATTTGGTCTCTTTTCCAGACTTGTATTATTCAAACCTCAAGAACAAGAAAAAAGGTACACACATAAACCTCACACACTGCCAACTACTTGGATACCTGGGGGTCTCCTCCGAGCTCCACTCTCAGGTTGTCATACGGGTAGACCTTTGGCGTCTGAACCAGCAAAAAAAAGAACATATATAACTGTGAGTTAGGCAACAACAAACCCAATAAAATTGCACAAAAAATAGCATCGAGAGTGTGTGTTCGGGTAGGTGCAGTGATATTTCTTCAATAGGGTAGGTGCCCCAGATCCTGTTAATAAATCCTTTTACACCAAATCTCAGATGGTGATAGGGGGTGTGTCTGAACATGTTGCTGATGAGATCTTAAAAGTAGCTAAAATGGAGAGAGGCTCACTCCCATTCAGGTACCTAGGGGGACCCATCACTGCAAGCAAAATTTCTGAAAGGGAATGTGAAGGGCTGATTAATAAGTTAACTACAAAGATCACAAGCTGGGCAACCAAACACCTCTCCTATGCAGGGAGGTGTAAACTGATCAATTCTGTTCTAATGGGGATTATTACCTTTTGGTGTAAGCTGTTTGTACTACCCAACAAAGTCATGCATAAAATTCAGGCTATATGCAGGAACTTCTTATGGGGGTCAAGGGCTGAATACAGGAAATCTCCATATGTGAGCTGGGAAGAAACATGCAAGCCAAAAAAAGCAGGGGGGATTGGGGTTCAAAAATATTGCCTACTGGAACCAAGCCTGTAACCAAGGTCTACTTTGGGATATCTCAAATAAGAACATTTTGTGGGTGAAGTGGATCCATAACAGGTATCTTAAACATGGCACCATCTGGGAAATCCAACCAAAGATAGGTATGTGTTATTATCTGAGGAAAATACTGCATAACAGATGCTTATTTGATGGAATGAGTAGTAATGACGTATACACTACCCAGAAGGGGTATGAGTGGCTGCTGGGCCCTAGTAGCAACTTCATGGCATATAAACTGGTTTGGAATAAACTGGCAATACCTAAACATCAAATCTTCCAATGGCTTGGATGGAAAAATAGAATCCCTACTAAAGAGAGAATGAGCAGATTTGTGGAGATGAATACAGCATGTGTGCTCTGTGATACTGGGATTGAGAGTAAACAACATCTGTTTTATGAATGTGCCTACACTAAGTGCATTCAGGATAATATTGGCAGCTGGCTAAGGTACCAATGGAGAGCAACCAATGATGTTGAGATGCTGGCAGAGGCTAAACAGATCAAAGGCAGGCAGAGGAGACAAACGGCGATGGCTGGGTTTGCAGCAGTTTGTTATGCAGTTTGGAGAGCCCGTAACCTTAAAATTAAAGAAAACCAAGATGTTCCCCCGGGAGAATGTACTGAGTGGATTAGGGAACATGTACGCATTTATATAAATGCTAGGTTAAAGAAACTTTGGTTGAGGTAGATTGGCTAGAATTGTGTGATAACTTGTATCCTTACTCGTTGAAGTGGTGAATAAAGTGTTGTGCTTTTGTTCAAAAAAAAGAGAGTGTGTGTTCGTGAACTAATCCCTACTCGAAAGTAGAGAGGCTCTTTCAAAAAGACCCCAAGCTCAAACACAAAAAAAACACAAAGTAAATACAATAGCACGAACAATGTAAGAGAAGAGTAAGAACCCATAAACATGTATTCTAGCGCTAGTACTCCACTATTTCATTTGTAGTCTGTCCGAGAAAGTTCAGTTTCTATGTTCAATAATCTGTAGTTCACTAATGCCACATTTTTACATGTACCCCTAACTACCCTAAGTAGTGTAACTTGCTTAGTTTCTATTACCTACCTTCTTTATCGAACCAAGATAATTTGTGTAGATCCAACATCCAAGGGCATATAATAATATAACATGTAAAATTGATGTTTCAATTATGCTCTGTCTCTTCCTTAAATCACATGCAAAAAGATATTGACCTATCTTTTTGGCATGGAGGTAGTTTTAAAAAGTAATTCTTCGCTCCCTAAAAGCATAACAACAATCCCAATAAAATCCCACTCGTAGGATCTAGGGAGGGTGTATGTATGCAGACTCTACCCCAACTTGACAATAGAGGACGATATGACAACTTCTTACTACTTAGGCCAGTATGAAAAGCTATCATGCAGGCTCATTAATACTTGAACAAAGCAACACTTTTTTTGGGGTATAGCAAAGAAACACTTAATTTCAAGTAAGATTGTCTTCAGTTTGGTCCCACTACAGTTGTGTTTACCCACTTTCCATTCTTGAGAATAAAGTTGGAACTTGTTCCTGAGCAATTGAAAATATGCCAAGCTTAGAAATAAATGTGACCCTTCAATTAGCAAACGACAATATCTGGGAAACTTGTGAAATTGACAACCAAAAATGAGCGCATACAATAATCAAGGAACCAACTAATGATAAAGAGGCACGATATTCTGACACAATGAGATTTAAGGGCCCTATCCCTGAAGTGGTTCTTACTACTTCTGCCCCCCCCCCTCCCCCCACACAATATATCACCTTTATGGCTTATGATATTGTCTTCATGGTAGCATAACAATGAAATATGGAGGAGGGCTGAGGGTCAGGCTAGGGGGTTTGGGGATAAGAACTATTTCAAGGTCTAACGGAGCACCGTTGGGTGTCATATGAACCTCAACGAATGACATAACCTCATTTGTAATATATACGATAGAGTAACCAATGTTGTTTTTTAAATATGAACTCTATTCATTCACGATCGAAATAAAAGAGCATGTGCAGCTTTTTTACCCAATAGAGACTGTGCATATGTTTTCAAGTTATTGAATTTGTAAAGTCGATTAGATGAAATGTCATATATGTTGGATATATGAGCCCTAGAGGCCAATTTATGAATCCGTATCTAAATATTTATCAAGAATAAAAGACCCTAAAGATTGTTTATACATCTCATGTATCTAAACATGGCCTTAGTCCATAGACTTAGTGCCCTGGTAGCATAAATTAGAACTACGATGTTCTGATTATGAGACTGTTACCTTAATAGAGGCTATGTCTAAAATGTCCTCAGTCGAATATTATGATAATACGGACGTCATAATATACTAAGACTAATATGTATGAGACAAGATAGCTGCGTCTCATAGGCTATGGATATTGTGATATCTCAGTCTATACGTAGGTACATATCTGAGATATGGTACCGGACTGACCCACCATGAGAATACTACATGGGTTTTATTTTAAATGTGTTAGTAGTATTCTCATTCGACCATTGGTATAACTATCCTTAGACTTGAAGTCATTGCGATCTTTAATATGCCAACATATATGCTTTGACTCATGACTAATGTCATCTGAAATACTGGTGGATGTACAGTTATGTTTTGGGTATATAGTTAAGCATATGTAAAGCCATGAATGACGTAGAAAACATTATCCCTTCCATTGTGATGAAGTATAATGTCTTCAGGCCCACTGATTGATATGACTTAGGAAGTGTATGACCAATCACAGATAAATTAATATATGTGATATTAATGTTATTTGAATCTCACAAGGTAATCTAAGAATCAGTAAACCAATGACTGAACTCTAACAAGGTGTTTCCCATACCTTGTGTTAAATCAAGACGTTAGAGATAAAGGGATAAGAGTTATACAAATGTAATGTGTCGTTGGAAGTATTGTTGCAATGAACGTTATGTTTATAACTTGGGTAGCGATAATGTGTTGCTAGATACCGCTTATCGTTTATAATATTAATTATGAATTAATATTATTGTCAACGTTATGAATACCTAGAAGGGTCACACACATAGAAAAACTGAACGAAGTAGAATATTAAATGGGAATGAAGTAAAATAATATTATATATTCATATAGGACGCGTGACGTACATATAAAATATATACATTGACATTTTTAATTATGATGATAATTAAATTTGTCAAACATTATTTTTGTACACAAAAAAAATATAAATTAAATATATATATACACGGTAATGTGTTATCGATATATATATATATATATATATATATATATATATATATATTACTTTAATTGTATGATAATTAAAGTTGACAAAATAAATTATTATATTTTATTTAGGTAGGGCCAAAAATAATGAAGGGTAGAAAAGGAAGAATTGGGTTCTATTTCTACCTCTACAAGGAGTTGTTTAATGTGATTAGGCAACTAAATTATTTTCATTAAATGAGAGACTTGCTCTCCACACTTCTACCTAATATACAACACACGACTCTCTCCTCTCTTCGATCCGGTCGTGAGAAACGCACGAGTGAGAGGGCCGAAACTCAAGAGAAAATATTAAGATATTTTTCTTGATCATCCAAATAATATTTTATATTATATTATAGTAATATTTTAGGAAGGATTTACTAGCATAAATTCTTCTTAGAACGTTGTTCGTTGTTCGCGTGGACGCGCTAGAGATTGGATAATTTTGTAGGTATGTTCGTTGCACCAATCCCTTCACCTACACTGTCTGATCTATTTTCGATGAGAAAAGGTATTCTTCTTTACAATAATTTATAGTTTTCGTAAGACGATCTTGGGTGGTAACGACGATTGGATATAAAAATTTTGTTTTCCCTTGTGCTATCCATGCGTGGTTACCCAACAATGTACATGCCAACTAGCATCTATACATTAACAAGGAGCTATGGAAAAGTAAGCAAACAAACCGGGCGACTAGTATATCCCATCAAGTTCAGCATTTGAGTGAAAGCTTAGGAAAAGTGTGTTACTGAAACTCTAAAAAGCTGTGGAAAAGTCTGGTCTGAAAGGTTTGGCGCCTCAAGAAAGGATATACATATGGAGTATAATCTTACTCTCACACACACAACCTCTCTACTTGTAAGTAGGGGTCTGCGTACCCTCACTCCGAAGACCCTATGCTGTAATCTTATGATCACACAACTAACAGAACTGCCTGCACATGATGATACCGGAAAATCATCCAAAGATATTCAACATATTCATTTTAATCATCAACGGAGTAGTTGTTCTTAACGGTTGTCTAGAGTAAAACCAACAAAGAATTGGTGAATAACCTATGCAGAAGTACTAAGGATTACTGCAAGAAGCAAAGAAACATAATCCTAACAATTTTCAGTTAAACCCGGCCTAATGCTTTTGTTTAAGGCACATGTCCACAGACACACGCCATTTTTTCACCTTTATATGCTGTGTCTAAACGCAAAATTTGAACAATCTGGATGCAGTATGCAATGCAAAAACGGGAATGAAGTACTCTATGACTCACAAATGGAATTGAGGAAGCCTTGTCGTTCCAGACGGCCAACAGTCCAAGGGAAGCAAAAAATCCCAATCCCCCACACAACCAAGCCAATGCTTCATACTGATCCCAACAAAAAAGGCACATTTTGAAGATTAACAAAAAAGCTAAAAACTAATTCAGCAATGGCGGATACAAACCTAAAACTTCATAGCAAAGTGAAATGAAAATGGAAAAAAACAGCACAAATCCTTACCTTTCCAACGGTATCAGCAATACGATCGATACAAGGTTCGGGGAATGGAGTCCCATTGTCCCACACGAGCTCATCATTCACTGGAAGCTGAAATGAAATTTCAGAAGGAAAACAAAAAAAACAAAAGGCAAAACAGTGTCTTAACCTTGCTTTGCTATGCTCTAAGACCTGGGAAAAATCTCAGAAAATTGACATATGAATACTGCTGGAACTGAGAGTGCGTTTGTTTGAGGAATTGAAAATTACTGGTTTATCCGGAACGATGTGCTTGCCGACGGGGAGGCCCATGCCGGAGCGAGCACGAAGAGAAGAGGCGACGGAGCGCGCGACGACGCCTCGGCCGCCCATGATGTGCGCCGCCGCTTGGCTCAACCTTCCGGCCATTTTCAGATGATCGGATCGCTTGCTGATTTGGGGATTTCAGTGAAGTTGTCTGGCAGATTTACGGAAGCCAGGAAAAGATACTCTTTCCGATTAGCCCCAACACAAATGTGAAATATTCCCTTCTCGGTTTGATCTCTTTTAATTAAGGTATTTGACCAAAAATTATTATTATTCAAAAATTACAAAATTTTTATATAGTTTTAAAATATATAAATTTTATTTTTATTTCTATACCAAGTTTTAAATAATATGAAATGAAAAACTTAAAATTTTATTTCATTTTACATTAAGTTCTAATCTTTTAGGGACAGTAGACGTATTTAATAATAATATAAACTTAATACATAGTTTCATTTTATGATGTATTGTGATATACCCCGAGTAATATTTATTATACTCCATAACATTTATTTATTTATAATTATATTTAGTTAATCATCAAAATATATCATAGTTTAACTAAAAATTTTAAAAATAACAATAGTTTTGTATAGTAATACTTCATTCGGCACCAAATTAGTTTCTACCTATCCTAATTTTTCCCTATAAACCACACGCTACGCCTTCCGTCCCCTTCTTCTATTCCACCTTGTTAATGGTGAAACAAAGTGGAAGAGAGGGGTATGTGCAAGAGTGATTTGGGGGGTTATCGTGGATAAGAATCTAACAAATATTGTAAATTTTTTTAATTACACATTATCAAATTATGATACCCATGAGTGGTGTCAAAAGAGTCCACTCAAAAATGTAAATTTATACCATAATGTTTGTGTCCAAAAGTATTGTTATTAGGAGTAATACTTTAAAAAAAACTATACAATTGATTAGACTTTAATAGAAATTACTAATTGAAATTTTGACATTAGTGTTATTATTGGCAATGCATAAATTTACTATTAACTAATTGAAATTACTAAATTTTGACAATGCATAATGACCACACATTTAGAGGGGAGGAGGGTAGGGGGTTTGGGTAGGGTTGAGATAAGAGGTTTATGGGAGTAGGAACCATCAGTTTTACAAACGAAGTACAGAAGTACTCCAAAAAGCCAATGACAGTTGTGGCAAGTGGCAACGGGACCGAGGCGTATTTGAAATGCATGAATATCATGTTACATAAAACTTATAATTTAAAAAGAGTGACCTAAGTTTATGTAGGAGAGTGGTTAAAGTTCATTCAAAGATAGAAATTTGGAAAACAGTTCAAAATCAATCAATTATAAATATATATAGTTATATACTTGTGCTCATGTAATCATATATGTTACTCCCACCATGGCCTTTGATCCAGATTTAGGCATATATACTCTTCCTGCAGAGTGAGCACAACTACCATTCTACATTTCTACCCCATCACAACATTATAAATCAAACAAGTTCAAAAGCATTTTGAGAGAAAAAAGTGGTTTCCCATCCAGTTTCAGTACAGTTTCCAGCCTCCTCCATGCCGCCACCGTCGCCACCCTTTATTCCGATTGAGTTAGTTTATTCTCCCGAGCTCTACCCGCTTCCATCAAGTTGCCCGTTGGATACAAGGTGTGCCATGTATTGCTATAATTTGCACATATAAGAAAAACAGAAAAGGCTCATTCATATTACAGTCACCATATGACACTCAATTCGCAATGTCTGCACACACACACACACACACATATTTGTGTGAGTGTGTATACTGTAAAAGTTGTTACAGAGTCAGTTGCAGAGATTGGGACAGGTGGCTCACCATATTAGGAAAGTAGACAATTATTTTGGTACGGGATAAAAAAGAAAGTGAGACAATTAATTTTAACTCGGGACGGAGGGAGTATTATATAAGAGACTCACCGCGTGATATGCATAAGGTGATTTCCCTTGGCGCTCGAAATGTTTGGCCATGATAGACCATTCAACCGGCCCCCACTCTTCCACTTCAAAACAATTTCCCAGTGCAACTTTGTATAACTGAAGAAGCATGGCATGATGACATGCAAAGAGTGCTCAGACAAACAAAGCAACTATTGCAATACACATCGATACTTCTTTTGGGCACAACTAAATTTTAGTCAACTATATCTTCAACGCGTATCGCCATTTTGATGCATCTTAAAATTTTAAATTATCAGCTTTAAAGTTGGTTAAGTGTCAACACCACCAGAGTAGGTAGGCCTTACCTCTACTTGGAAGTAGAGAGACTGTTTCCAAGAGATCCTTGACTCAAACACAGAAGCACAAAGTAAACAAAGTAGCACTAACAAAATTAGAGCACAACGACACGTAGCTTAAAATCTTACATATTGACACATGGTATACATACTCAAACTACAAGGGTCAAACTCCGTCAAAGGTTTACCTAACTATTCTAATCCTAGATCTCTAAGTGTTCCTATCTAAAGTCGTGTCTTGGATTTAGATCTTCAAGTTGCAAGTCCTATCTAATCACTTCCTTTCAACTCTTTTTAGGTCTACCCGTACTCTTTCTCATGCCCACTACTGCAAGCCTCTTGCGTCACCCTACTCATTAAGGGTCACACAATAAAAGCTTCACAACAACATACCTAATGGATTTTATGTACTCAAATGTTACGCACATTGTACTGTGGTAACTTACAGTTTATTAGAGACATGTAAGCTGGTAAAATGTGATCCAAGATAACTTTACACTAACCTTGGCTTGGTCAGTCAGGAGCTCAGTGCCAGCTGGGTAAGAAGCATAATATTGGTCAGCTCTAGAGTACCCAGCTCGAGTACTGCAATAGATTGACAAAATGGCATAAACAATTAATCAAAATACATACACATCCCACTATTGAGCACACAACAAAACTCAAAGGTGAAATTCTTGACATAATGATGGGAACATTAGAGTGGACTATGGAGTGTCGCAAAAAAAAATGTCCGAGAATTGCATTGGCAAACACTTCACTTTTTTGGTATTTATATAACAAACTCAAAAACAAGAGACACTTGAGCAAATCTGCAAAAGAGAGAAGCATGACCTAGCTTAAAAGCAAAAAAGATTTGCCGTTATACAACTGTACAAATCCAGACTTACGTATTGTTGGTGTACATATAAGTAAGGGCTGCAGTGAAGCAATAGAATCCGGCATACGAAACGACTCTCCGCAACTTCTGGATCTTTAGGATCTCTAGCAATCCATCATATGCCCACATCTCTTGTGTTCACAAGATGGAACATGCACACCTAAAAAAGCACGTCCAGAGGGAATCCATGATTGAGTCTCCACCTCTCCGGCATAAAACAAACAACAACCCCACTAGAATACCAGAGATAGGGTCTATGGAGGCCATGTATACACATAACTTACCCCTACTTGGAAGTAGAGAGACTCCCGTAAACCATGCAATTTCAAAAGAATTAGGGAGTAAATGGTGTATTTTTCTCAAATAAATATAACCTAAAATCTTATATGTTGATTCGTACAGAATATTTAATATTCTTTCTATGCATGGCTTAACACAATCTTTTTTGGTTAAAGAGTGAACATACTATTTACTCATGACTTCATGAGTAAATGTGTGGTTTCCATGGCTGAAATAGTTAAATAGACTTATTTTTATTTTTACTTATTTATTACAGAGTATTTATTTATTTATTTAGTGTTAGACGGGTGCTTTCATAACAAAAGACTCAATTTAGAAGATTTAAAGGGTAATACTTTCCCAAACAATAACAAAGAAAAATTAAATTAGCAAAAAAGGATGAGTACCATATTCATTTGTTATTTTAATTAAACCAAATAGGGAAAAAGACTAAAAAAGGAGTAAAATATTGAAAATATATCAAAACAGGAGTTCCATGTTTTTATTGCCAAAATAGGAGTTAAAATGCATTTACAATGTCAATCATGACCATATACATTACAAAAAAATATTGTGAAATGTCCATATAAAGTACAACATTACCACAATGTAAACTACTACGGAGTATTCTGGGATAAAAAATGAAACTCCTATTTTGGTAGTTTCTTTATGTTTTACTCCTATTTAGAGTGATTTCTTAACCAAAATAACCCAATGCTGAAACTAAACTAAGGGTAAATCTGGAAGGGTTTTGGGAAGGGAAGGGTTTTGGGAAGGGAAGGGTGGAGTTATTTCTCATTTGATAATAAAATAGAGTATGCTGGATTATTTCTCATTTTGATATTAAACTCAATATCCTAACTTTAAATTTTAATAATTTAAAAAAATATTAAAAGTTTTAACAATTATATTAATAAAAAATAACTGAAGTTTCATAGTTAAAATTTACCTAATCACAAATTCATAGTTTACAAATCCAAAAAACACAAATTCAAGTAGCACCAATCAGAATTGATAAGTGTCTAAAACAATTAAACAAATGCCGAGTATTTACGTTGAAAAGAAGAGGCTGAATCGTGGCTTGAAGGAAGCAGAATAGCGGCTTGGACGGGCCTGAATCGAACGGCGGCGCTGGTCGTTGGGGGGAGTGCCGGATTCTGCGGCGGGGCAATCGACCGGCGGCGCAGGGCGTTGTAGAGTGCTGGCTTGAATCGCGGTTCGTAGCAGCAATTGTGGAAGACAGATTCGGAAGAAATAAAAGACAATCTAGTATTTATTTTAGGTTCTTCGGTTCCTTTGATTGAATTTATTTTAAATTAATTTTACATGAAAATGAAGTTACTTTAAAAATTAAAAATTATATACTCTCTCCGTCCATATATTGATTACAATTTTTTTTCTCTCCTACCGATAACTTTTTTTGTTTACGCGATTTCATTAAGTATTAAGTATTTGATAAAATAAAATATTCTTGACACCTCTTATTTTGTAGAACTTTTGATGTAGTTTTTTAGTACGTAATTTTTATTTCTTATCAATATACCGATTTGTAAATAAAATAAATTCAAAAAGTGAGATATTTCTCTTCGTAACCCACAATTTGTATTCTATTTAGGAAAGGAGGTAATATTAAAAAACTTACATTAAAAGAGCCTAAAGGGATAAAGGGAGCATTGGTTCTGTCCAAAATGCTCTTTTTAGATATATCTCATCTATTTATTACTTAAGCTTTACTTCTTTTTTATTTATGTGTGTGTGTGTGTGTGTATATATACCTTGGTCAGATCTTCTCCTAGTTAGCGCATCTCCGACGCTCCTAAGGCGACTCTATCAAATTGGACTCTGCAACGATGAAACTAGGGTTGTAAATGAACCAAACCGAATATTCTTGAATAATATTCGTATTCACTAAGTTAAGGTGATATTCGAACTCGGTTCGAATATCTTTAAGATTCATATTCGGTTCGTTTAATATACTAAACATATTCAATTTGTTTAAAATTTTGATTTATTTAGATTTTAAAATACTTTATAAACATCTAAACTATTCATTAGGTATTTGTAAAAAAATTATAAACTCATATTTTACATATCAAAAATGAAAATAAAAACCGTAATTTTTTTTAACTCAAGTGTGTTTTATGCAGTGGAGACGGATTTGTACTTTAGAGTGGTTTTTTCCTTTTTTTCATGGGTATATAAGTAAAACTATATATATATGTGTGTGTGTGTGTGTGTGTGTGTGGAGTATCTTACATTAGGGAACATGCTCAATGAAAACGAGGAAAAAAATAATTAAACTAATTACACACTGATTCAAGTGACACGAGACTTCAATGTTTATAGGATGACCCAAAGCACCTACGGTACTCTATTTAAAAAATTGATAGTCCCTACCTCTAACTCCGTAGTAAATTCTCTCACCTCGGTTCTACATCTAACCTCGTAGTAAATTCTCCCACCTCGATCCGACCAGAATTAGACATGTAGAAATTATCAATTTTTCAAACAAAACACCATAAGCAACGCAAATAGGGCCTATGTCATATGATGGCATGAGAATTAATGTCAGCTGAACGCCCCCAACTAGCTATTAACTTCTTACAAAAAATTCACCTTGGTTCCCCTGACATTGGGAACCAATGTCATGGGATGACCCGGGGGTGCTCCGGTGCCCCGTTCGTAAAATTGACGATTCCTACCCCCTAACCCCCAGTAAACCCCGGCCCCACCCCCCAAGTAACTTCTTACAAACTGTTAGACTAGTTTTTTTTTGGAAACAACTGTTAAACTAGTTATTAACTTCTTGCAAAGTGTTACACAAAAGTGATAAAGCTACAAACTTTTAGACCTGAAGAAAGCACACCAAGAGTACAAAAACCAAAAGAACAAAAAAAGAAGTGGAAATGGGAGGGGGAAGTGAACCCTTTTCCCCTTCTTGAAACGATCTATCAAATGTCCAACTGGCTTTGGACCTCTAATATGGTCTTAGCAGAGTCCCTAAGCTTCTGTTCTTCCTCCTCCGTGAGATGAACGTTGGTAACCCCCAACACCCCTCGCCTCCCGAGCTGAGCTGGCAGGCTGAGGAACACGTCCCCGCCTTCGATCCCATATAACCCCTTCGCGAGGACCGACACCGGGTGGATCCTCCTCTGGTCCCGAAGTATGGACCGGGCCAGGTTAGCCACAGAGTAGCCGATGGCCCAAGACGTGTAGCCTTTGAGATTGATCACTTCGTACGCGCTCTCCACCACGCCTCTGTGGATGTTCTCGAGCGTCACTTTCTCGAACGCTATCTGTTGTCTCTCTAGGAAGCTTAGCACCGGCACCCCTCCTATACTGATGCTCGACCACAACGCCACCGAACTGTCGCCGTGCTCCCCAACAATGTATGCCTATAATCAATACAAAAAGGTGCAAAAAATTTGACTCCAAAACGAACCAATTGTGGGGAGTGCAATTGAATGGGTGGGGTCAGTTTGGGTGGGGCCGGGGTGGGATTTACCGGGAGAGTATGAAGGTAGGAACAATAAATTTTAGGAACCAGAGGCGACACAATTGTTTCATTATGTAAAACAATTTAATAGAATTAATTTAGAGGGGTATCATACAATTTGGTATTATGAAATTGGAGGGCTGAGGGGTGCGTTTGGGACGGAAACAATTAATTTTATGATCGAAACAGTATTAACGTGTTCCAATTGAATTGGTGTAACAATCTTACATCAATAAATTCGTGTAAGATTACCCTATTAGAGCATGGGCAATGACAAGTAATGAAATGGAATGCCACACGTTGACGTGACACATTTCAACCGATAAAAAACAATCCAATTAGCGTGTGGCAAGTGAGTGAAGTGTCATCTCGTGCAGTGCAAGTCATTGTTTTTGTCAATTTTATGATTTTTTAATGCATTTTAATTATTAAAAATTATTTCATTTATCTTTTTTTAAATAGATGTGCTCTTTTTTTAAAAAAAATTATTTCTTCTAAAAAAACACGCTTGGCGTGGAGGGAGGCTGAAGCCACGCTAGGCAAATTGCCGAATATGCTGATGTGGCGCAGCGAGCCAGGAAATGCCTGCCGCGGCTCATGCTCTTATTTATTGTATTGAGATGCAATGCAAATTGTAATTGAATTCATGAAGAAATGTATCGAATTTAATTAAAGATGAATGGACTCACTTGGACGTCCTGGGCATTGACGTCAAGGTGATCGGCAATCAGGGAACGGAAACGGGAGGAGTCCAAATTCGTGCCCGACCCGATGACCCGATTCGATGGGAACCCGGACAGCTTCCAGGCGATGTAGGTCAGGACATCCACCGGGTTGGAGACGACCACCAGAATCGCGCTCGGAGAGTACTTCGCCAGCGGCGGGATGATGGCTTTGAACAGAGAGCAGTTCCTCTGGATCAGATTCAGCCGCGTCTCTCCCGGATTCTGCCGCGCTCCGGCGGTGACGATGACGAGATCCGATCCGGCGGTGACGGCGGGGTCCACGCTCGCCTGGATCTTAGTGCGGGGGAGGAAGGCGGCGGCGTGCTGCAGATCGAGCATCTCGCCGCGGAGCTTGTCGGCCTTGGCGTCGACGAGGGCGAGCTCGTCGACCAGATCCTGCGTGAGGATGGTCTGCGCGATCGCCATGCCGACGTTGCCGACGCCGACGACGGAGACTTTGATGTGCCGCTTGACGGGGGACGGCGGCGCGGCGTCGGGGACGGGCTTGAAGAAGGCCTGGCTTATGTCCAGGCCGCCCGGTCCCAGGGAGGAAGACGATGAAGCCTTGTGCATTGTGGTGGAGCGGCGTGGCGGCGGTGGCGCTGTGAATCCGCGATGGGGTGAATTTTGTTGAAGGCGAAGTTGAAATGCTTCTGAGCAGTCGGGTCATCTCCATTTTCAACCCGTAGAAAAAAGGGGCAATTTCCAATCTCCGTGGGGCTCAATTCAACGGTCAAGATTTATTTTTGACCCATTCCCAACATTTCTTCTTACTTCTCGAATCTATAACTTCATCCCTACTTCTAAACTTTGGAAAAAAATATTTCAAATAATTTCACATTTTACCATTTTTCAAAATAATCTCACTTATGAATAGACAATTGTTTGCTTGCCTGAATAAATGGATAAAAAGAATGGACAATTGTTTACTATGAGAAATGATATTGTAACTCCATAATTTGATAATAGCACTTCATTTTTTTAACTCTTACAAAAATACTACCTCCGTCCCACTGTCTTTATCCACTTTTGATTTTTGAAACTGTTCATCTAAGCACTTTGACTCATCAAATTCTCTCAATGTGTAAGCCTAAATATAGTCATGTATGATCTTGTTTGATTTGTCTTAACATATAGATTATTAATATATAATTTCTATAATTTTTTAATATACAAGTTACAAGATAAAATTGATTAAAGAAGTGCATTGGATGGTGTGCCAAAAGGTAAGTGGACAAAGACAGTGGGACGGAGGAAGTATGACTATATTGTCCTCATTATTCTCATATGCTTCCCTTAATTATTCACATTAGGTGGCCCAATTTTTAATTTTTTATCTTGGTCAATTTCTGTTTATTTTGTTCATCGCTTTAAATAAAGAGTGCGTGTGTTTGTTAGCATCTTTAGTTTAATTGTATGTATTTTATTTTTTTATAAAAACAAAATACATACAATTAATAAAGACTCTAACAAGCGTACTCTTTTAATTTGGGACGGTCGGTTCAACTCACACGCATGAAAAGATTATTACCGTTCTAGGGTAGAAAACTGATAACATGTGCCAAATACATTACAATCGGGTAGAAGAGTACGTATAAATGATTGCACAATTCTTGAGATGCAAAGAACTTGCTTTCTTTCTTGAGTTTCAATATATTGATATGAATAAATTTATTATTATTGAGAAATTATCTAACGTGTTAGAAGTTTTTAGTGATAAATTTTATCTTTCTCACATGCAAACATATTCTTTTTTAGTGAATTGGCATTGATACACGCTCCCATGAAACTATATATGGCTAATTGATAGAATTCAAGAGTGTCAGAGAAAAAAATAAAAGAAAGTCTTTATCAGAAAATAAAATTAGGGCCTTACTCCATAAAATGATAAAGATGAATGAAACTCTTTATGAAAACATGATCAAGAATCTTAAATTCATATAAGCAATCAACAAGCCAAGCAAAATATCCAATAATAAATGTGGAATTATTTTCTACCGGAGTATATAACTTGTACAAATGCTAAGTCTCAATATTTAGGAAAATGTTAAAAACCATCCACCCTTGCTACCACCCATGCCTCCCTACATAAACATGTGGTAGGGATGCAAGAAAATTAAAATTAGAGGGTGGGTGGAAAATAGGTAGAGATAAATATGTGGTAGAGAAGTGGGTAGAGACAAGTTTGGTAGCAAGAGTGGGGGGTGTGTAGCATGGTCCCAATATTTATAGAATCTAAATAACTAACAACCCCTAGAATTTAGGCCTACTACCACATTACCGAGTAACTATTCCTTGACGAACTTTAGAAGTATTGTCAACATTGAATCACTAGAGATACAAGTTTTCAATCGAGATTGGCACTTGGCGAGACGTCAAAGATAAGAAGCAGGGCACGACATGGATTCGCAAAATTATATGGACGTAACCACGAAGGAAAGTAGCAGTTCATGTATCTTAGTTTTCTTAGAGTGGGGATTTAGTATTTCCTTTGATGGATTTTCTAGGGTTCATTATCTTGACATTTTTTGAACCTTGGGGGCAATACACATATTTGTGACTTCTCTACTATCCAATATTTATTATTGGAAACGTCTAAAATGACACCAGTTCGTTTGGGGTACTTATAGTGTTTCGTTTGTAAAAATGATGGTTTTTATTCACCTAATTCTCCCACCCTTGCCCCCTCCCCACCCCAGCCCCCCTCTCTACCTTGCCAGTACACTACTAGGCAGTGTACTAGAAGGGTAGGGGGGCAAGGGGGGAGGTTTAGGGGGAAGATATAAGCTCTTCCATCTCATTAGTATCTTTGGAGTATAATCTTTAATTCTTTACTCCTCCGTATGATTGGATAAATACTCCGTATCTGATTTTTTTAATTCTCAAACCCAATTCCAAATTTGCCATCTCTCATCTTCTTCCTCCGGAACACCAGGGTAAAGAAAATTCAAGAAATCATCCAAAATGCTGAAAGCCCTCGGTAATTTAACCTTTCTCTCTTCTTCTTCTTCTTCTTCTTCTTAATCTTTTCTCTCTTCTTCTTCTTCTTCTTAATCTTTTCTTTTCTTGGGGTTTTAGAAGAAATTATTCGATGATTTTGTACATTTTTTTGATGGATTGTAAACTGAACAGCTTTTCTGGGGAAGAAGAAATCTGCGCGGCCGTTTAGGGATTTCTACGGCGAGTGGTTTAAGGCCCTGAAGAACGCCCACCTCCCCCAGCTACGCCGCGCCATGTCGTCCGCCACCGTGTCTCCGGTCATCCTCGCGGCCCACGTCGATTCGCTGCACCGCCACTTCATCTCCTACTACGAGGCTCTGGATCTCGCCGCCGCGGACGACGTCGCTCAGGTCCTCTTCCCCGATTGGCGGAATTGCCTCGAGAAGCCCCTCCTCTGGCTCGGCGACATCCACCCTTTTCTGTTCACGAATCTGCTCCGGTCATTTCTTGGCGACGGCTCCGACGAGGAAGGCGGCGATTCCAGGGAGTTCGAGCTCTTCGCCGGGAAGCCGTGGTATCTGGCGACGGCGTGGCGGAGCCCACCGAAGGCGTTGATGGGCAGAGTCGATCAGATCGAGTGCGGGTTGCGGCTCATGGTCCCCGCGCTGGCGGCGCGTTTGAAGCACGCGCAGGCGGCGTTCGCCGACCGCGTTGGCCGCGAGTGGGGTTGCTCCGAGGGGCGGAGCGAGGAGGCCAGGCAGGGGATCGAGGAGTATCTGGAGGCGGAGATGGAGGAGCTCGTCGACATTTTCGTCGACGCCAACCGTCTGCGGCGGAGCGTGCTGTCGGATATCTTGAACGTGACGGACGTCTATCAGGCCGCCTTGTTTCTTGAATCGCTGGCCCAATTCCTTGTTGGGCTTCGGGACAAAAAGTTGTTGTCCCAATTAGAGAAATGCACAATGCCCATCAATTGATCCTCCAAAGCATTAACGGGTCACCGCACATTATTGGGCCCTCTTTCACTGCAGCCCATATCTCATTTTCCATTCTTTTTGGTTGTCAATTTAGTTGTTAATTGTTCATGGATGTAACTGAAAAAACAAAAGAAAGTACAATTAGTTTTATAGTGTGATATGATGAGTTAAAAAACAATATAAAAATGGGCGGTTTTAGTTTAATAATGGGGTACAATTGGTCAATAAATCAATATAAAAATGGTTGAGCTTAGTGTTAATTATCCCGCCCCACAAAGAACTTCATATTTTATGTATTTGGATGTCCTAAAATTGTTCACATTTTTTTTGAACACCGAAAACGCATATTTTCATTCACTACAAAGAATTAATTTCTCTTTTGACTGTGTTTGGAAAACAAAAAAAAATTGAGAAAAAAAGTGAAAAGAAGAAGAAGATATATAGTGGAAGTTAAACTTCTACTAATTTATATTGTTGGGATGAAGTAGAAGATAAATAATTGAAAATGAGTTGGAAAAAAAATCATTTGCTTGGTTGAAAGGAATCTCGGAAGATATTGAAATAAAATTATACTTGTACTATTTTAAAAATAATATATACTCTTCAAAAGTATATTTATTTTTTCAGAGGGGTTTTATTAACACTTATTTGGGATGTTGTATTATGAGTTATGAGAGCATGGGCAAAGAAGAAAATGGAATGCCACACGGTGACGTGAAATATTTTAACCAATCAAAATCAGTCCAGTCAGCGTGTGACAAATGAATGGAGTGACATGTCTTACAATGGGAAGAAATTGTTTTTGTCAGTATTTACACTTTTTAAACATATTTTAATTATTAAAAATTATTTTACTTATATTTTTTTACAAAAATAGATGTACTCCTATTTTAAAAAAATCTTCTTTTTTGTACAAAAGATTAAAAAGAAATCCGACACGCACACGGAAAAAATAAATAGTAAAAGGTAAAAGAAAAGAGCAGTTGCGCCTCGCAGAAGCCTCATATAGCGTAGAAGAATTGTACTCCCATGCGAGGCGTATGAGTTTTTGTCCTACATGTCATGGCATGGCAAGCGGATGGAATGTTGCTGCGCATGCTCTGACACCTAAAATGATCGCAATATTATTACTTTTAAAATTACTTTAAAACTATTATTGGAGACGGTTAAACACGAGGCGGAGGCGGAAGAATGCAAGGTACAAGTTGAAGTGGTTGAGTACAAAAATGCTCAGTAAGTTCGAAGAAACGATGAGAAAGCGTGAATAGCTAAAAAAATAAAATGTTGTCATCATTTCACCACATGCTCTACATGTGGGGGTAAATTTCTCTCTCTTCCCACTTTCTTCTTATTCGCTTAAAAAGGATAAGCCTTATCTCCGATGGACCCTCACACTCGATCGAATCCCCACTAAGGAATAATAATAATGAGAAGTGTTGTAAACACCACTAGCCACTATGCACATCTCCCTGCATGTCCTCACTCTAAACTTTCCCTGTATAAACTATAAAAAAAATTAAAATATGACAAATACCAATAATGAGAAGCGTAAGAAAATGCTAATAATGAGAATTGTTGTGAACACTACACACCACTAATGCACATCATTTAATAATAATAACAATAAAAATAATTATTTTTTTAAAAGTAATTGTAGAAAACAATGAAATGAATTTTGCACTGAATACGTAACCCCTCACATTTCTACCCTCAACTTCCCGTAAGAAGCATTATAAATTTTGTGAAATTTGCACTGAATAAGACTAAAACATAAGTCATTTTTCAATATACAAATTAATGACAAGTGAGAATAATAATGTCTAAATGATGTTGGACATTTAGTTGAATAATGACTAATATATATTGACCAATGATCTTATATTGGAAAATAAAACTATATAGTCATATATTGAGAAAGTTATAACTCCCTCGGCAAAAAAGTTCCCCTTTCTTTTTTCATGTCCCAAAAAATACTTCCCCTTTTACTTTTAAAAAGTCACTTTTACCCCTATTAATTCTTAACCTACATATAACATCACACTTTTTCTCTATTAATCTATTTATCGCATCCTACTCTATCCATCACATCTGAGAGCATTTTTGGAAAGTCAACACCAAAGTACACTCCTCTTAAATACTCAAGAAGTCAAAACAGGAACTTTTTGCAGAATGGAGGGAGTATGTTTTAGTCGTATATGCCGTGAAGGACTCAGTTCATCACAAATCACAAATACTCATACATATATAGTTTCTGCCATCAGCACTTCAAAAAAGCTTTCTAAAACTCTCATTCTCAACCTACTTCCTCCATCTTAAAAAAGTTGCTAAATTTTTATCCAACTATAAATCATAAATTAAATATAATATAACTAATTAAATGTTAAAAAAACTTTATTTATCAAAACTATTTTTGAAATAAACCTAATTTTACTAAATTTATATTATAACTACATATTTTTTAATAGAGAAGACAAATCGAAAAGTGTGTGTACATACACACACATATATTACGGAGAATAATTTTAATTCTGCATCGCACGGGTTAGAATCTAGTAGTTGTTAACATTTCAATATTGTTGTTAAACTCCATGAAAGTGATTAAGGGCCTGTTTGGAAATAGCGTTAGAGAATAGCGTTAGCGTTTTGGATAAGATTTTAACGGTGCAGATTACTTTGAAAACGCTAACGCTAAACGCTGGCCGTAGATAGGCTTTTCAAAACGCTAACGCTAATCTCTAACGATATTCCCAAACAGGTACTAAATAGAAATATAATCCGAAATCTGTGGAATTGGACTATCCTCGTGGTGAGTTTTTTTTAACTTTTAACAGTGACCGACTCCCCGCCTTACACTCACTACACAAAAGCCTAATTAACCGCCCACTCACTCCCTTAACTCAATCTTTCCATAATAAAATTAACTTTCCTAAACACACATTTTTACCATTAAAAAATCCACTTTATGAATTAACCATCGCTGTAAAAAAAACATGGCCTCCATGCAAAACCAACCCGAGGAATCAACCGCCATACTCATTCCGCCGTCTCCAAATACCCCGTTGTTGGGCGGCGGCCCAAGGCGGCGCAGCCGATCCAAGCCCATCGCCGCCGTGGCCGTGTCGGCGATTCTTGCCGTGGCAGCGCTTCTTGTGACGGTGCCGCGTGGCATTGGCGGGAAGGGGAAGACCGACGACGACACCCTTTCGTCTCCGCATTTGCCAAGCGGGACGGCGGTTTTCTCGGCCGGGCCGGCGGTGGCGCGTGGGTTTAGAGAAGGAGTGTCGAACAAGTCATTCGGCCCGCCGCCGGGAGATGATCGGCCGTTCACGTGGACGGAGGAGATGCTGAGCTGGCAGAGAAGTTCCTTCCATTTCCAGCCCAAGAAAAACTGGATGAACGGTAAACACTTCCCATATGTACATTGAAATTATAATTAAATGTGTTTTTAGTTTCAGAAAATAAGTGATTTTTATTTTTGGTTTTTATAACATATTTTTTTGTTAAGTCATCCTTACAAAAATTTTTATTTTTAAAATGGTCCTTAAATATACTTTAGACTTCTAATTTGTTTAAATAACACATATATTTCGTACTCAACATTTTACTCTCGCATTTCTAATTCTGTCATCAGACACAATTCACATGATATATATAGTTTTTTATCGAATTACATCTCCGATTTCCAAACTTTATTATACTCTATTCTTAAAGAAAAATTCAAAATTGGAGATGTAATATGAATAAAGATATTTCCCCCGTTTCATAAAACGGATTCTATTTTGACTTTTTGGAGAAAATAAGTAGTGTATTGTCGTTGACTTTTCAATTGCACTTAACTTTCTAAAAATATTTTAGGTAGCTAAAATTAAGAACTAATTTATGCTCAATTTTATTTGACTTTAGACATAGAAAAAAAATTATAGGGACAACTTAAATGCGAATGAAAGGAATATATATACTTTTTCTCATAGTCTCAAAATAAAATTTATATTTTTCTTCATTTTCTGGCATGGTTTTGACGGCGTGGAACGGAAACTGGCTCTCTATCATCAGATCCTAACGGTACGTAACACTCCATGCATTTTCTCCTATGATCCATTAATTTTAACCTTTCAAAAAAATTAATTTTAACCTTATTATGGTATTTAAATACTTCGTATGTAACAATCACGTCCTTAACGATGCAAGAATCTTCATTTTTTTGAAATTCCCAATGTTTTATGTGAAATTTGCACTAAAAAGTATGAAAATATATGTTCATTTTCAATGTAGTACTTAAACTTTTTTATTTTTTAAATAATACTTGAATAATGTCTAGTGACGGAAACAATATTTTCTGATTGTGGACATTTGGTTTGAACAATGTCAAGTGACGTTGGACATTTACTTGAACAATGACCAGTGGACATTGAACAATGGTACTACATTGAAAAAAAACATATGGTACTACATTCGGAAGTCATTATGTTTTAGTACTATTTAGTTAAATTTCTTATGTCTTTTACCCCATAATTTTTATTTTTTGACACTAAAATTTATTGATGACATTACAATTCATAGATATGTATATTAAATTTGTGCAACATAGGGAGTATTTCGTAGATACTCATTGCAACAATGGGATTGTAGGTCCATTATTTTACAAGGGGTGGTATCATCTTTTTTACCAGTACAATCCAGAATCGGCAATATGGGGCAACATCGTATGGGGCCATGCGGTCTCGAGAGACTTGATTCACTGGGACCACCTCCCCATAGCGATGGTGCCCGACCATTGGTATGACGCTAATGGCGTATGGACGGGGTCGGCTACCACCCTCCATGATGGCCAACTCGTCATGCTCTACACGGGGGCCACATACGATCTCGTCCAGGTCCAAAACCTGGCCTATCCCGCTGACCCATCTGACCCTCTCCTAGTCAAATGGGTTAAGTACGAGGGCAATCCAGTCCTCGTTCCGCCTCCCGGGATCGGGTCTCGGGATTTCCGAGACCCCACCACTGCGTGGTACACGATGGACGACGGCAAGTGGCACATCATGATCGGTTCGAAGCTCAACAAAACCGGGATCACCATGATCTTCGACACCGATGACTTCAAGAGCTTCAAGCTCGTAAACGGGTTGGCCCATGGGGTCTCGGGTACGGGCATGTGGGAGTGCGTGGACTTTTACCCGGTTTCAACCACGGGCGAGAACGGGTTGGATAGCTCCTGTAATGGGCCGGACACGAAGCACGTCTTGAAGACGAGTCTCGATGACGACCGAAATGACTATTACGCCCTCGGTACGTATGACGAGGGGGCTCAGAAATGGAGGCCCGACGACCCGAGTCTGGATGCCGGAATCGGGTTAAGATACGATTACGGCACCTACTACGCCTCCAAATCCTTCTATGATCAAGAAAAGAAGAGAAGAGTTAATTGGGGTTGGATTTATGAAATTGATAGTGTTACTTCTGACTTACAAAAGGGGTGGGCTTCCCTCCAGGTATGTTTTATACTGCCTTCGCCCTATAAAAATTTGTGTGTTTAATATTTCAGAAATTCAAGAGAAGTGAAAAAGAAAATTGCTTTACATATGTTCCTTAAGAGAATATTTTTGAGACATACACATAGTTTTTCTTAGAGAGAAAGTGAAAGGGTGAAGATTTATGAGAGATATAGTTGTGCCATTATTTACAACAAAATGCCACACATTTCATTTTCAGTCTTTAATTTCTCCCAATCTAAAACTTTTTTATTATATATTGAGTGATGACAATGAGTTTGATGTTATCACGGACAATCACGTACAAATAATCATTGTTTATCACCCGATCATAATTTAGGATACTGACATTGTCAATTGAAATTGGCATTACCCGTGTGATGTGTGACTATGACATATACTCCATCCGTCCCAAAATATTTTACACCTAGCGTAAAATGAAGTAAATTTTTTACTTTTTTAAATGCATTTTATTTAAAGATTTATATAGAAATTTAAAATAAAACTTATACTCGTATATTTAAAAACTACACCAAACGTGATTCTAATAATGTTGAATGTGCGGTAGCATTTCCCATTATTTCAAGCGTTATGGTTAAATCAAATTTTGCATGGATTATTATACTAAATTTGGAATGTGACAAAATTTGTATAGGCAATTCCAAGAACCATATTGTTTGATAATAAAACGGGTACAAATTTGAGACAATGGCCCGTGGAAGAGGTCGATTTGCTAAGAAGCCACAGGTCCAAATGTCATAAGGTTGAGCTCAAACCCGGTTCGGTTGTTGAATTGGACGTGGGCTATGCCAATGAGGTCAGCATTTCTTTTCCCTTTCCCCTTGTTTAAAAAACTAAAATTATTTAAAATATGCATAAATATTTAGGGCTATTTAAGTAATTTAACGCTCCTGGAGCCAACCAAACCGGACTTGAATTAGGCCCCGACCAAACCGAAAAAATCGATTTTGTATGGCGAATTTTATACATTTTCACAACATAGATAATACTCCCTGCGTTCCTTAAAACCATTTCTATTTTGAATTTGGGCCAAAATAAGAAAAGTGTAATTTTCGTTGATTTTCTAATTTTGTCCCTGATGTGATGGTAAAAGTAAGATGTGATTGTTTGGTTATTAGTGAAAAAATATGATGTGATAGGTGGGGTATGAAAAAGTAGGGGTAAAGTGATTTTTTAATAGAAAGTGAAAGTGTTTTAAGGAATTGACAAAAAACAAAAGAGGAACGGTTTTATGGAACGGAGGGAGTATATCTAATAATCAATTTTTCTACGATATATCCAGTACAACTTCAAATTATTTTTTGATCAAAATTTATCTATTTTTACAGAATTTTAATGAAAATAAATCTCATAGTTTTTCAAAACAAAAATCTAATGCAATTATTTTTTTTACTGCTGGTATCTAATAAATATTGCATGTTTTATTTAATTATTGAATGCAGTTTTTTATCTAATCTCATAGTTTTTCAAATTGGACGAATGATATGAATCATAAATGGTACTTCATTACTTATTAAGGATTATACTTACCAAAGACCCGACCTAAACCTATTTCTTTCAAATTTCATATGGACCTATAAATAAGATTCCGTGTGTTTTTCGATCTGGAACAAATGATGAACACTCGTGTTTGTGTTTGTGTGTGTGTGTACTAAACAATGAAAACTCGTCTGGTGTATTTAACTATTTTGATCAGTTGGACATTGTTGCGGAGTTTGAAGTAGACGAAGAGGCGTTGGAAAAAGCGGAAAGCAACCACGTACCTTACACTTGTAGGGCAGCCGGAGGCGGGGCCGCCCTACGAGGCGCCTTAGGGCCATTCGGCCTGCTGGTTCTGGCGAACCACCAGTACGCCGAGCAGACTCCCATCTACTTCTACATTGCAAAAGGTGCAAAAGGAAAGTTCAATACTTTTTTCTGCGCTGATCATTTGAGGTTTGTTCTCCAATTCTTTTGCATTATTTATTGCAATGAATATTTTGTAGAAAATGACACTAAATAGAACTAAAACATAAGTTATTTCTCAATTTAACACTTAAACTTTTTTATATTTCCTAAATATGACTTGTTAATGTCTAGTAGGATAAATAATGTCCAGTGATGGGGGACATTTACTTGAATAATGACTAATAGATAATGATCAATGATCCTACATTGGAAAAAAATATATGATCCTATATTGAGAAAATCATTACTTTCTCAATATATTTAGGTAATCTTTATTTAGGTAAATTCTCCTATTTTGTAGTCGGTACGTATTTGAAAAGGGAAGAAAAAAGGATTTGTGTTCTTATACAAGTACTCCTGTTCATTTTTTTTCTTGTTGCACGTTATGATATTTAACTGAAATTATTTTTAATTTATTTTATATCTATATTGGTAAGATATTAATAAATAAATAGTTCTTCTTTATATATTCATTTTTTGCATGTGTGTTATTTATAGATCATCCCTAGCTACGGACGTGCGAAAGGCAACCTATGGTAGCACGGTTCCCGTGCTTGACGGCGAAAGACTCTCCATGAGAATATTGGTATGTCCCCTCCACAAATATAATGAGACTCTCCTAGGTGAATTTTTAATATATAATCTTTTTATTTCTTAATTTCTAAAGTTTCAATCCTGCACGTCATATTTTATCCTATTATAAAAGCAATATTAGAAGCTAACACCAAAACTACATATTTCGAAACTCGTCTTTATTTAGATAAGAAATTTTTATAGGACCGATGAAGAAGAATTTTATTTCCGTCCCCAAAAACTAATACAAATTTGAAATTAATTCGAATCAAATAGATTAATTTCCATTCCTTCTAATGCTCGTTCTTAAAATATTTTTCCCTCTTAATTTTTCATCCCAAAAAATTTTTTTACTTTCAACTTCTTCCGTCTCACAATGGAGACCCATTTTTGCAAAACGAAAAAAAAAACTCATATTTTTTTGGTTCGTTTTATTCTAAATATAGTATAGAATCAAAAAGTAAATCTTACACATTTTTAAATACCTCAAATCTGGTACAAAACAATATTTTATTTTCTCAAATAAATAATGAAAAAATACTAATGAAAAAATATCATGTATATTAAATAATGTACAGGTGTATTAAACAGTCATTTTTTCTTCTACTACTCCCTCCGTCCCAAAATGTTTGCCACATTTCACAAAGCAAAATAAATATTAAGTTTTTTCAATTCATTTTATCTAAACACTGGTATAGAAATAAAAAAAATTACATGTTTAAAAATTACGTGAAAAATTCTTCAAAATAATAGTAGTCGTTAAAAATATTTTATTTTATCAAATAATCAATGAAAATGTATAAATAAACAAAAGTTTGCGTGGTTTTTGAAATCAAATTACTAGACAATTTTTTTTTTTGCAAAATTTTAAAACTAAACGTTGAAATTGTTGGAATGAATGGATGAATGTGCAGGTGGATCATTCAATAGTGGAGAGCTTTGCCCAAGGGGGGAGAACATGCATCACTTCAAGAGTGTACCCAACAAGGGCTATTGGTTCAGCTGCTAAGCTCTATCTGTTCAACAACGCCACGGAGGCCGCCGTGACGGCGTCCGTGGAAGTCTGGCAAATGGCCGCCGGAAAGGACGACTCCGCCGCTCACACGCCCAAATGGAGGACCTCCTCCGCCGCCGCCGCCATTCTACTTGTCTTCGTGATCTTTTTCTTGTAGTCTCATTATATTTGTTCCCAATCCATCTTATAATTAAGGGAGGTGAGGGAAATATCTTCCCGTTGCGCAGAACGAAGAAAAATCCCAAGTTTTTTCAATCTATTTTATTTAAATATTGGTATAGAAATAAAAAATAAAACATACATATTTAAAAACTACATCAAAAGTTCAACAAAACAAGTGGTGACAAGACTATTTTATTTTATCATATAGGCCATGAAAAAATACAAATAAATATAAATTCCCGTGAAGTTGGAATAATGCTCTGGGAAAAAAGTTTTAGGACGGAGGGATTAATTAACTTTGTTGATTAACTTATGCAAAATGTTGTTCTTCCATATTACTTATTCTTACTAGTATTAGATCAAATTTGAAGAATTTTTGAATATAATAACTACAATCAGATAAGATAAGAAATTAATTGAATCAGATGAGTACCGTACCAATCGGAGAAGTCGAAGAGAATAAACATTACTCTTTTTTGTTCTATGTCACCAAATCGTTATCTTAGTTCATGAATTCGAGACGGATGAAATACTTAAATGTTGGGACTTGGAGCAAGCAAACTCTCACATTGGAAAAGAAAAAAAGAGGTGAACCAAATTACTCCGTAGTTTGAGACCGATAATTCAAGTAATATTTATTAGTGTAAATTTTATAAATATTTAAAAATTGATTGAAAAGTTTTTGAAACGATAGCTCTATGATTTATTTCATTTTAGCAAATGATGAATTAAAATATATAAATAAAAAAGATATGACTGACTATATAAATAGAAAGTAGGAATTCATTTTTGGAATAGTGAGAGTATTGGTATCTAAATTGCACCATAAACCTTCTCACATAAGCAAATCAATATGAAAAATTTTAAAAACTCTTCATTTTAAAACCTTTTTTAATCAAATAGTACACTTTTTATCACAAATTAGACATAATCTAAATTAAGAAATGTTATAAAAATTTGATATATCAAAAGATTCAAAACTACATATCCTAAGATAAACTCAATTATATTGATTTTATTTTATTTTTCAATATACTTTTTTCATTATTTAAATTCAAAGAATACTTTTTTCATTATTTTCACCTTAACTCCGCATTTTTTTTGCCGGAAAGGATAGGCCTAACACGGGCAGCCCACTACACATAAGTGTGTAGATAGCAATTCTATTAGGATTAGAATTACTCATTTTTTAAATCAGGCGCAATAAATCAGAAAATTCCAAAATCCTAAAAATTCGAAGCCCTGCTTTCTCTCTCTCAACGGAAAGTCGTTCTCACACGGAACACAGCTCTCTCTCTCTCTTGCGTTCAATCGCCGGCGGCAGGTATTCTTATGCATGCGTTTTTCTTCTTGAATATCTGTTCATATTTTCATCCGTATGCTTCCGTTGCGTTTGAAGCTTAGCTTGTGTTCGTCTGCTTGTTGAACTTTGATTCGATTGAATGATTGCGGCTGGGAGTGGAGACTGTGCGTGTTTTTGTGTGCTCGATTTTTTGTATTTTGTAGTTCGTTTTGTTTTTCTTCATCGGATTTCGAGCGACGACGAGCTTGTTCGGGTGATTTTTCGAGTCGCCTTGTTCAGTTGCTGTTTGCTGCTGTTCTGCTGTGGCGTATTGCTGGTATCCTGCGGTGTATGAAGATCGGTCGGTTTTCTAGGGTTTTTTTTAGCTTCGCGCAGTGTTTTGATTTAGATGATTCTTGGTTGTTGATTGGCTTGACGTGCTTGTGGTATTCCTGGAGTTTGTTTTTTGAAGTGATTTTCTCGTTTATTTTTCCTTCTTCACGAAGACTAGTGGAATTGAAAATTTGTTTTATTCTTAAGTCTTAACATAGTTAGGATTTAGTTTCATGAAATTTTGGTGTATAACAATTGATGAAATCTGTGCTATGTGGAGTATGATTAAAACTCCAGAATTATTCTTTTCAAAATATTGGTGTGGTTTCAAATTCCTCGATGTGATTTCTTGGTCAGATTTTGTGTTGTTTATCTGACAATCTTAATCTTTTCAATGTTTAGAAGTAAGAATGAACAAATCACTCAGAAGCACTGGCGGTTAATAGAGATATAGCACGCTGAAATGGGAGGCTGCTGTTGCTGCTGTGCCTTTAAAGAAGAGGAACCGAATAGGACATCACAGTTTTACCATGTAAGTCAATTTTATCTCACTCCTAGAACCTATTAGAGCTTCAGCCGTGTTTTTTTGTTGCTCAGAGAGCTCCTTCATGATCTCTTGAGTGTGTTGTAGAGCGCAGTTCTCCAACCCTAAGCATGGTATTGGTTTATTGATATCTTCATCGTCGATCGAAATTCTTAATGAGGAACATTTCTTCTTCTTCTTCGTATACAGATAGAAACACAAATTGCATATTACGATCTTCCCTCTTTAGATCAATTACACAACATTTATTGCTTGTGATCGATCCATAGAACCTAGTGACCAATTGCAGTCATTGTTTTCAAGTGTTAGTCCAACGCCTAATTCAGAAAAAATATGTGATGGGTTGAGGGGTTGAACAATTTACAAGTTTTGTGCCGAAGTTTTCCAAATGGGTTTTGGTCTTTTAAGAACAATAACAAAGTTTAATTCAAAAGATTAAAATTGTAATAGAAAAGAATATCTGATTACACATTTATGTTGAGGAACATAATAGTCGAAATACTTGTCTAGTCTTCAATGACCACGTATATTCCATCTTTGGGTTTGCCATGTTAAGTAAGTTGAACTTTCACCATATTTTCAAATAAATTTTCCTCCTTAGTTTCTTATTATACTCTTGTGGATCTGTGCTTTAATATTTTCTGTTTCCATCAATGGAATTCTATTTGCACAAAAATTGTGTAAATTTCAATTGACTTACCATGTGCAATAAAATAATATATAATGATGGCATAAATCACCAATCACCATCTCCGTGGAGTAAATGCTATGCGGTAAATATTTATATTTGCAAGTAGTTAGTAATGCTACATACTTTGAAAGTAGTTAGTCACAAGTAGTTGGTGAATATCAACATTCAAAGATATTAGTGTTCCGTCTCACTGTAACTTACTGTACATTTGTAATGGGATAACTTGTCCAATCATCAAAATATGTACTCCGTAATATTATCAGAAGCAGTTGGTTGGAAAACTTGCTTGAAGGTGTGTTTGGTGCAAGGGAGGGAAGGAGGGGGGAGGGGATTATGATTTTGTTGTCCTCTGGCCCTTCTCCGTCTTAAATTTCTTAACTGAATTAGGGGAGGTCAGCTTCTCTCCTCTCCTCTCCTCTCCTCTCCTCTCATACTTCCAGTATAAACACTGCCAGAGTGACAAGTGTTCTCTGCCATATTTGGTTTGTTTATCATATGTTTGTTCTCATTGCAGTACCCTAGAGGGTCAGAGGAGCGACAACCTTTATCTCACCATGGTGCAGCCTTGGTACTCTCCACAGGTCTCTTAGTCGATACAAATCTTGATACCTCAAGTCTGGATACTTATAGACCACCTCCAACACCAAGGCCTTATGAAACCTTTGCAGGGCGGCCTAGAACACCANCCTCTCATACTTCCAGTATAAACACTGCCAGAGTGACAAGTGTTCTCTGCCATATTTGGTTTGTTTATCATATGTTTGTTCTCATTGCAGTACCCTAGAGGGTCAGAGGAGCGACAACCTTTATCTCACCATGGTGCAGCCTTGGTACTCTCCACAGGTCTCTTAGTCGATACAAATCTTGATACCTCAAGTCTGGATACTTATAGACCACCTCCAACACCAAGGCCTTATGAAACCTTTGCAGGGCGGCCTAGAACACCACCAGGCAATCAAGACGCTCGCAAGAGTGATGCAACAGCACAGATAAAGAACACAGAATCTGGTGAAGAGACAAACTCTGGAAATCGTGCTACTTTAGAATGTGATGCCAAAGCGGTAGACAATATTGATCTTACTGCCCTGAATGTAGTGGTTGATGAGCTTGAGAAATCAGGTGATCTTAAGAAGTCCAACGAAGCTATTGTTCCATCCCTTGTAGAAGAGGAGGATGTTTGCCCAACTTGTCTCGAAGGTCAGCTCATGAACCTTACTTGCAACTCGTTCCCCCCACCATACACTAAAAACTCACATCCCACTTGGGTTAGGATTTTTACACTGATGAGTGACGACTCAGAACTGGTAATTATTCGTTTTTGTTTCTTCCTGCAGAATATGATGAGGAGAATCCGAAGATCATAACAAAATGTGAGCATCATTTTCACCTTGCGTGTATTTTTGAATGGATGGAAAGAAGCGACACTTGTCCAGTCTGTGATCAGGTTAGCCATAAACCTAAACAATACTCCGTAATAAGTAGTCTTTCCCTTTCCACCCCCACCTCTTTTAAGAAAATTAATCAAGTTAGTTTCATTCAGCAAAACTTTCAAATTTTGAGAAACTACAATGGTAAAAAGGTCATGAATTTCACTCCCGTTTTATTAAATTATGCTTTTAAACTTAATTTATCGTCTTTAACTTGTTTGTGATTCTTATTTGGAGAAGTAAATGAAAATTAGCATTCCAGTTACAGTTTTGCACCATCGTTACCATACGGTATGTTTGTTTATATCGTTGCAGGAAATGGTTTTCAGTGCCTAAGTTGTGAGATATCAAGCTCAAACTTCATACATTGTCCATTTGATATAGAAGGGAGTTGGTTTTGGTGGTTGTTTATATTTCTGGGTTAGATTTTTTTGTGACAACTGGCAGCCCTTTGCTTTGGCCAGTTGATTTATCTTGTTTTATCAGTTCTTTAAACGAATTGAAAAAAAAATTAAAAAAAGCTCACTGTAAAAAAATGAAAAGAAGAAAATGCTAATATATGGATTTCAATGCAGCTGCTTTATGTATTTTTGCCTTGTTTGGGAACAACGTTTTCAATTCACATTAGTTTTTTTTTTAATAATATTTTAATGGTTCAAATTAACTTTAAAAAGGCTAAAGTTAAATACTATCATAAGATAGTACATTGTATTTTCAAAATGCCAAAACTAAATGTTAGCTATTGCCAAACGAGCACTTAGTCGTAAGTTATGTAGATGTGTAGGATGTGGGCTGGTCTGTAAGCTCATGCGGGCTAAACTTAAATCATAAGCCCGTTCATAATATTTGGTGGCCTGGCTTGGCTTGGTTATATGTAGTTGTCCATAATTGTTTTTATTTACGGACGAGATGGGCAGTCTATAGGCCAATCCGGACAAGCTTATCCGAGTTTGTGCACGTTTATACTCTAACTCTAATTCATAACTCTTTATCTACTTCGTGGTCGTTGCTTGTTGCCGCCCCAATCTGCCCTTGTCACTCGCCACCTCCCCTAAACATCGTCCAACCGCCCCCTGCTTGCCCTCCATCTACCCTTCGTCGCCCTCTATGTTACTAAAGTATTACTCTCTATCCTAAAGTAGGCCCTCAGTTTCACTTGGTATGAAATTTAAAGAAAGTGAAAATGTGTAGTTGGAAGTGATGTAGAAGAGAAAGAATTGTGAATCACTAAAAGTTTTCCAAAAAAGAAAAAAAGAGATATTTTTTGGCATGTCCTAAAAAGGAAATAATTAGTCTTTTTCTGAGACAGGGAGAGTGTTAAATTGCCACAAATCATCGTTTTTTAAAATTAATTTTCAAATATTAATAATAGACAATATTTTTCTTCCTACAAAAAATGATTGAAAAATAATTTTCTTTGAAAATCATTTCCACTTAGAAATTATTTTTCTGTGAAAATATTTCCCCAACTAAATTCACCCTAAAAGAAGCTACTCAAACTTCTTCATTGCTTTGGGGAATGAGCTTCTTATTATGCTCCGTAATTAATTACAAGTGCAATATTATGAAATTTTTATTATTTAAAACTAAATTTCAAGATAAATAAATAGATGCCACGTAAAATTTCATATTATAATTAAATGCATTTCTTTCAAATGAAGATTTTGGAAGAGATGATTAATTACTCCGTAATATTTCTTGGTCAGTTTTTCTTTTACATTTTTCCGAATTAGAACTGTTACGCAAATTTGGCATGGTTTCATGACTTTCATCCATAAACGTGAATGCCTGATTAAGAAAATGCTTTCTTATATATTTTCTCAGTCCAAAAAGAATGTTTTCGTAACGCATTATGATATTTGATTGAAATTGTTTCAAATTATTTTATATGAAAAATTGTACTTCGTATGAAATAAAAACACAAAAATTACATATTTCAAAATTATATGAAAAGATTTACAAAATTAGATGTGATATGACTAACTAACAAAATAAATAAAACTTGACCTTGTGTAGTGTTTGGAAACATTATTAGTTTTATAATTGTAAAGTCAATAAAGCACAAAAATTAACGATCATTGGCTTCATTGCACAATTCCATAAAAAACGATCATTGCGTGCGTAGATTAATAAGGTACCAACGTTTTTTTTCTTTATTTGACTCTGGTGTACCTACTCTCTCCGACTCACTTCCTCAGTCCAAATATAAATGTTTGTATATTTTTATTGAAAATTTTGATAAAATAAATTTCTTGTTATATCTTGTTTTATAGAAATTTTTATGTGCTTTTAAATATGAAATATCTTCTTTTTATTTTTATACAAATTTATAATAATAAATGTTTGTATACTTTTTATTGAGAATTTTGATAAAATAAATTTCTTGTTATCTCTTATTTTATAGAGAATTTTTATAGAATAAATTTCTTGTTATCTCTAGTTTTATAGAAATTTTTATGTGCTTTTAAATTTGAAATTTATACTTTTAAAAATAATAATATTTTGTATGTTAATCAGAGTGTGACATCCATTATGAAACAGAGGAAGTATATCTTTTCTTTGTTTTGAAAAACATGTAAAATTTCAATTGGTATAAAATAGAAAATATAAATTTTATCTCTTTTAAAATGATTTTATTTAATTACAAATTGCTATAAAATAGAAAATACAAATTTTACATCATCTAAAATGATTTTATTTACAAATTAGTATCAAATAAAAAGATAATTTAGACCGTTTATAAGTAGATCCAAAGTTTTACAAAACAAGAAGTGATAGGAATATTTTATTTTATCAAATTATCAATAAGAGGAATTTACCTAAATAGCACTAGAACATAATGACTTTCCTTGAATAGCACTACATATGTTTTTTTCTCAATGTAGCACTTTTAGTCATTATCCATTAGTCATTATTCAAGTAAATGTTTGCTATCACTGGTCATTATGGACATTGTAAAGTGCTATTTAGGGGAGAAAACAATCTAAGTGCTATTTAGAGAAATGACTTAAGTTTTAGTGCTATTTAGTGCAAATATTTCTAATAAATAATGCATACAAAGATATCAATACACTACAATAGTAAATAGAAAAAAAATCATGAGAACAAGAGAATAGAATTTATTTTATCTTTTTGAGTATTTACATTGCTTTTCACAAAGCATCTAGAATCATCAAAAGAACATTCTATGCATTAGTGGAGTATTTAGTTCATCTTCTTCAATATTCACATTGCTTTTCACAAGCATCTAAATTTATCAATGGAACATTCTATGTGATAGTGACAAATTAAATAGTCTAGTCTAGTAATTGATGGTTATATTGAGATTGAATCAAATTAAATACACTTCGTTTTAAATTTAATTTTTCTTTTTTTTGAGTTAAAATTTAATTTTTCTATTTAAAAGAAAATACAGGTCATTGGCGCCCAATTCAGACCTAAGGACAAACTCCATAAATTCTACCACAAACCTACGATCCATAGTATATCTTCATATACCCAAAATAAGCAAATGTTTTGTAACAAGGGCACATTTTGTATTTTTTAAAAAATAAAAACATAAAATAAAAATAATGTTTTGAAGAGAAAATCTACAATAAAAAAAGTTAAATCTTAAGGTGCTTTTTGGGAGTGTGTTCGAAACTAGCTTTTGAGTTTCGGCTTCATTGTAACATCATTTTAAATATTTTACAGTTACTTTTAAATTATGGACTGCGATTGCAAAATTTTCAATTGTACTATAAAAGTGATTTTCAATCTTAAGGGGTTTTTTGGGAGTGTGTTTGAAACTAGCTTTTGAGTTTCGGCTTCATTGTAACACAATTTTAATTAGCTTTAGATTATGAATTATTTTTTTCAGAAGTGTAAATTGTGCTATAGAAGAGATTTTTATCAAAGCTTGGAGTAACTGTTGTTTATTTCTAATTTATCGCATCTATTTTTTCAAAACTCGTCACAATAGCCTCTAAATCTAAGCACGTGTTTCATATTATTATGATATCTCAGTCATGCCCGCATGGGTAGCTCAGTTGGTCAAGAGCGTGAAATCTTGGACCGATGACCAGGGATCGAATCCCGCAAGCGGCAGTATGGGAGCTATCCAAAAATCCCACCCATAAAGGGTGAGGAGGCTCCTTGTGCGCGGTGGGCACAAGTCTAGCGTTCTTGGCCGACTGAGTCACCATGATTTACATCCTCCACCATTCCTGTTGGGCAAGGGGGTGGAGCGCTTGGGGTGGGCAATTCCACCTTTTGGACCGATGATGTCTCAGTCATATATAAAGGTCAAGTCCACATTCTTGCGAGACAAGTAGATAGTAGGCCATGATTGAACGCCACCCCTCACCTTTTTTTATTATTCAACTCTAGCAATTTTCTTCCTTCCTCCCCTCGTTGACCATCCAGAAACCCAACCGATTTCTTCCTCCCTCCCTCTATTTAATCCATTCTTTCAACCCCAGATTTCCCACCCATCTTCTTCTTCTTCTTCTTCTTCTTCAATTCCCAGATTTCATCACATTGTTATCACTATTTCTTTTTCTGTTCGAGAGCAGTAGAGAATATAAGATGCCTCCATTTGCTGGATCGATGCCTCCCTCCAATGGCTTCCGCAGAAGCTTCCAAGATTCAACGGTGTCCAGCCTCGTCACCATTGATGTGGGAGGCCAGCTATTCCAGACAACCAAACAGACCCTAACGCAGGCGGGCTCGAAATCCCTCTTCTCCAAACTGGCCAATTCGTCGAACCGCTCCATCCCCTTCATCGACAGGGACCCCGATCTCTTCTCCGTCCTGTTATCGCTCCTCCGATCTGGGAACCTCCCTTCCAGAGCGAAGGCCTTCGACTTCCAAGATCTGATCTTCGAGTCCCGATTCTACGGCGTCGAGCAGATGCTGATCAATTCCCAATCCAACCCTTCCCAGTTTGATCCTTTCAATCTCGAGAAATCGGTCGTTTTGCCTCTCAACGGCCGGGATTCGCCGGCGTCGATCTCCGCCACCCGGTTCGGCTCCGTCCACGTCGCCCATGGCAGTAAAGTCACTTCCTTTGATTGGGCGTTGCAGAGAAAGTCAACGGTTTTGACCCAATTCGCCGCCGTAGATTCTCTGCTGGCTCTGTCCCCGAAGATCGTAGCCGCCGGGGCCACTGATTTTTCCGGCGTTCAGATTCTGGATGTGGACGAGGGTTTTGTTAGGGAGACTTTGAACTGGGAGAACGTGACTCGGTCCGATTCGACTGTTCTGGCGATGGGGTCGTCGGACGAGTACATGTTCACTAGCTTCGAGTCCGGGAGGCGGAACTCGAGCTGCATTATGGTTTATGACCTCAAAGACAGCTTCAGGCCTGTGGCGGAGATCGGGCACTACGAGATCTTCAGGGCTGAGCTCGACTCGGCGATCCCCGCCACGAAGCTGAGGTGGATCCCAGGTCATAACTTGCTCATGGCGTCCGGGTCCCACAGTGGGCCCGCCGGCGTGTCGGGGGACATCAAGTTCTGGGATTTGAGGTCCGGGACCGCCGTTTGGGAGGTCAAGGAGAAGGTCGACTGCTTCTCCGATGTCACCGCTTTGGACGGTGTAGGGATGTTCAAAGTCGGCGTGCATTCCGGGGAGGTCTCATTCGCCGATTTCCGGACCCTTGGCGGGCCCCGCCCGGGCGAGAACATTTGGACGTGTCTCGGTGATGCGAGGAAGGCGGGGAACAAGAAGAAAGAAGGGACAGGGTGTAGGATCGAAAGCCACGGGAACCAAGTGTTTTGTAGTAAAGGGGGGCAAATAGAGTTGTGGTCCGAGGTTATCGTCGGATCCGGAGACAATAACGACACAAACGCAAACAAAGGCGGCGTCGCTAGCGGCAGAATATTCCGGAAGAACGGGTTGGGGAGAGCGAACGACGCTTCTAGTGACCAGAGGATAACGCATATGACCTTCGGAGGGAACAAAATGTTCGTCACTAGGCGAGATCAACACGGCGTCGAGGTTTGGAAGAATTGTGTGAACAACAAATTGTAATACGCTCATTCATGTAATGTACAGTAATAAAATGTAGTAAAATTGTTCATTTTTATGTAGCAATAAAGCAAAACATTAAGTAGCAAACAAACAACCCCTTAGACATTGAAGTGATTACACACATACACACACAAAGACCAAAAGTGTCATCTTTTATCTTGCCATCTTTTAAAGCAGCTATTATGATCATTAGGAGCTTACCAAGCTCAAACTAAATTCCCATAGTTTCTTGGCCAGACCAGAATCCTTGGCATTCAAACTCGGTTTCGCGATATTGCTGTCTGAGAAGTACTCGCCACTCAGCCCCTTCACCTGTGGATGTAAGGCTACGTAGCATGTGGTCGCCGCTCCCTATACAGACCCAACCAAAAAAAATATAAGAAAAAAACAGATTGGGTATTGCGAGTAGATTCCACAGAAGTAGGATCTCGGGAGGGAGCAGAATCCCGCAAATGTAGGGGTTGGAGAAGCAGAGAGCCTGTTTCCAAGCAGGAGACGCAGGTTTCCCAAAAATATCATGGATTGTTTACCAAATGCCCATATTGCTTAAGGTTTAAGGTTGAGACTAAAATTCCATTCATTGATCTAAAAATGAAACCAGCAAGGGAATGAAAGAAAGTACCTGTGGTACATTTTTTAGCGTGTATTTACCGATCCACTTGACAACACCTAGGAGAAGATACAAACCAAGAATTGATATTGTAAGAAGCCAACACACTTTAAACTACCAAGTCAAGATACAACAAACCCAGCAAAATCTCACGAAAAAAAACAGGGTCTGGGTGGGGGGGGGTGTACACCCTTACCCCTACTCAGAAGTAGAGAGGCTACTTCTAAGAGACCCCTAATAGAAACAGAGACAAAGTAATCACAGGGAGCCCAAATTTAAAAGTTAAGTTCATACTCAGGTCAAAAAGTTAATAGAACCGACCTTGAAAGAATTCAAATAGGAGTAGTTGTTATGATAAAGGAACAAAATCAATAACTTTGAGAATGTGAAAGCTTTACCATCCATAAAACTGTGATAACGCAAAAGGTTGGTGGCAATTGCTCCGGGATGAAGTGAATTTGCCGTTATCGAGACCCCTTCTTCCTGTATGCAAGAGATATACAGATATACGTCCATAAAGATAAAAAAACATAAGCTACCTCCCTTCCTGTAATACCATTTTAAAGATATACGCCCGTTCCCATTTGTTTACCTCATCCGTACCACATAGAACTTCACATTTTTTTCTAATTATATAAAGGAATAAAAAATGCAGTTCACGTGTTTTCTCTCTCACCTCAACAAATTTCAATCATAAACATTTTGCTTTTTAACATTTTTCTTACTTAGTGAGGTCAAACCATGAAGTTAATTTTTTGTACGGAGGGATTGTGTCTGTATATCAGTTATGATGCAATTCAATACTGTCTGTTCAATGATATTACCTTCAGGCGCCTCGCAAGTTCATTAGCATGCAATACGTTTGCAAGCTTTGATTGTCCATAAGCATATAGAGGACTGTAACTGAAGGAAAAAAACAGAGAAATGATGTTTGTAAAGGGGAAAATGGAGGAAAATACTACGTTTGGTATTACCTTCGTAGAATTAAAATCCCTGACTCTAACACTCAGTTTAGTTCAAGGGATTCAGAAGGTAAAGGAAATTAAATGGTGGGGGAATTTTTTTTGGGGGTCTGATTAGAAAGGAAAAGAAAAGAAAATTGGACTAAAAAAGGGAGAAAAAGAAAAGATAAGAGTAAAAATTGCCAAATAATTTTTTTTGGTTTCTTTTCCTTTCTATAACCTTTTCTTTTCCTTCCTAATTCTCCGAAACATAATGTAATGATACTGGAAAATTTAGCTATATCCTGCATCCACTTGGCGAATATTCACGTAAGGTGATGATTTACCTTTCCTTGTCATTAATTTTATCAAACCGAATTCCTTCCTTGTATGTATATCGATGTGCCTCGGATGAAACAATGACAATCCTTCCTTCTTTCTGGCTTTCAAGGGCTGTATGCTTCATCTTTTCCAGTAAAAGATTTGTCAAAAGGAAGTGTCCTGCACAAGCAAACAACATTTATAATCATACTCATACATTAGCATAACATGTTCCTTATACTCATAGATAGAGACTTAAAGAGAGAAACTCGTTCATTCATGAAACTCACCAACATGATTAGTTGCAAATTGCAATTCGATCTTGTCCTGAGAGAGAAGGAAAGGCGGAGCCATAATCCCTGCATTATTACTTCAACAAAGAAAGTGTGTTAACATTTCTTTCTTCGAACAAAATCAAGAATTAATCAAAGTTTTTGTAAGTTGGATGGCGAGTGGTCTTTCCTATGCAAGGTGCTCACATATCCCACATGTGGGTTTGGGTTGGTAGCAGATTAATAGAAATAAAAAAGAACAACAAACCCAGCAAAGTCCCAAAAAAGAAATACTCTTTTTTCAAGAGTTAAATGTTGTATGATTATCTTACATGAGGAGATTCAAGGTTAGACCAGACGATTCATATTCTGAAGCAAACTTCCTAACAGATGCAATGGAGGTAAGATCCAATTCCATAACATCAACTTTAGCATTAGGAATCTCTTTAGCTATATTCTGTTGCACTTCTTTACCACTTGCCACGTTGCGAACTGCCATGACTACGTGTACACCACGCATGGCAAGGATGCGGGTGGTTTCTGCACCAATACCACTCGAGGCTCCTGAAAAAATAAACCTTTTGTAGAATTAGTTTGATGATTATATACAACAACAATGAACCCGGTAAAATCTCACAAAAAAGTATGGTCTGAAGAGGGTGTGTGTATGCAGACCTTGCACCTACTTGGGAGTAAAGAGATTGTTTCGTAGAGAACTCAAACATAGAAAAACAAAGTAAACATCGTACCATGAACAAAACGACACAAGAAACACTCATACGAACATTAACAATTGGACAGAAAGCACATGAAGTAGACATGTGCAAGTTACAAACTAAGACTAAAAATACACCACCATAAATTACAAATTAAGCCTCCAAAGTTTTATCCAACTAGTGTAATTCTAATTCGATGATTGTATACTTCATATTGACAAAAATTGCATCTTACATTAGAACTTATTTGCATCCAGTGGGGTGAATCGTGAATGTTTGCCACACGCTTAGACTAAGATCAATCTAAATCATAAACGGCAAACAGCCAAACACTGAAACTAAATGCAAAATCAAACATCTCCCGCCTAAGATTTGTTGCAACACCAAGGATCCATTTGGTTGTGGGGAAATAAGTTTATGTTTCCACTTTCCATGGAAATTGGTTATTTCTAGCATGATAGCCATATTTAATGCAGAAAACAGGGGGAAAACAATTTGGTTTAAATTAAAAAAAAAAGTTTTCTGTTTTTTTTTCTGAAACGGAAAAAACGAATTTCCCCGAAACAAACAGAGCCTTAATTTTCAGGGTAAGACTTCATTCTCACAAACACAACCTCTAATTTTAATTTTTTCAAGTAGAAACAATCAACTCAACAGAACTCAACATATTAAAAAGGTGCAAAAATCACAGAATAAATAAACCATTCATCCCCCTTAAAAAAACATTGTTCCAATATTTAATACAGATTATTTGAATATTACTGGTATTAATAAACCGAGCACTAAAAGGAGCATATGAAGAGAAGAAGAAGAAGAAGAAGAAGAGGGGACCTGTAACAATGGCGGTGAGGCCAGCTCCGTCGATTCCTTCAGTAACTTCCTCGGCAGTTGACGAAGCGGAGAATCCAGACGGTCCTTTTCTGCCAAAAATCCACATCCTCTCGCTCCCCAAACTTGAAAAACTGGATGAAATTGAAAGCTTATTCCAGTTTATTTGCAACTTCTTCTTCTTCTTCTTCGCGATGGTCTTCCGTGCTGTATTTGATGATTGATGTGTGTGTGTGTGTGTGTGACTACGATTTCTTGCCCAAGACGATAATCATCGGTGACGGATCGTGTGGATGTTTTCTTCCAGTGTGACGGGAGAAAAATCTAGTCACTTTTCAAGGCTCGTTTGGTTTGAATTATGGCATAATTGTCATTCAATAATTTTGTCCACTTAGCTTTTTAGAGTGAAATTGAATAGATTTTCAATATTTTGATTAAATAAAAATTATACCCAATATTGAATATTTAAAGAATAATATATATATATATATATATATTTTAAAAAAAAATATGTAACAAATCAAATCTAAATAAATCGGGATATAAAAATGACCACCAGGTCACTCCAATGAGACAGGATCACAACGTCTAACTTTAATCATTTTATTTTCTTATTTTTGTTAGTTACGAAGTATTTGATAAAATAGTACTCCTTCCGTCTCATAACCCCCTTCTCATTTCTTTTTTTCTTTGTTCCACAAAATCTTTTTAAGTTTTATTATAAAACCACTTTTATCCCTATTAGTTTTACTACGCCTATCGCATCATACATTTTTACTAATAATCTACTCATCGCATCCTACTTTTAGCCATCACATCAGGAGTGTTTTTGGAATGTCAATTTGAAAATATACCTCACTTCATTTTCCTTAAAGTCAAAATGGGAATGACTTTAAGGGACGAGAGAAGTATTTTAACTAGTATTAGTATTTTGAATTATTTTTTTATGTTATACGGAGTAAATTGTTTGCAAAAACATAAAAGCTAAATATTATTATTAGATAGTTTTTCAAATATGTTGAGAAAATATTTTTGAGATTTTCGAAAATTTTCTTTTATTTATATTTTTCTTTATAAATTTGATTGATATATTTTGAAAAATATTGTTGGTAAAAATCTGACATGGGAGGCCAATCTAGAATTAAACGTCTGTTTAATTTTTCCATCAAATTAATTTTTATCTCTATCCAAAAATACAAACTCAGGGAATTTTTAGAAGTTAACCCCAAAAAAAAACTCTATTCTCAATCTTTCTTATTCTCATAGTCAACTCAAATGAAAATTCGTTGAGTTACTGTAGTTTTTACCCAGGAAATTGTGAAGAGATTAGGTTAATTATGGCTTAATTAGTTTATTCCCGGCTTTGCCATCTTCTTTCCCCCAATTCCGTTGTGTCCCCTATTAAATTAGGCCATAAACTATGAGAATAATGAGATTTACTCCATAGGTAAACACTAAAAAATGTTTCTATATAAAAGAATGCATGGCCGGTCCTGAAAATTTAATGGAAAAAAGGCCCTAAACTATAATACTTCGTGATCGTATGTAATATTTTACACTTATATTTAGCTGATTGAAACAACAAATAGTAGAAGAAAAAATTGATTTTAATATGTACTAAAGTATAATTAATAAATATTTCTAATTTATATATATAACAATTTTAGACAGCTCGAGTACATGGATTATCTCCTAACACACTAAAGTACTCATTTTCGACACTTGCTATAATCCCTAAAATATCGGGTTTCATAATCATCGAAGTATATAATATTAAAAAATTAAAATTTGGGCCCTTAAAACAATGGGTCCGATCCAGTATGATTGCTCATCCCACCCCGGGTCGGCCCTAAAAAAATGTGTAAATGTATTTTTATATCTATCCATTTTAAAAATAAAGTTCTCAAATTGTCTTGTGGTCATAAAATAAATAATTTTTTTCCTTAACATTTATCAATAAAAGAAAGAATGAAAATACGCACTTCACAATATTATGTTCTTTCCAAATAAATTATACTCTTACACATTTTCAAAATATGACGACAAACTTTAGCTTTGTTTGCAAGGGAAAAGAATAATTTTAAAATAAGCAGAAATGTTAAGTAGCCAGATAATTTTCTTTATCTCATGAATATAAATCGTTTTAAAATAGACAATGAGTACATTTTATATTAAAATTCCAAACACTAAAATAATAAAAAATATAATAAAAAATAAGTACATACTTAAGTTTTCCAATGTCCTAAAAAATGATGCATTTCCCATAATTTAATTTGTTCATATGCGCGGACTCCTGAGCCATGCTTTTTTTTGTAAAATTTGCACTAAATAGGACTAAAACATAATGACTTTCCCAATGTAAGACTTAAACTTTTTTATTCCCTAAATAGGACTTAATAATGACCTAGTGGGAAGAATAATGTCTAGTAATGATGGACATTTATTTGAATAATGACTACTTGTTAATGACCAAAAGTCCTACATTGGGAAATAAAAACATATAGTCCTATATTGGGAAAGTCATTATGTTTTAGTGCTATTTAGGTAAATTTTTCTTTTTTTTGTATGTATATGTCAACGAACAATGCGTTAGTTGAAATGTATATTTATTTATCACAAAGAGGAGTTTTAGCACGTGCAAGGTCGATATGTCCGAGTGGTTAAGGAGACAGACTTGAAATCTGTTGGGCTTTGCCCGCGCAGGTTCGAACCCTGCTGTCGACGGCCGATTTTTTTTAAAACTACAGCAGTTTATTCTTGTTTTTCTTTTTTGTAGAATTTTTTTTATATTTGTCAAAAACATATTCCCTCCATCCAACAATAATATTCCCCGCGTAACGATTTTTGATTGAATTTTTTTTCAAATCATTTTATATGAAAAATTGTATATAATTAAAAAAAATTAAAATTACATATTTGAACAATACATGAAAAGATTTACAAAATTAGAGGTGACATGAATATATTATTTTATCAAATGATCAATGCAAATACACTAAGAAGGTGAATAAAATTTAACTCTGTATATAGTAAATGTGAACATTATTCTTGGACGGAGGGAGTACCATTTTTTAAAGTAGGTTGTGGGGATATTTTTATGCCGAGCATTTTTAAATTTTCTTATAAGATATTTAAAAAAAATTGCAAGTCATGTTTTTTGAATTTTAATTACATCGTAATCATTGGTCGTTTATAATAGTAAGTTTTTCATATTTACTCTTCTATAATTTGATATGACGCATGTGGTCCTACTTTTATGGATGTCTTTCCATTAATAATCTTTTTTATTTTATACCATGTTGGTGTTATTTAAAGAGCTAAAAGAATAATTTACATCAATCATATATTTCTAGTGGCGTATTCTGATGTCGGCTAGACGGACAAGAGAACAATAAAAAATATGACGGTGAATGACAATAATGCATCAAGGGTGACCTCGATCTGATATTGGGTATGACAACAAGCATGACAAAAGGTAAATTAAGATTATTTTCGGAATTGTACCCATTGAAGAAAGATCACATGTGTAATAATTGATAATGGAAGACTAAATATAGAAAAGTTTCTATCATAAAAGATCAATTATAGAATTTATTCTTATCTAAGCAATATTTTTTTGATAATTTTCGTGTCATATGCTATTTTAGATGATTGAATTTACTAAAGAGCAGAATGAAAGTTTAATACTCCCTCTGTCTTTTAATGTTCTTCCTGTTTCTGTTTACGAAGTTTGACCAACTTTATTTTCAATTTAATTTATTTGATTGTAGGTGTAAAATTTAAAAATAAAATTTATATATTTAAAAACTACATCAAAAGTCTACAAAACAAGTGGTGACAAGACTATATTATTTTATCAGATACCCAATGAAAATAGGTAAAGAAAGTAATTAAAATTTGACTAGTGAAAAGTAATTGGAAAGAATATTTCAGGACGGAGGGTGTAATAGACTTTCATACAAGTCTAGAGATGTGGAATACACACTCATTTTAAGGGGCAGCAAACTCCGGTGGAGGGGTGTAACGGGTCACATCCCCGGTTGGGGTTGAGATATATTTTAATGTCCAAAATGAAGGCAGAAAATTGACTATTTGAATGTTACTTGTCTTGTCAGCTTTTGCTTCATAAATTTTTTTAATAATTTTTAAATATATAAATTTTATTTGCTGATTTTTTGACAATGTTTTTAATAAATTGAAATGAAAATAACATCAATCAAATCTCGTAAACAATAACAAACGATTCTTTTTAGGGGAGAGGGAGTACTCCTAGTTGTTTGAAAGATGTGAGTAACAAATTAAAATAAGTAAACAAAAAAACAAAATATTAATATTAAGAACAATTGAGAATTAATAAAGAAATACTGCATTGTTAAAGAATAAACCAAAAATTGGTATATACTATTTCAAAAACATAGTTACAAAACATCGATGTATAATATGTTGTAGAGTTAATGCCTGCAAATTATCTATTAGCATTACAAATGTGACAAGTATTTTGTACAAAAAGAGTGGTAAGTAGTTTTGTTTTTTTTTCTTTTTTCTTCTTCTTTTTTTTTATAATTTGTAGATTATGAGAAAGCAGGGTAACACGGCCCGGGAATCAAACACAAACAACTCGCCGTTATCTCCACTCACTGAGTCGAACCCGACTCGCTCTTCCGGTACCGAATCCATCCCGAGTTGCTTTCCGACCCGACCCGCTATGACGCGACAGAGCAGCATGCCTCTCCTTCCGCTCTCGCCGTCGGTTCCGTGCGCACCGCCGCTACCGGAAAACGTACAAATCGTCGTCCCTTTGCCCGACAGCAAGCTCCACGCGCCACCGGATTCGCACTCGCCGGCGGCGGGACCTAGGCAGTAGAATCTCATCAACTCGTTCCCGTCGGCGACGCAACGCGCGCCGCCGCAACTGTCTTTGATCTTCACGATCTCCCTGTACTCCTCGAATCGAGCAACCGTCCGCGGCGGATTCTGGACCTTAAGAATCATCTCGATCTGGCCGGGGAAATCCTTCGGCGACCAGCTCGTGCGGAAGATGATCTCCACCACGTTCCGCGAAGGATGACCTAACGGAAGCTCGGTAAGCGTCGGGAAGCAGGGCTCCGAATCGGTCCGCGAATGTCTCGCCGACGATCTCGTCTGATCGGGTCCGGAATCTGCCGTTACGGGTCCGATATCCTCTGGCGGCGGCGGTTTCGTCTTCCTTGGCCATCTTTGCTGAGCGGATTTGACGGCGTCTTTGACGGAACGGACTCCGTTCTTACAGCTCCCGGAGGCGCGGAGCAGGCGATACCGGTGGTGGTGGTGGTGGTGGTTTGAAACGACGTCGACGACGACTCTCGACTTGCAGTTTAACGACTTTATCCAACCGAGACGCCGCCATTGACGGCGATGAGAATCCATGAAAGAAATTCTCTCCTCTGAAATTTTCAATCACAGAATGTTTTCTCTCTCCTCACATCTTTATCAGCAGATTCTCTCCGTTATATAGATATATAGTCAGACACACCGTGTATGTCATCCCGTCCAAAATTCACATTTTCATATACGGTCAAATAAAGAGTATTTGGAGATTGAGATTTGAGAAATAGAATTTAAAAGTGTTTGAGTTGTGTTTAAAAATTACTTTTGAGTTTTTACATTTTAAATGTAATATGTTTGCCAATTTTCTTTTACGTAAAAATTATACGGAGTAATTTCTAAAGTTTATTAAGTTTAAAATAAACTTTAGAAGTGCTTTTCATTAAAACTAAGGTTATATGCTTTTGTTTATACCTAAATATTATATTTTTTCATTAATCTATCACACTCTCAGATCAAACACTCTAATAAATTTCTATACTCTTCTATTTATGAGTAACAAATAGTCTATATCACCAAAATACAAGTAAGATGCTTCGCTTCTAAAATAAGACATTATGTGGTGACAATGCGACACTGTACATTGAAACTCTACAATGTTGTTTAATATTATATGTTGACATTATTTTTATTATTGTAAGACATATTTTGAGAAAAAAAACTTTAATGGTATTATTGATTTGTCCCTCTTTGGTATTTTACTCATATTTTAGTACGTCACTTTCCAGAAAACTCATGATAAGTGTCGAATGACTAAAGTTAGTAGTTACTTTGTCCCATAAAATATTTCATGTTTTTACTTTTTGAAGAGAAACATATAAAAGTTGTAAAATTTGCACTAAATAGGACTAAAACATAATGTCTTTCCTAATATAGGACTTAAACTTTTTTATTCCCTAAATAAGACTTAATAATGACCTAGTGGGAAGAATAATGTCCAATAATGATGGACATTTACTTGAATAATGACTACATGATAATGATCAAAAATCCTACATTGGAAAATAAAAACATATGGTCTTATATTGGGAAAGTCATTATGTTTTAGTCATATTTAGGTAAATTTCTCATAAAAGTTTAACTAAGGTGAAATGAAGACAATTGAAATAAGTAGGGTTCAAAAAATATCAAAAAGGGTAGGACATAGAAAATAATTGGAGTGATATGGTCTGCGTTAGAAAAAATAAAAATAATTGTGTCTATTTAGTTCAAATTAAAATGTTTATGTAAGATAAAAAATTAAAAGTTTTACATTTTGGAAGAAGCACACAATTAAAGAAGCAAAAAACTGTAAAGAGTCATTTACGCGGTGAGTAATTTATGTAAAAGTAATGACAATTGGCAAAGTAAAAAACAACGAATTTTGACATTATTTTGGGAGACACGGTTTGACATTTAACTTCTTCTACACTAACTACAGTACAGTTGGCTTATTCCTAAGATAATTTTACACAGTAATTTCGTCCCATTTAGTTAAACAAAGGAATTACCGAGGATTCTTTTACCAGAGGAAAAAACTTAAGATGATCTTTGATCTCTTAAAAAACGAATCAAATGAAAAATTATTCAAAAATAGTTGGGGGACATGCAACTTGTTGTTAAATATTCACCAAAAAAATTCACGTGTAAATAAATAAATTAATGGATGCATACAACATGAGAAGTGGAAAACTCTATTCAAAAAATAAAATTTAAAGGGAAAAAGACTAAAATAGAAGTAAAACATCGAAAATATATCAAAATAGAACTTCTATGTTTTTGTTCCCGAATAGGGGTGGACACGGTACCGGTACAGTACCGTGACCGGCAACGGTACCTCCGGTACCCGCCACCGTCACCGCCGTCCGGGACGTTCCACCGGTTCCGGGAACCGGTACCGGAACCGCCCCTCTCAGTACCGATTCCGGTACCCAATTTTCGGTACCGGCACTGGCGGTTCCGGTACCGTTATTATTTTTTTGATTTACAATATTTAAATAACAACTACATTTTTAGATTTTTTTATTTCATTCTTTCCTTTATCAATTGCATTTTTAAATTTTTTATTTCATTCTTTTCTTTAACAATTGCACATTTACAATTTTACACTTTAAAATTTTAATAAAAAAGCAAAAAAAAAATTTGGGGTGGCCGAAAATCACCGGTCCGGGTACCGGTACCGGCCGGTCTGGTCACGGTACCGGTACCAAGGGGTGGCGGTACCGGAACCGGAACCGTACGGTGTCCACCCCTATTTCCGAAATAGGATTTAAATTGCTTTTATATTACTAAACGTGATCATGTAAATTACCAAAAAGTATAGTAATGTGGCGGTACCGGAACCGGAACCGTACCGTGTCCTCCCCTATTCCCGAAATAGGGTTTAAATTGCTTTTATATTACCAAACGTGGTCATGTAAATTACCAAAAAGTATAGTAATGTGACCGTGTACAGTGCCACGTTACCTCCACATTACCACAGTGCGAACTCCTATTTCGAGAATATAAACATGAAAATTCAATTTTGGTACTTTTACAATGTTTTAGTCTTATTTAGGGTAACTTCTAAAATTAAAATGGTTAACGCTTGAAAATGTACTCCCTTCGTCCTTAAATATTTGCCACACTTATATTCCCGAGGTAAAATATCAAATTTTTTCGATTCATTTTATTTACATATTGGTATAGAAATAAAAAATAAATTTTACATATCAAAAAACTACATGAAAAGTTCTTCGAAATAATAGTTGTCAAGAATATTTTATTTTATCAAACAACCAATGAAAACGTAGAAATAAACAAAAATTCTCGCGACTGCTGAAAAAACAAATGTTGTAATATTTTGGGACGGAGAGAGTATAAAACAAAAATTGTCTTAATCATCAAAATGTAGAGATAATAAGTAACATGTATATTTTGATCAGAAGTTACAGAGAAATGATGATATAGAGAGGGTTGACGAGCGCTCGAGACACTGACCCATGGTCGGGCCCGATGACCGGTCGGGACGAGGGATCAAACCGCCTGTAGGAACGGGCCAGAGGACAGACCAAGATCGAATCGCTTAGTTTGAGTCACTTCAGACTTACCTACGCCATCAGCGGCATCCATACGTAGTTTTAAATGTGGAGGCGACGTCTGAAATGTGTGCACATCGCGAGAACTCACACGGCACAATAACCTTTGTGCACTGTAGAACTCAATGTGAGGCTTTTTGAGAACTTCTAAATTTATTATGTGCATTTTTAAATATTTCTCTTTATCATTATGACTCGATAGTCGATCCTTCAACCGTAGTATAAATGCTTGATTTAAAGGCAAAAGTTGTTTTGGCATAATTTTTAAATATATAACTTTTATTAAATACTCTGTAATTTCTATAATAATTTGTAAATATATTAAATTTAAAAGACATACTCCCTCCGTCCCAAATTATAATGTCTGTTTACTATTCAAAGGGTCAAACTTCATTCACTTTCTTTCTCTATTTTCATTAGCAATTTGATAAAATAAAATATCATTGTCACTACTAGTTTTGTAAATCTTTTGATGTAGTTTTTTAATATGTAATTTTTATTTTTTAATTCTATACCATTTGTCATATAAAATGGTTTGAAAATAATTTCAGTCAAACATCGTAAACTGAAACATGCGTTATAAATTGGGACGAAGGTAGTAAAATTTTATGTTGCTCAAAGAAGATCATTCATTTAGGCATATAATTTTTATTTAAATAACAAAACCACTCTTTCGGAGAACAGATAGATGTTTAATTGTGGTCCTAAAGTCCATGTGTAATGTGGATCTTCTCGCAAATTTTTCATGAACTTATATATGAATCTATTTCTTTTTTACAAAGGCTCAATACTTACAACCATTTTATGCATTAAAATTCATAAAATAAGTATACACTTGAGGACCACCAAATAATTTGTCCAGAAGAAATAGCAACAAAGAAAATTAAAATTTGACAAAAATAGGCACTAGAACGAACAAAGTATGAACTCTGTAGTCACACAATAATATTTCATTGGGCCGGCCCTGAATAGGGTCAAACAATTCTGTTTTTATTTACTCCGTATTTATTTATTTATTTATTTATTTAATCATTCCTTACAATAAAACAATCTTATCACCATTTATTTACTTTAATAATTTGTTACAATAAACTATTCATGTCAACCATCAAAACTGTGATATGAGAAGATATTACATTCGTACCTGTTTAACATTTGAAATCACATCTCGCGCACTTACCAAACAGGCCCTTAAGGGTTCTCATTTCTGTGTATTTAAATATAAGAGCATGCATTACTTAGTTTACATTAGTAATTTACTATAGACAATAAAGGGATAAATATGGAAGCAGGCATGCAATACGAAGTATGTTTATGTTTTACCCTTTTCTTTAGTATGGTAACTTTTGGTATGTTTTACCCTTTTTTTTAGTATGGTAACTTTTGGTTTTAGTTTTCTAAACAAGTAAGCTAATACTACTCCACAGGAAATGGTGATCAAATCGCAGCACTGTTATTTGGTGTTTTTCTATATATGCACCAAGTTCCAAAGTTCAAACAACTTCAAAGGCTATTAGCACTTAAGTGTTGTAATCGAGATACTAACCCAATTAGATTGTCTCCGTTGTGTATTTATGGCTCACGGGGGCGTTCCGCAAATTTGAAGATAAGGGTTGTCCGGCATTACGTATCTGGACCAGTAAGTTCTGTACTTGGTGATGGCGAGATCCAGCCATGGCTTGTAGTTTCCATTGTAGTGGACAACGGCAGCATTCTCGATGGATGTTTTGTTGAGCGCCGGATCATAACCGAGGCCCAAAACGTGCCAGCTCCGATCCAGAGGATAGGTCAAGTTGTAAAATGTGATCAGCCCCGGAGGCAAAGTCCCGAGTTTCCAAAGCGTTCGCTCCTCATTCTGCAAAGCAAAGAAATGTTTCATCAAGTCTAACCATAAATTGGAAAGAGAGAACTTTACAATAACAACAGATCCAGTAGTAGATAGAAAAGACAGGTTTTTTCAAGCACAATTCTTTGTTCAAGAAAATACTGAAAATGTAGGGATC